TCAATGAGCTCAGACCTAATTTCGGACACGCCCTGCACCACGCGTGATTGGAAGTTCCAACGTGTTGGTGCACAAGCTGGGAGACGGCGGCTACATAGCTGGCGAAGGAGGTCAGAGCGCTCCGGCGAAACGGAAAAAAATGAAGAAAACCCCGAAACATTTGCAAAAAATATACGGACGAGAGGGGTATCAAGACACATATTTTTAATAACGAGGTTAAATTGGTGTGCATAACAATGTAAAAAATGCGCATGAGGAAAACTTCTTTTATATAGACTTGAACACCATGTTTCGACCCACTCATGACTGCCGCGCCGTCATAAGTTTGAGCTATCAATTTTGACTTCGCGTTGTAAGGCTGTAACACATCTTTCAGTACAGCCGATATCCCGCAAGCCGTGCGATCAACGATTGGTACAAAGCTGTGAAATCTCTCGGTAGGTTTACCATCTTTCACAAACCGAAAAATCACAGCCAGTTGGGAAACGCACGTGATGTCAGTTGTCTCGTCAGACTGAATCGAAAGGAACTGGCAATTCTCAATTTCCAGAGCCAAATGTTGTAAATAAATTTTATACATTGAGTCGAGCAAATCATTTTGGATATCCTTAGATGTCCCTTTCGAAACAGTTGCGGCATCAAGATGATCTCTCAATACTTATCTAGGGATGCGGTGTATTCCACCATATCCAAAAATACCCCTCTATTAGAAGAGCCAGCCCGTTCATCGTGCCCACGGAGGGACAGCTCGTGACAAACAATGAACTTCAAAACATCTATCAATCGACCGAGAACATGGCGATTTTTCTCGACGTTTTGGTTGTGCCGACGAATAGAAACCGCGCGTCCTTCATCCAACTGTGCTGCAATATTAACATTTCCGAATGTTCGGTATTTTACTGCATTGTCCAGATGCTCCATAGAAGAATGATGATCCCTGGCACGCTCGGAGAGATGTTTAAGATCTCTAAAACCAAATTTACACCAACGTGAGTCACGGGCGGTAGCAAAAAGTAGGCAATAAAAACAAAAAAGTGCATTTTTGTCCTCGCTGTAACACAACCATTCGTGTTTTTTATACCAAGTTTCTGCGCAGGATGTACGCCGACGCTTTCCTCCGTCATGGGATTGTTCCAGTGAACAATTTTTTGGTTGATAAGGCTCAAGACGTCGTACCTCTAATTTTTGTTCCAGCGGCAGCTGCAAAAACGGAGTGCGAAGTAGTGCATCAACCTTATTCATTATGAGGTCTAAGGCTAAAAATGCGAAGCCGGAAAGAAGTGAGGAGCTCAAAAGGAATGTGGAAAATCGAAAGCAAATGGACTAAAGGTCTCTAACTGATTCAAATAGCGAAACAAGCGACAAAAACGAAGGCGAGGAAACTATCAACTCTTCAAGAAACCAACGAACGAGAAGGAATGCGTGAATATGTCAACAAAAACGAAGGCGAGGAAACTATCAACTCTTCAAGCAACCAACGAACGAGAAGGAATGCGTGAATATGTCAACACGTTGTTGTAAGAAACGTCGGCATTGTGTCGTCATAATTTCGGGGCTAGCCGCGATCGGCCCCGATGATTTAGTAAAAGAAACAGAAAACAAACGCGGCGAGTGGAAGATAAAAGAGAGAATACGATATACAATGAGCAACCGGGGCAAAATCGGCGTCGCCCCGTCGACGTTCGGCGAAGGCTTTGCGAGCGAAAAATGAACCATGTCGGGAGAATATGGCTAGTGTAGACAGTCTGTGCAACCGATATTGAGGTATTTTTCGAATATTTTTTATTATACCGAAAAAACAACCGGGGCATTGCCCCGGTTGGCCCTATTGACGCGCCGCCACTGCAGTTAGATATATAATAATATAATAAGTGCACATAAATGAATTAAAAATTTGGGCACGTTTGAATTTCACTGAAAGATAGAATTTTCAGAACAGAATATTTCATGGCGGGGCTTTGAGTAAAAATATCATCAACCGTCGACGACCTTATTATATAAAGCGCTTAGCCGCTTGTACATGTCGTATCTCTGTTTCTGTGAGACAATAGGCAACTGCTTTTATAACCATTGAAGTTTATAACCATTGAAGGTAGGTTGAAATCTGTGATGTGTATGACTTGCGCCACCAATGTCTTCGATACAGTTTCTCAAATTCTGGATCGCCAATGTTGCCATTTTGCTTTCGTTGTTTTGCCCTTTCCATTGGCACAACTTTTATAACAAAAAACATCTTTCTGCCAACGAGTAGGGTTGGGCACTTCGAATCGAATAGCAAATTATTCAAATGGGTCAGAGCAAAATTTCGAATCGGCACCATCTTGTCTTTTACTTTCCGTCGATGGTCGAGGTGAATTACCCATTTTTATTTTATTGACATCATATTTTTTCAATGCAACTCTGACATATGATTATTTTCTGTAGTGAGTTATTGATAAATAAGCGTTTTGTTATTGTGTGTGAACGCTTCGAGATTCGATTCGATCCTGAACAGACAATCGAAAGTGCCTTGCCCCGCCTTTCTGCCAACGGCATTGTGACATAACAATGGCCATTTCGACACGGTGTATTGGTATCTGAGAGTGCGCCGCAATTTTCAGAGTGGTTCTCAACGTTTCTTTTTTCCAAAAACTCTTTGCAATTCCGAAGACTCTTTTTAGTGAAATATGTCATCCAAGAAAAGAAATTGGTCTGATGACTATGTGCAGTGCGACTATATACTCCAATGCGAAAATGACATGAGAATTGTTCTTTCTGAAACGAAGCCAGGTATCTCTCAGTTGGCCACCAAAAACAAAAGAAGTGTCACTAATAAATCTAATGAATGAATAAAGTTACTGTTTGTTGCAGTTTATTCTGCTACAACCAATGGCGCAACCAGCGGTTCTTTCGGTGGTTGATACTCTCTTGACAAAGCATTTCCTTCAAATTTAACTCGAAAAAACAACCTATGATCAACATAAGGCAACGAATTCATATTCTATCAATTGAAAACGGTCAAATTTTCTATAAATTTGTACAAAATCGGCTCAATAAGTTTAGGTTGCGCTCTCAGTTCAAAAATTCGGGGTTCGACAGGAGCTCGCGGAATAGCGTAGGGTTTCGGGAGGCTCACAAAAGTTACGAACCACTGATCTAAATAAACAAATTTCAGTATTTACATAACATCTGTTTCTTTTTCACTGCCCTGCTATTCTTTCGATTGTTTACGTACCTTTATAATTGATAGAATAAATATACACTGTTATGTACAGATAGCGTGCTTTAGTCCTTTACCATAAGGAATTATTCATGCTTATATATATTCGCATTGCAGTTGCCTCAGACCCAGAGTGTCACAGCAGATACTCTTTCAAAAATGCACATCCGCTCTTGGCGCATCGTGCTAAACGTTGGGAATACGCTTATCGTTACGCCCCACCTTGACCCACTTCGATGTGGTTTACGTATCCGCTGGTCGGGCGCAGCTCCCCAACATCAGGTCCATGCATCTGGCAACGGGATGAGAGGCCGTGGTACGGCACGCCATATGATCACTCTCCCTTGGATAAATATCAAAATTCTACCATCTCTACTGGTACAACGATTAGTAGAAATATTTGGTCACAAGAAACCAGGTCAGCAAAACTACACGATACTTGCTTTATTTGTCCACTACTTGATACAATCATCTCAAAATAGTCTTCCCGCGGTAGAAATTAAGATTGTATTCTAGAAATCATATAACAGTGGAGTTCGTTATTTCCCGTAAGCAGGGAGACCGTGTTTTCAAATCCATGGCAAAATTTCAGAAGGTCGGGAGTCTTTTCCTACTGGTTGTAAAAATGAACACTCGATACAACCGTGAAACGTCTTTTACATCAAGCTGCACCCGGGCAAGGCGAACTTACTTGCATTTGGAAGGTGACGATGCTACCCTACAAAAATAAATGAGCATCTTAGAAATTTTTTCTTTTATGAGCTCAGTCAATTGAACTAAGAAAAATTACAACTTACTAGAGTATGGTAAGAAAATTTTATTTATTTTCTGAAGAGGCTTGTAATCTCGGCTGCAGGATACAAGTCTTGAAAGAGGGCAATAAATTACACACAGACCATTTTAAAAATTCCAAAAAATCGTATAACTTTCTTAATACACGCCGCCAGACCATCACCAAAATTACACAGCTTCGCCCAAAGGTCAAATCCTGGATCCTACTAAACTTACAATCTTCACTACTTCATTTCATCATTATAACAACTTCTTTCATATAAGATCCTGCGTGAATCACATGTTATTGGGAATCCATTTTGCAAGAATAGCTAAGCATATCGTTCATAAGAATTATGAAGTATAAAAAGAAACAAATACGAAATTGTAGGTTCATGATCCATCATAAATAAAACTTTAATGATCATTTCCCCAAGCAAGAACTCCCAAGACAAACTGGATACATTCTTGGGACAGATTTCAAAACCAAAGTTTTGTTTCAAAAACCTAGTTTAGTTGGAGCCAGAGGTTACAAATGGACAAGCAAAAATGATCGGCATTTTCGACTTCACATAATTCCATTCAATCTAAATGTTTTAAATGTAAAATAGTGCAGAATCCATTCGTTTATTGATTGACCAGCAATAAAGAATATCACTTTATTCCAACGAAGAGGGAAGCCTGAATAAGTCTGCCTAATCATATGAAGAACTAATGCCTCTCATACTGACTTGTTTTTATAGTTATACATCGATTTTCTACAGAGGTAAGATGGCAGTGATGGGAATTTCGAAACTTTAAGAACAGGTTCCCTTTTGTAACAGGTTATCAATAACAGGTTCCCTCATTCCCGAAGACCATGTCGAACCAACGAGGAACAGGTTGGCATAACCCCCCCAATAGCACCATTGGATGTAGGTGTTGCGTCACTAGCTTGAGGGTGCTATTCCATGAAGTCTCAAACAAAGTGTTGCTTCACTAGCTTGAGGGTGCTATTCCATGAAGTCTCAAACACAAAGTACAATCTGGATTGCCGCCTGCAAACTGGTATGTGCTATTGTTAAAAATCCAATTTGTCAGATCGTTATGTCAGTATTGGATCAGCATCTACCACCATTAAAATACTCTAATCCACATGATATAGTTTCCTTGAATTGTGAGTTCATCATTTATCAGTGACAGGTTTCAAGGCTTCTAAATGTTTGACGAGAGATGGAAATACGAATGCAGAACATAGAATTAGGTCCCATTTGTAGCATTTGTGGAAACGGCTGTCTGTCGTCTTGTAGGCGGTGGAGTAAAATAAGAGTGACCTGCCAATGCGAACACATCGGACCTTTCTTCTTTGTGATACATCAAACAACTTTTTATGAAGGACTGGAAATGAAAGATTATCCATGAATAACATTAACATTCCATACTAAGAAAAAAGATAGGAGGGAAATAAAAAACATGCCATACTAAGAAAAAAGATACGAGGGAAATATAATTACAACAGAATTTTAAACTGATGACATATCAAGAGCTTATTTTAAATAGCAGGTAATAAAAGTCATCATTTTCCCTCAAAATTCGCCATTTTGTAAGTGGAGTTAGAACTTATATGAATTTTTACAAACAAAATGCAACATTAAGTTATATTGAACTTTCAAAATGAATAGCTGGGCAGGATTCTTTAACACACATCCTATTTCAATAAAGTTATCTGATACCTATAATCATAACTAGAGAAGACCAAACACAATGATTTTATGTACTCCCACAGATATGCCTGCCCAGCCAAAAGAGCATTGTATAACGATGTGTCCATGTCAGAATAGTTTCATTTAAAAAATATCATTTTGAGAATTTGAACTGTCACAGTGTGCCAAACCCAACTAAAAAATAGAACGCCAATAAAATCAATCAAATGATAGGGCACGCTCCACAATGAGGTTGTAGACAATTTTTTGCGGGGGCGTGAAGTTAATAAAAAATGAAAATATTTGTTAGATTTGATCTTGCCCGACTGAGGTGGGGTGCGAGACTTGACAAATTCTAAAAAGGAGGCACGGCTTAAAAATCTGAAAACCACTGCTTTAGAATGTAATAACAACGGTAGATTATTCTGCTTTGGCCCTCCCTTCATAGTATACCATACCCCCCCTAATAGGACAACTAACGCCTGAAATAGGTAAAGGTTTTAATCCAAGTATTAGCATTTGAATTGATTTTACCTTAGCTTCATTGCTGATAGATGGTTTTGGTGGGAAGGTAACTTCTGTTGCACGCAAGATGGTGTTTTGCTTTAAAATCGCTTCCTGCGTCAAGTTATGTCCAAATGGCTGCAATAAGGAATTTGAAAAAATAAAAAAATTTGGAGAATATAAATTGCATGTGTGAAATTTTAATGGAAGGCAGAGCCATGCGATGTATACTAATACATTTAGTGATTGCATTTGACATTTCAAAGCTAGCATTGTTTATTAGTTCGGTGCCGATAACCTGTAATAACAATCTGCCAGAACCTACCTTCTTTCCATACAGACATTGATAAAATATAACACCAACAGACCAAACATCAACTTTATTGTCAATTTTAGGTGGATGTCCTCCAGGTCCACGAACAAAACATTCTGGTGGTAAATACCTAGAAAAATTAGATAAATTCAAACGCTGCAAATTATATGATAAAAATATTCAGATTTTTGATTATTTTCCCTAATCGAGTTAAGATGTTTTTCAAGGATTCATGAAAAGAAATTTTTTTCGTTTATTTTTAAAATGAAGTATGGCATTTCATGATTTTTTTCATCGCAAAATCCAATCCAATTTGAGCAAATTTCTTGAATATCCAAGTAATATTGGGGCACAAACGTCTATTCGTTATAGCGCGAGATCTATCTGTGTTGGCATCGCAGTCTAAACAAATTCTGGGTCTTGTTCAAATCCTATGTTCACCACCTGACCTGACTTAATAATAAATTGAGTGAGCAATGCTGAATTGAAAGATTTGGGTCCTTTCAATAATGATAGCTCTTTACATGTCATCAGATATCAATGGCTGCTTGTTACTTATCGATCTTGATCGGTAAGTATGTTGACAGGTATTTGTCTGTTTCGCGATATCTCATGAAAGCGAGGTTGAATCTGCTCCAAATTTTGCATGTGCATTCATCATATCTCGGACCAGAAGCCTATCGATTTCGGATGAATTATGTCGTATAATTAGCGAGTTATTAATTAATTAGTGATGGGACACGTGGTGTCGCTACTGATTCAGAGCGAAGGAATCGAAATCGCAGATCGATAAGTCGGTGGTCTCCGATTGCTATCTAGTATAGATCCTTTTTAAGAGTAAAAGGTGTGAATAAACGTTATTTAAAAAAGTAGAATATAATATAATATAGAATGTAAACTAATCATCATGTTACATTTGAACATTCCGATGATAATGATCAAAAACATAAACTTTACATTCTAGATTCTATTCACTTGCTGAATAGGGCCTTGTTCTGAGCGAAATGCATGAATAAGCGTCGTATAAAAAATAGAATATGAACATTGCAATTGCCGACACGAAACTGTATAACTTATCTCATGTTATATTTGAATGTTTGGATAAAAATGATCAAAAACATTAACTTTACATCTCGATAATATTTCTATCAATGCACAATGACAAAGTACTGTTGCGAAATAATCATTTATTATTGCTGTCCTATATCTGTATCATACCAGTAAGTGCCAGCACCCTGCGATGTGAGGTCCATTCCTTCACGAGGACTCAAACCTTCATCAAATTGCTTAGATAAACCAAAATCAGTGATTTTAATATTTCCGCATACAGCACCATCGCACATTAAAATGTTCCCTGAAAAATAAATAAGTAATATATGATACCTCCTATCAGCAAAAATTAAGTCTATAAATCAAAGCATGTGGGCCAATGGGCCTAAGGTTTAGCAAACTGAATCTAACTATACTGAGAATTGACTGCAGGGGCCTTGTGGGTAAAGCTTAGACTTAACTATGATGAATAATGGCATCGAAGGTTAAATACCTCTCACCTCAACCAAGGTGTAAGAAATTGGGTAGCGAGTGCCGGACCTGAAAAATTTTGGTCCATCCAAATAAAGTAACTTCTTACATATCAGCTTCGACAGACCCTCGTTCAGAGAAAAATGCACAGAATTACGTTGTATATAAAAATAAATTATAAAATAAACAAACTCAAACGTATTAAATTGAAATTATCACAGCTCCAGTGAGCCTTCTTATAGTTATGAGTAACTTTTCATCCAGAGTTGAGTAACTGCTAATCTAGAGTCTTGTTTTGAGTGAAGCTGTGAAAACATCACACAAAGAAACAATAGGGATTTAGTTCAGATAAGCGTTGCAGTCAAGACGTTTATTTCAAATTCGCAAGATCAAAATTTTTTCTTCAAACTATGAAACACTATTTAGGTTTTTCTAGCAAAACGAAAACACTGAAAATACCTTTTCACAGTGAAATCTTGATTTATATCGAGAAATAGCCACGGCTGCTGTGAAGCTGAAAAAAAGTTTGACCCTACCCTGAACTCACTTAAAAAAAAAATTTGATTCAGACCCCAGATTAAATGTAAATAAAAATGTGAGGAAACCAATTTTGGCGTGTGCATTATTTCTTTCATTGACTACCTAGCAAGTAAATGCTTTTGGTGTTTCGGTTAGTTTGAATTCAATTAGCACCATTGTAGGCTAGATTTCCAAGTTTCTCCCTATCAAGAATTTAAAATTTACGAAGTTTGAAAATGCTACTACGGCCAACTCCGATATCATTATTAAAAGCAAGCCTGGAGCTCAAGGTCCAGCTTTCAACACAGATATATAAAAAATTATGATTTACCTGGTTTTAAGTCATAATGTATCACAGGTCTTTCCAGTGTATTTAAATATTTTAAAGCAGACACGACTTGCATTATGATAGTTCTTGCCTCTTTTTCAGACATTGATTTATGTTGTTTTAAATAAAAATCGAGATCGTTTCCTTCACAATATTCCATGACAGTACAGAACCTAAAAACAAAAATAATTTTTTATTTTTGAAAAACAACGTGGATAAAGGTTTGGGTAATTTGTTGCCGCGACAAAAGATACTTCTGCTAACTTGGTGGGTGCAAATCAAGGGCAGACACCCGAGATGGGGAGGGGGATTAGGACCGCCACCCTAATAATTTTACAAAATATCTTGTTTGGCATTTCTTAATTTACGAAACGATGCTGAGGCACTTTATGTAAAATTATTAATTGAAACAACACCCAAATACAACTCCTCAAATTTGTCGTTTCTGTCTGTTAGCAAGAGCCGAGGGTTAATTCTCGCAGAATTCAAAAAATCTGTTTTTTAGTTTGCGCATGTCCAAGCACAGCGGCCTAGGTCATGTAGTACTAAATATTTGAATAGTAAAATGCCGTTCTAATATTTCAAGAGGATGACATCGAAAGGTTATTGTTACACAACAAATTGTCAACGTGGCGACAGTGTTTATTGTTTGGCAATCCAAGCCCACATTTTCGACAACTAAAAAAATGTCAAGCTTTAAAATCACTTACGTATTAATGTCGACTTCGAATCTATCAAACAGTCGCACAATTCTTGGATGATCAACACTTCTATGGATATCTGCTTCTCTATTAGCATGTCTAGCATAATCCATTTTCTTTTGTTCATGCCAATCTCGATTTAAATGATGAATTTTTATTGCGACGTAACGTTGATGTTCACAGTCGAAACCCTGAATATTTGATGAAAGATATTGATTTCTGTTATTTCTCGAGGATATTATTGGGAATGTCTACAAATAAGAAAAAAAGCCAAAAACAACTTTCAATAAAATTGTCACATTTTGAATTATTTTAATTGATGTTTAGCTTTAGAAAAGGATTTCAACTTGGGTACATACAATGGCTAGGTATCTTAAGAATATTAATAGAGAGTAAACGAATTTATTATATCACTATCAGTCACATAAAATGGTGCTGCCATAGTGTGTGTACCAGGTTTGGGTTAGGTCATAATTTTATTCAGATTTTCCTTATTTTAGTTCTATTACGAGTTCTGGGATTGTCTGTGTTAGCCTAGTGAATATACCCCCTGACCTACAAATTGATGTGGGGATGGCAAACAAAATTGGTTACCTACATATTGGTAAACACACTTGGAGTGCCGAGCACCCATAAAATCGTAATTTTGCTAATTCAATTCCGAAATAACACATACAATATATAATTAATTTGCTACACTGTTGTAATAATAATTGTCAATATCTGTTTAAAATAAAAAAAAAAAAATTCACATCAAATTTCCAAATTAAAACATACCTTGTAAACCTCACTGAATCCACCTTTTCCAAGCATATTCAGCAAGAGATATCGATTGTGAAGTATTGGATGATCATTAAACCTAAAATGCGAACATGAAATTTCAGAAGTAAAAAAACAGTGAATCGGTTAAAATATTTATTTTCCTGAATGAATGTAATCTCTAGGGCTGTGTAGTTTTTGATTGAGAGTTTGCTGTTGATTCTCAAAAATTCAAATTCACTATGTCTCCAGAAAAAATAGCCAAACTCTAGCGTTTGACTCAAAACTAATCGAATTTTAATTATGTAAGGGTGTTACATGCAAAGATTTTATAATTTTCTGACAGGCAAAAATGACAAATTCCAACGTTACAGACGTAATTACATAGCTAGTCTTATTGATATTTGCGATAGTAAATATGTTCACATCTAAAAAGTTAAATATTATTGTATTCCCGGTAAATCAATACCAAGATTAGGGAGGTCCAGTACTTTACTCAAATTTTGCCAAAGTTTGTATTTTTATAAAAAAAAGACCACAAAATACATAAAAATAGAGCAAAATTTCAATAGTTGATTGCTTGAATCATGAGATTTAAAAATAATATTCTTCAAATCGAGTTATTATGCACCAAAAACTGAATTTAGAACCATTTCATTCAATAAAAAATGAAAATAAGAACTAAAAAAGGAAAGGAAGAAAACCTTGAATTATCTTCATTTAGTATTCGCTTCAATTCTCTTATATGTAAACTTCTTTCACGTTCGAGTCTTTCCAGTTCAAACTGTAGATCAGTTTCATCCCGCCGAACTGCATTCAATCGAAGTCTTAATACTTCATCTCGTTCGTGATATTCCTGAACTGTGAACTGTTCTCGAACTTCCTGAGTGATAAAATAGATTAAAATGAGTTTTTTAGTGAGGCAGATATTTTTACAGATAAAGCGCTTACCCCAAAGGCTCTGAGCAAGCTACCACTGATAATTAAGATTACTAACATGCTACTATAGGGCTTGCTGAACCAGGAGTCTCGTCACGGTAGCACAACAAATTTTAGGGGTCGCAAAGAGTACACCAATTTCACACGAAGTACTATATCCATTGTACTTTTTTTTAGACGTTTGATTCGAAACACAATTATTAAAACTGGTGCAAAACATAAATTTTATGATTTCGGGAGAATATTTAGAATGAGAGAAAGCGGCTTGCTTGCATAACAATGGCTTACTTTGATCATAAGACCCGAGAGGCGGCGCCCTTCCGTCGAACTGTTTAGCATTTTTAGACATGAACAGGGGTTATGGAAAATTTTAATATATTGAAAGGGGTTGCGAGTTTGCGAGCTCAAAAATTTGGGAAGCCCTGTTCTGCTACATTCTGATTCTGTGACACTGCCGAGTGCCAACACAAATTGAATTCATTGGTTCATTAGTCACGAAGAAACCTCAACCCAACAATCCCAACAACATGCATTTGGCAGAATGATATGTAGGTCCACTTCGTCTACCCCAATAAAAAAGCATACATTGATAAATCAATAAAATACAGAGAAATGGTAAATCACATTTAGATTACGTACCTTTGGTTTTACAAATGTTCCTTCCGTATCTGCAGCTTGTTTATTTCGAAGATTTGTCGGTTTTCTTTTATTCAATATCTTTTTCTCCTTTTCTATATCTTCTTTCTCTTTATTAATAGTTTCACGCTTTCTGCAAGGTAGTGGTTATTAATTAGCTGTTTTCAACATTGTAAAGTAATGCTCAATTTGAGAATATTTGATAATATTTTTATTTTTAGTATTTGACGACTATTGTTCAAACTGAAAACTTATGATTTATGCCAGTGTTTCTCAAACTGATTCCCCCCGCCAAAGGGGCCACAAAGCAATTCTCCGAGGGCCATGTGTGAAGGTCTTCACTAGATACCATTTGCAGTACCCACGTTAAATTGAGGTAAATTAATTTGTTCAATTCTTTGACCGTAATACTTTTTTTCTTTTTTTGGTTGACTTTTCTCTAATAAGTGTAGCGAGCAAAATAACTGATGGAAAAGCTTTAGATAAAAGATCAAAGGGCCAAAATGTTGATAACCATAAGAAGATGCCCACGGATCATAAAGTTTGAAAACGACTGATTTAGGTAGTATATTAGCCTTGGAGTGTCGAAAATCAAATTGTATGAGCAATAAAGGATTCTGGAAAACCTGGATATTTCATCATTGACCTACCGATCTATATCAGCGAATGCCCATCCATTGATCCATGTTTCTTGGTAACTGTGTCCTTGTCTTGTGAACTGACCCAATCGCAGTCTCCCTTCCATAGCTTTCTTTCGAGCTTCCTTCTTTTCTGCTTTCGTTTTTTCAACTAGTAATCGTCTGTTTACCAATTTACACTTTTCTAATTGATCGGTATAATGTTGTACCAGGGTTTTGAATTCTTGGAGTTGGCATTCTATATTAGAATTTTTCTGTAAAAAGAGGCAGGTATGAAAGATTTTCAGGCAACCCAGATTTGGGTCGCTACCCATAGGTCGGGAAACACTGTTCTATATCACTGCTACTCTAGTAGTACCCTGCTCAGAAATTAGTCTCATACGGTAACTTCGAGTGATGGCGCAAACTTTGTTTTGATCAACTTCTTTTTATGAAATAGGCCAGGGTGGTCCAAGGTTGTCGGTCTCGCGGGCCGCACTATTATTTTTGTATTGTTCGCGGGCCACAATAGTGTCAAGAATAGTAAACAGTGCAATACAAAACAAACACCATTATTTGTCATTTATCAATCTAAAACATGCAAAATCCACCAAAAACTCACTAAAACGTCTAAAAATCTTACTATATCTACATTTAGTGTAAGATTTCAAACTCTTCCTAACGGAGAAAGTGTCATAAGACAAAAATTGTCACCGACACAATTTGAAGACATATCAAGCAATAATTGTAGTATTTTTATGGTGAAACAACACCAAATGAGATTTTTTGTTTACCCTCTCGCAAATGCGACGCGGGCCATAGATAATGAAGCAACGGGCCACATGTGGCCCGCGGGTCTGGGTTTGGACTACCCTGAAATAGGCTATAATATTTAATTTAAACATATAAAGAAAATGGTAAATTCAACCAAATATTTACATGAAGCAAATCTTCTATTTTTCGATCGTGTTTTGATTCTAGAGAGCTACTTCTGCTTTCCAATTCCACTATATCTTGCATAGTGACGTCAGTTTGATTATTCCTGTATGAAATACAATATAAAATATTGAGTCAAAAGAGAAGTAAAGTTAGTCAAGTAAAATCAAATAATTTACTAATACGAAAAATTAGTTTGGCAGTAGTATCTTAATATATATGTACCAAGTTGATTTTCATGACATTTGAGACATCATTGGATATTCGTAGGAATCGTAGCATTTGTATTTTTTTTATTGACGCAGTAAAATTCAAACAAGATGTTCTTCGATTTTCTAGAATTTCTAGTTGAATCAAACCTATTTTTCCCTAACCATTGATATTAATAGTTCAATATGAAAATATTTACATCCAATCCGATATACATTGCATTTGATAACAAAGAATATTTGAAGTAATCGATATTGGATTTACTATGGGCAGGGATGGCCAATTCGAATAAAGTATTCGAATGTATTCGAATATCTCGTCATTCGAATATCGGAATTCACGTTCATAAGAATATCGGATATTTGTGTGACGTCACACATTTTCGACGCCGCTTTCAAGACGTTTCCGCTGAATGAAAACATTCTCGATAGAAACTTGCGCGTGATCGTTTTTATCACTCATCAACGTAACGTGTTATTTAGGCCCGTAAACGCCTTTATGATTGTGTTATTTTGTCTAAAACGAAAATTTTCCACAAATTTGTTCCACGATAACGATAACATTTATTTTATTTTTGTACGCGCACGGAATTGTGAATCTGGTAAATACGTTTATCGGCGGCGAGTTTCTAAAGACAACGCAACTTTTTGATTGAAAAGCGGCAATTTAAAATACTGAAAATAAAACCATAAACAACATAAATTTTCATTGAGGCCCGCGAAAATTTAAAAAACGCTTTTCTAGGCAGTGAAAATCGCAAAAATTCGTGTGCCTCTGGCACACATTATGTTTGGTCGGCGTTTAGAAACATATCGTTACTAATTGAGGGCGGGATTTGCCTGATTATCCATTACTTTAAATTGCCGTCGAATATTTTCGGGTTAACACCATACAAGGTTTGAAACGCGACTTTTTTCCTGGTTTCCCTGGTGAGGATGTATATAATATAATTAATCTAAAGTATATTCAATCAATTTTATTGTGATGAAATAAATTTTACTCCGAGATATTTTACTCAAAGCATTTCGATCGAGCGGAGTCACTGTTAACAAGTACATCTAAATATTTGCCGAATTCGCGAAATACGGATAAAAACAATATTTAATCGGACAGTTTACCTCACGTTTTTATTTTTATGGCCGCGGATTGCAATGGTATATAAGAGTGGTGAGGATTTTATTTTGTCGACGCAACCGCAGGTTAAATTGAAGACAATTAAATTAATAAGAGCAAGACATTTTAAATATGTCCGTGTCGGTGACGAATTCATCACTTTGCACAACAGAAAAATATATATTCGTTGTTATATTATTTGTTGTAAAAGTCTCTTTTAACAGGTGGCATAATCGCGGCGATGAATATGTATTTTTAATTTACTGCTAAACTTTATATGTATATTCATTGTATGAAATGAATTATTCTCTACACTTAACAGGATTTTATATAATTATTTGAGATTTTTCTAACGGCGATAACGAGTTGGCAAGATTGCAAAAATACATATTAAAATTAAATACATCAAGCAGTTTATCTCGTAATTTTAGGTCACAGATTGCCGTGGACCGAATAGTAATGTTTTTTTTGACGTAAGAAGAAGCAACCGCGAGTTATGTTGGACACATTAAATTAATATATAAAGATATTTTAGAATCTCGTAGTTGTCATGGATTGAATATTTTACGTAACAGAATGATCATTATACTCTGACAAGACGGCTCTTTTAACGAGCGCGGAGTCGCGGTGGGTGTTACAGGCGGCAATGAGAATTTCCGATTTTGAAAATCCTGACTGCGCGCTGTCAGTGGTGGTCATCTATTCTCTACTAATTTATTTCTAACTCCAAACACAACAATATGTTACACATAATAACAATATGGTTCACATAAATTTATATACAAATATACTGGTAGGTAGTAGAATACTCTAGGCTTAAATATTAGAATTTTTAAAGGCATAATGGATTTTCGATTGTTGTTGCCTGTATTGCCAATAAATTTTATTACTCTCAGAAAATACACACAATTATCTGAATACAAGTAGTATTTTTGTCAATAGACTCGACTATTATCGTAATATCATGGTACCAATGATAGAAAGCGTCAGACAACTCCTTGGCTATCTTTTCATATGGTCATTTGTACAAAGTGAATAATTTTAATAAACTGACTGTGTCACAAGTTGCTTTTATTTTTTATTAATAGCTATAAACTATCAATTACTCTGTGTACATATACTGTTGGTCTGTGGCTTCATTCTGATATTTCTATTGAAGCTTATTTCCTAATTTACTGGGTTTTAATCAACTAAAACAAAAATGTGTTATTTTCGATTTTAGAATGTATTCGGAATTCCAGATTCGAAAACATTATTTTAGAATGTATTCGGAATAGTTTAGTATTCGGAAATGGCCATCCCTGACTATGGGTTTCCGATGTTGAACAAACTCTATCCTTTGTTTGACTGTTCAGATTAATTTTCAAATTGCAAATATCTGTGCTGATAATCCAATATCCCGAGCATTTTTAAATCCAGAATCGACAATCCGTATAGGAAAAAACAATGCATAGATGTACAAAAAATTATATGGGTGGACCGCCCAAAGTGCTTTGCATTAGTAGACAATTTTGGCTAATTATAAATGTTCACATTTACTATTTGTGAAGTGTATTTAATTACTAGGCATACATATATAATATACACTGAACATTTATTTATAATAAAACCATATTAAATTTTTAGGCATCTGACAATGCCGTTACAAACACAAAGAATTGGTCCAGACAAAGAATGAAAAAATGGGACTTTGAACTTAATTTTGGGATTGGCTTACAAATGGAGATAACAAAGAAGCCTCTATTATTATAGACATTGATACAAAATGAAAGTCATTACAAAATTCATTCCACTAGTTTACACACAAATGGGAGAGTTTATATTATGAATATTTGAATATACTGTATTGTATACTACAGTATATACTATTGTATACTGTATAGTGTACCCAGACAAGGAGTGTTGTACAATACCATAAACTAAATTGGAATAATAAATAAAATAATTCACATAAAACAAATCCATACTTCACAACTTTACTACTAGTGTTTTTTCTTTGATGATATTGATGCAACAATCCAGAAAAATCAATATTACTTGAATTACTGTTCTGCTGGATATGAGATGTCGGTGATTTTAACTGAAAAATAAGCAGTAATAAATAGTTTTTTATAGCCTATTCTCATCCTTGTATACATTAAAACAGAGCTCCTCAAATAGGGGTTCCCGACCCCCAGGTGGGTTGCGGAAGGACACAATGGGGGTCGTGGTAAGAATGTTTTGGACATTTACTCAAAGTATGTTGAAACAAAATATCGACCAAATCTGAAAGATTTGGAGCCAGTAATGAGATCCACCTTCACCAAAATAAAGCCTAGAATATTCAAGCACATCAGTCGCATTATTGAAGGTATTGTCAATTTTTTTTTAAATATTTTCTGTACTATTCTATTTTACTTTATTTTAATTCTCTATATTTTATAGCTTTCAGAAATTGAACAAATACCATGTGGTAATAATGTGTGACCTCATTTTGTTCAAAATGATAATTCTAATAATTTGAACAATTCTATTCCTAGAATCAAGAACTTAAAATAGCAAATATAATTGATTTTGAATCTATTTAAATATTTAGTATGAAGTCAGAGACATAAATAAGCATTAATCAATTTAGCAAAATTGAATATGAAACATTCAAATTGAAGATCATGTTTCAAAAAGGGAAAAAACATATTTGAATATCAAAAATAAAAATAGAACTAACCACAGTCTGTGGAGAGAGATTAATATGATCCTGTCTTCCCGATCGAGATGGACTTACTGTTGAACTGGCACCAAAATAATCGTTAATTTTTTTGCTGGAACTTTTTTTGTGATCAGAGGAATCAGCTAAAAATAGAAATTTGAATTAGGGAATTGCAAGGTAAAATAATCCTAACCAAAGTTTAAATATTTAAGTTTTATCAAAATGTCTTGAAAATTTTGGGATTTTTTTGCCCCAAAATTGGCTCATAATATTAAAACTAATTTTATTTCTATTTCATATTATCATTACACAAAAATGTACACAATATTGAAATCTTTGTTTGTCAACTAGCTGTAAGACAGACCCGTAAGACATAGCTCAGTGACTCGAATCAGGGATCCGAAGACCTGCGACCTAATTTAACTTGAGTTAGCAGCTTTTACCCAATACTGGTCTCGGCAGTGCCTCTGATACACCCCATCTTCACTTGACACAAGACTAGGATAACTTGTGACTCAACTTGACTAGCGGCTCGGGAGACACCTAATATACGTTAGTTGTCAGCAGCGTCACAAATATCATACCTTTACGTTTTTTACCCTTCCTTCCTCCTTCTGATTTTTCCTTATCCGGCCTTTCTGGAGTTGATGTGTAACCCGATGCACTGTCACGATCACTACTGCCACCTATTGACCCAGCGCTCATGTTTGATTCTGATCCAGTTTGACCTTGCTGTATAGGAAAAAATCAGAACATAGATTAGATTTCTAACCAATAACATAATTTCATCAGTTAAGCCGCAACCAGCCAGTGGTTATGTGAGTCAAACTATGAGTCTAGCGATACTCTTGAACATAAATATCCTTCATTGGATTCGAACGTGCAAACTCGGACAGAGTAATCATCAGTGGCGTAGCATCCACCCCCGCGGTCGCGGGGGGACCCACAGTGCAAAGGGGCCCAAGCGGTTACAATTTGGAAATTTAAGCAGCATAACCAAAAGCTGCATTGCAAAACCAGTAATGCACATCTATAACGTTGATGTTAGTTCTGCTCAAATCGTTTTGTTACGTAACAATGCCAGGAGGTCGTCGATTTTCAGCGTCTTGCGGTCTGATCGCACCGGCAAAATTACGAAGGCTGTCAGAATGATGTCGAAAGCAAAACTTCTCAGTGGCGCACAGAAACGCAGAAAAAGGGCAGAAGAGGAGAAACGTATGAAAAAATTGAAGTAACCAAGATAAACGGCAAATTTTAGGTTACCATTGCCTTTTTATAGCGACATGTTATGCTTTTTGACGAAATAAAAAAGCTATGTTTTAGCCTATGTCCGGGAGTTCTAGGGTCATTTCCACGAACTATTTTTGCGGGGGGGCCCACGAGAGTCTTGCTACGCCACTGGTAATCATAGTTGCAATAATAAAAGTGTTCCAAAGGCTGAAAGGATTAGCATGATACGCCGACCATCCATCGAGGATACATTGAATGAACCCCAGTCAATGATTTCTCTGGACAATAGGGCACAGCTCTTTAATTCCAAGAATAGCCCCACATTAAAAGTGAGTGCCAACCCCTACTTTTACGAGTCAGTCAGGGCCTCCAGATTGACTCAAAGCGGCAAACTGGCACTGCGCAATAAACTAAAAGGACGTGCAATATAAAAGCGTCACCAATGTATTCCTCAGTAAAAAATAATCTAATTTAGTGAAAAAAAATAGTTATGGTAGCAATTTTGGTTACGTGACAGACTGACAGCAAATGCATGTTGCGATTAAATTAAATTATTGCCGAGACAAGCTTGGCAGACGCCTATGTTTTTGAGACAAATAGCAGTACGGCACACTATACAAATCGGGTGACATTGTCCCGTTTGAGAGAAACCCATTTTACAGATGATCAGACACCCCTCCGCTGGGAGATGTCCGGACATTGTTGTCCCTCAATATCTGTGATAATACAGTATAATGAAGTACAGTATAAATGCGCAAAATACTACAAATAGGCGCAATCTAGTAACGTCATCATTGAATTCCTTGGAAAAAATAATCCGATTACCGAAGAAAAAAAAATTTTACCATAGCATTTGATGGTTTTTAGCAAAAAAGGGTAATTTTGATCATGTGACGGCCGCGATTAACTTAGATTATTATTGAGACAAGCATGGAGGGATATGTGGCATCTGACGTGGTCCCAGACGCCCCTCGTTTGTGAGACACATAGAGTGTTTGTTTTATTGAGCCAAATGGAGGAAAATTCTTGGAATTTGGATAGTGTGCTGTACTGAATAGAGTGTTTGAAGGTAGTGAACTAAATGTTGAGACATCGTGGAATCGCATAACTGTGCCCTACTGTTGGAGCAGTATTCTGGTAAAGCATAATAACCTTTCTATCACAGTATCATATCTCATTTTCCATATTTTGATGCATTACTGCATTAATGCTTTACACTGTTATATCCTATATGTTGCTATCTTGTACTATTTCAAACTTATTTCAGCATTTAATGATTACAGATTTATAGTTTTATTTAGGTCTACTCCAGTATTCAAACTTCAGACTGTCAGAACTGGAAAAATAATCATCTATTTTATCTGCAAACTATTACAATAGGACAAAAAGTGTAGTGTATTCAGGTATTGGCAGAATGGTAGCGGCGTTGTAAGAATAAATGCAGGTATTTTTCCCGTAAATGACAAGACAGGGTTGAAATCACTAAACAAGCAGACAAAAACTGTATCGGTACTTACTCTTGAAGAACCAAGAAATCGAGCTTCCAGAAGTTCTTGTCTTCTAGCATCAATTGTTGGAAGATCATCCATGTCAGTCACTACAGCTGGGGACTATTCACAGGCAGAAGAGCTGGAGCAATGGATTAAACAAACAGTGCGATACGCCGACAGCAAAACACTGAAGTCAAGACTTTACCCAGTTTAGCAGTCACCCCAAATTTATAAATTCAACACTGAAGCAGTCTCAAATCCGTTGCCTAAATAGAATATTTAAATGTTGTTGTAAATGGATTCCTCATTTATTCAAATGAGACGTAGGAACGAAGCACTGAAATAAAGGAAGCTGGCACAAGAACACCGGTAACGAGATGCAGAGATGGGGGAGGGCTGGGAATTCTGCCAATTCCCCATAGATCACACAATATTTTCAGCAACAGCATCCCATGCGGATAAATAGTGAAAGTAAAATAATCGATTAGTTTGGTCCTGAAATAGTAGATACGTTATGGAAGGTACAATGTTACAAAAATTTCATAGCAAATACAATGATTATACATTTTTTTTATATAAATTAGCACTAGTTAATGTGGACGCTGAAAACAGAAAAATAAACAGTTGAGGTAAAGAGGACCAGCGCAGTTGTAAGGCCACTGGTTTATTGGACACCAACTTTACGCAAATCCGGTATGAAGATGGCAAGAAACGCCTCAATTTTATCAATTTTTACGCGTAGTGAAAAATGGTATCCACTATAAACACGATATTTCCGCCATAAAAGGAAACTACCAATTCAGGCGGAAGAGTAGTGAATTATATTCAACTGTTTTTAGTGCAATTGTATTTTTTCTTATCGACTGTGGAGCATGGTGAATGAATTATTTGGAAAAGACGATACAAACAAACATATTTCGATATATTATAACCAATCAGGGCTGTTTGTGATCAATTATCATGTAGTGATGCAGTATATACTACTACTTTTTAAGACTATATTTAAGAAATAAAATAGATTGAATGCCTATTAATTCAGTAAACCGTGGATGAAGTGAGAATTAGGAAACAACTTCATCAATCCAAATGCGATTTTCTCGCCAGTTGTTTCTTATCACTTTTCTTTAAATCTTCAGTCTCCAATGTATGATAAAAATAACTCATTCTGAAGGCAAGAGTGTAGAGGTAAGATCGGGTCCAAAAATTCCAACCCGACCCAGGCCCGTGGGTATTAAACCATCCCGAGCCCGACTAATTAACTGCATTTGCAGGCCCGAGCCCAAAACAAACCCGAAATTTCACATTTTATTTAGGAGTTCATCGAATTGTCATAGAAAGAGTTTAGTACAGTATGTGTCATGTTGATAAGACCAAATGTCATTGATGAGACAACTTCTGTTTTTTTTTTGCAGACAACGGTCTCTTGTGGCCAAAACACGGCCGAACCGCCTCATTAGAAAAAAAGTCAGCCATGGACAAGCCCGATACGACCCGAACGTAATGATTGATGTTTCAGACCCGACCTGGCCGAAATTCTGGCCGGTTCGTGCTTGGGCTTCAGATCTTATCTCTACAAGACTGTCTCTCAGTCATTCATTTGTACAGTATTGTAATTACATACAAAAAGTTAAATTTTCCCGTTTCGTTGTTCCTCTGTAACATAGAATTATGACGTCATAAGCGTACAATATAATTACTCGAATAAAGGAAAATCATTTATTCAAACCTGGCTTCGTATTAGTATTGAGCGTAGACTGTTATGAAAAGAGATTGGCCTTGAAATAGGCCGATCGTGGACGGTTCGACAATATGACATAGTGACATGACGATGCTCATCTGCAGTGCAGGGCAACTGACCAAAAGCAATGGGCCACGTAGTGACCCTTTAAAAAATCAATTACCTAAACTTGCATGCACAAAGCCGTCAGAAAGATTGGAGCTTTTCGCCCGGAAACTCCACGCCTGTTGTACGTGTTACAACTTTGCAGATGAAAGTTCTGACCTAAAGGCGAAAGAGCTAAAACTCGTTTACCTTCAAGAAATTATTGAGTATATTGATTTGACACAAGGTGTGTTGACCCACGAACCAATTTACGCCCTGTCTACGGTGATGATTAGTCGAAATATATTCAGAACTTTTGCGCCTAAAGATCCCGACTACGATCCCGACGAAGACGACGCTATTTTTGATCCTGCTTGGCCTCACCTTGAGCTCGTATACCAGTATTTTCTTCATTTTTTAGAAGCGAATGATTTTCAACCAAGCATCGCAAAGAAGTATATGGACACCAGGTAAGAATTGACGATTCAACATGCCTTTTTTATTTTATTTTTTTTTGCAAAATTTGGCTCGTGGGTTTGGCGCATCGTGCTGAGCGTTAGAAATACGCGCCACCGCACTTCTGATTAGGCTACCTTGCGTGGGTTCGCAGGTTCGAATCCCATGCGGGGATAGTTATGTGCGAGAGGATTGCTAGACTCCTCGCCGCCGTAGGGTGGTTCACGTAACCGCTAGTCGGCTGCGCCTTTCTCCACCATCAAGTCCATGTATTCGAAAACAAATAACTGGCTAACTAATCCCATACCCAACAAGGACTGAATAAATATGTAAATCCTATTCTTTCAGACGCGGGTTAAAATTGCTAAATGATTCCGTTCTAATTAAGATTTGTCACAAGACTGCTCTATGTGTTTGGAAGTGACGATATGCGAGAGAGGGATATACTGAAAACAATTTTACATCGTGTTTATGGAAAGTTTCTGGGACTTCGGGCGACTGTCAGAAGACAAATTAACAACATATTCCTCGCGTATCTATATGATGGACAAGAGTTTACAGGAGTCGCTGAAATCTTGGAAATTCTTGGTAGTATTATCAATGGATACGTAAGCCCGATGAAGCCAGAACATCATTTATTTTTGGATAAAATTTTGATTCCCCTTCATTCGTCGAAAGACATGGCTTTCTTTCAACCTCAATTGGTTTATTGTGTCGTTCAATACATGGAAAAAGATCCTAAGACGGCTGCGAGTATTTTAAAAGTAGGTGTGCTTACCATTTTGTAAGAAAATTGCCTTTCTATGTATATTAAAGTATAATTGTCATTACATATAGGATAGGATTTACATATTTATTCCGGGGGAAAGGGAAGCCGATAAGACGGCTTAATCATAAGGCGATGAGTCAGTCCATGGACTTGATGGTGTGGAGGAAGGCGTAACCGACTAGCGGTTACGTGAACCAACCTACGGCGTCTATGGAAGTCCAGCAATCTCTCGCACACAACTTCCCCGCATGGGATTCGAATCTGCGAACTCACGCAGTGTAATAAGAGGTACGGTGGCGAGCGTATTCCTAACGCTTTGCACGATGCCCCATACCCCATATATTTAACATTCAATGTGCGAAGTAAACTGCGCTGATTCAAATGTCGAGCATAACATAATAGAGATAGAGTTTCTCAACTATCTATGTAATTCAATTTCAGGGTTTGTTCAAATTTTGGCCAAAAACTTGCAGCACCAAAGAAGTGTTATTTCTCGGTGAATTGGAAGAATTAATTGATGCAATGCAACCTGGTGAATTCACAAAAAATCAAGATCTGATACTAAAACAGCTGTCAAAATGCATAACGAGCCATCATTTCCAGGTCATGTTTATTGTTATTATCTCGAAGCATAGTGACATATATAAATATTTTAGAGCTTGGCTGAAAGCTAGGTATCAGCGACCGTTTCTCGTGAGACATGAATTAGTTTAAGTAAATAGAATTTTACTTTGCAAAAGAACTTTTGACTCATTGTAGATTCTTAGATTGCGATTTCCTATTGATCAAAAATAAAATATCTGCCTGAACAAAAAGGACATCACCAAATCATATTTATTTATTTAATTATTTTGAAATAAACCTTTTATCCTTAAAGAACACTATCGACCAATTATTATACATAATAGGGCAAAATTGTGATTTGATATAAAAAAAATATAGCAAAATCACTTCTAGGCTATGATTTCCCGCTGTTTAGCACTTAACAATATTTTAGGGGGAAAAATGACCGTGCGAAATATCGCTTGAATGGGAGAGATCAACTAAAAAATATATAACCTATTTCAGCTTTGGTTGCCATATAGCCTGCCTGACCCAAATGGTTATGAGATTCACGATCTCATCGGAGGGTTACGGATTCGATATATCAAGCAAAGTCGCTTTTTATTCACGTCCCTCAAATCAATGAAAAAGTACCGCCGTTGTAGTTGATGAAAAGATTCTAATATTAGATTTATTTAATTCTAGCAAATATTGAACTCTATTCTGCAAGTATCAAATTATTCATTGTTATTAAATCCACAAAAATATCACAAGTTCTGCTTTACACCTAAAATCTGACATAAAATCCCAAGTAATACCTGCATACATCCATTTTTCAGGTCGCCGAACGGTCATTATACTTCTTTGATAATGAGTATATTATGAGCCTGGTGGAAGTAAATGCAGACGAATGTTTTCCTTTGGTATTGCATTGTCTCAAATCTATTTCTCTGGAGCATTGGAACATGTCTATATCGACGTTAGCTGCTACTGTACTCCAGACTTTTAAAGATTCAAATCCGGACGTTTTTTATAAAGTGCTCGGCCTACCGCGCCCTCCACCTAAGCCAAGATCGATTGCACAATCCATGTGGATGAAGGCGGCGGGATTAAGCCGCAAAGCTTGAATGTATTTCTCTTCGTAAAGTTGTTGAATTAAAATCGAAATATGAAAATTTCTATTGATATTTCTAATAATTAAAGGTAAATTGAAAAATGAAGGCTTAAGGAAACATATTGAATAAAAGAGAGCGATATTCGATTATTTGGACACGAAGACAAAACGAAGTAGTACTGGTATGCAATCGGTCACAGTAGACTGCCGGTACCGCAGCCTTCACGATTGCGCAATTTTCGATGACGTCATCGCACACACAAAAACGTATCCCATAGAGCCCACAGAAATTTTTTGAAATAAATAAAAGTAATAGCCTTCTAAGGAAAAAAACAATCTTTAACCACTGAATATTTCAAAGCAATTGGTCCAGTAGCGAGTAGATAATGAGAAAAGAGTTTTTCATAACAATAGGAAGAAAAATACCAACAAGAACAACAACATAATAACGAGACAACCCATATGTACACTTAGTGTCCAATAACTTGCACTGTTCCACAAATAATATTGTTCAATTTAATTAGGATTTAAGAGAAAATGTTTGCATTACAGAAAAAATTCCTGCCCGTTGGAGGTTATTTATTTCATTGGTTTAAATGAATTTTGTGCAACAAAAAACACACAAACTACAGAAAAGTTAGATGAAACTATATAACAGCAATGACAGTCCCAGTTACACCAAAAATATATTTCAGGTGTATAGTATTATGAAAATCAAATGCAAAAAAGGAACTCCCATATTAAACAATAATTATGTTCAGTCTGAATTATTGGATTGAAAAATAATATTAGTTCGGATATTTTTATTGTAAATTTACTAAAAAATAACACGCGGTGCAACGTTATGAGTCTATGACATTATCAAATGATAAGTTGTATTGCTCCCAAACTCGAGAATGTACAAGTTATAGCTCACAGTGCAAGGTCGCGGTACTGGAGTCGACTTCAAATGTTTATCAACTTGGAGAGACGGAGTCATAATTCTGTCAATCCAAGCTGGGAATCGGATTTTGTACGAGTCTTGCTATTTTTATTATGATTTCTTCGTCCATCAACCGATGTTACATACACCAGGTAGTATTGGTGTGATGTGAACGTTTCGACTGAAAAAATAACACATGTAATACTAACTGTTCAAAAATTTCTTATTCTGTAATCGAAGAATAGTATGAATATTTTTCGAAACTTTAAGGAATGATAGATTATCATTTATAGCGATACAAACGATAATTTGAAGCCTTATATCAAAAGTCATGATATCAGAAAACAAAGCTATTCAGCAATATCATGGATAGAGAAGGTGCTATTTACAACAATGAATTTCAAGAGAAGGATTTTGAAATATTACTAAAACTATGCATCCTACTACTCCGGGTTTGTAACGTTATGTTGTCTAACAGATTAGCTTCTTCCGAAGTATTAGACGAGAAGAATAAATCCAGGTGGTTCATACCAAAGTGACTATAAATCAAGTGGAGACACCATGTGCAATTATGCATATCGGACGTCATTTTGTGTCCAGCGAATCGGGGGAACGCGGCAGCGTCGGTTTGTTTTAGCTTCGTCAGAAGGTCTTGCTCGTTAATTTGTTTGAAGATTTTATACTGTTTTTCATTTTATTCGGGTAATTTCATAATTTTTCTTTCGCTAATTGCTTCGTGAAACCATACTGGTATCGTGCGGTTTCGTGAAAGTTGCGATAGTTATCTTATCATCCCGTGTGAGTTATGCAACTTTGAAACCTCATATCTCACGAACCCTATATTATATGCAGATTAGTTTTATATTGTTTGTCTAATTATAATTATGAGGTGGAGATAAAATGTCGTTACCAATGCATGTCCTCACTTGGTTTATAGTGTCTTTGGTTCATACATACCATTTCATTACGCAATGAAGATTATTCAAGCGTGTCTCAGCGTCAATTAAATCTGTCGTTTTTTTACTGCTCCATAATCTCTCAGCTGCAGCTGAAGCTAAAGGCCAGATTTCGGTGATGACGTTGTTCGCTTCAACATGCTCTGTCCACATGCAAGACTCCCCTCCCAAGACATGATGGAGATTCTTCTGTTCTGGGATTGTATAGGAAGCAATATTTTATACATATGAAATATTTCTTGCACGTTTCGAAGAGTTTAGCACCCATTATAACTTTGCTTCTTACAACGACTGCCAATTGGCCAACTGCCGATAGTCAGTAGATATGTTATCGAATATTCAATGGACAGCTGCGCAAAATAAGAAAATGATTATATATGATATAAACAGAGTGACACCCCCAAACCAGAATCCATAAATTTCTCAATTACTATTACGAAAATGAAGAACATTTATTGGGTACGAAACGGGCCTATAGATTGTTCAGTTAATATGTTGTTGTTGTTCTACTTCGACCAAAACTGTTTCTTTACAATCACAGTGAATGTTATTTTCGTACACACAGCCTTGGTAACACTTGGTCTTTATTGGGTGGATAACATGAACCTGTGATCCCGTGAATGCACTAATACAGTGGTTCGCAAACTTCTTTGTATTGTGAGTGACGTCCCTCAAGAATAATTCTCAAGTTGCGACTCCCTGTGAAAAACGTCTCGATATTTTTTCAATAAAAGACCTTTTTTTGCATTGAGTTTCATTTGAACGACCAAAGTCAGTGAAATCACTTTCAATGATATGGTTTGTATTTGCTTCTTTTGTCATTGGACCTAGGGGTGAATAGTGAGAGCCGCACGCATTTCTCTTTCAACATTTACCCAACATCGATATTTCGTCCTAATTACGGCCATGGAGGAAAACTAAGTGATTCCAAAGTCCAAATAGTTATCACTTTTCTTGTTAAGTAATACTATTACGCTTGTACACTTTTGTAGTACAACTTAATATTTAGACTTTTTCTACGTACCGCGAAAATATTACAATTTCACAAAATATTTGTGACGCCCACTCTGAGAACTACGGCACTGACATCTGAGACTAGCAATCGAGTTTGGATGACCAAATATTTTCTGATTCTCCTCCCAAATGTAAAGTAAAATCAGCAAAAACAAAAAATAGAAAAATGAAATTCTAACCGACGTATTCCGCAGGTTTAGCCAAGTACATAATATCCCACTGTCGCTTCAGTGTGTTATCGAGATACCATGGATAAGAAACGATTACATCTACTGATGCATCGGTTAAATCTCCTACTTTATCCTCCGGATGATCCACTGTCCAAACCTCAATTGTTGCGGGAGTCTAAATTTAATACAAACTTTGTTTTAGATGAATTTTGTGTTAGAATCGACTGTACACATATATAATAGTGATGGTCTCAATAGGTTTGGCGTGATAAATGACCGTATTGGGTCAAAGGTCATTGAAACGCGGAAGCGCTTTATTCTGTCTGGTCCACCGAACTGGAAATATACACTCTGTGACTTGTGCTCTGTAGTCTATATTAGCAAATGCCAAGTTAAAAATACTTCTCACTTCCGTGTATCCATGAGAAAACACATCATCCCATGCAATAGGTTTCAGGTTTAATTTCCTTGCTTCTTGTAAAATGCCTTCAATAAACATTCGATGAATTTCTTTTTCGGTTGTTCGACTCTTTGACATATATTTACGAAATTCAGAACTAGTAAGCCTGAAATTTGTTGAAAACCAAATAATACTTAAGTTTCAAATGTTAATAACACCTTACCATTTAAAAAAATTACATTCGTTTGAATCACTAAAACGAGATTTATATCCAATTCCATGATATAAGCCAAGGCAACGAACAAGCCAAGCTAGAGTTCAGATTATCACGGTAATAAAAAAATCGTGACTGTTGTATATATGTTTTAAGTGCGGTTAATGTATTATTTCACTACTACTTTATTTGTAAAACATACTATTTTAAAACATAAAATAAATCATTAAAACATATAGATAACAAATACAGTGGGGTAGTAGACATAGAATTTGAGCAATAAATCTTCAACTTCAAAAGTCTTACGTGGTCATCGAGACCTGAAGTTTTATTGTTCAAGGGGCTCATTATTATTATGCTACAAAATGAGTGATATGGATTTCTTTTATCTGTCGCTGAAGTTTTTCTGTGTCGTTTTTCTTTGCAGTTTTGCAGAAAGCTTGGCCATATCCTGATAAACAATTTCGATGACCATAAACAACAATTGTGAAGGCTACTTACCAACATTCGTGAGATATTTCATCTCCTCCTATGTGTATGTATTCATCCGGAAACAAGTTTTTAAGTTCAGAGTAAAGTGCTCCTATAAACGTATAAACTTCCGGGTTCAAAGGGTCGAGTGTTCCCTTAGAGTCGTCCCGAACTCCATTTGCTAAGATGTAAATAAAAAGTTCGTAATGTGTGTGTGTGTGTTAGGAAGTAAAACTACTGTCAATTATTGCATATCGACTTACTAACGGAGTAACAATTCAGAAAAAGGTCCGGTCGAGATTTTGCTAATGCGGAGGCGTGACCCGGTAGATCAATTTCCGGGATGACCCTGATTCCCCGTAACCTTGCGAATTCAACGATTCTTTTAACGTCTTCCTCTCTATAAACAGATTTTCCGTTGTCAAATGCACCCTGCAAAAAGTAACTTATATTTTCCAGTGCTGGGGGAAACAAGGATGACTCGGGGTGTTGAAACTTGCCCCAACCCCCATATTTACTAGAGTCCGGGAGGTAAAAATGGTCCGCGTATACAAATATCACAGGTGTTATTCTCAATCAGTGTTCAGTTTTTTGAGGTAGAAGTGCCCAATGCAAAAACGACTGCAATAAACCCAGACCGAAGAACTGTGAAAAAATTGTTCGAACCCGAATTTCAATTAAAATCTATTTGAAACTGCTAATTTTGTTAACTGTTGTTAAAATATAAATATGCATATACAATATAACTTTTAACGTCAATAAATATATTTATTAGGTATATGACTCAAATAGATATCGTGAAATGGTTGATTGTGGGAAAGATAGCTGGGCTCTCCCTACCCACAGATACGAAGGTGATCGACTTATTCGCTCTCGGTATTTCCCCCCCATAAACTAGGTTCACGAATCGGAACGGATTGAACTGACTTTTAATTTCCTATTCTACTTGGGAAGGTAAGTGAAAGCTACAATCCAAATATTTTAAGCCTGATTTTTTTTCAAGAACTACAGTTTTGCGGAATTTACTAGAATTTATAGAAGGCGTGTGCAACCTATTACAAAAGGGCCAGATACAAGTAACTGGGTTAAGCCACGGGCCGCACCTTAAGATAGCTTTTCTAGTAGATGCGATCACAAAATTTTTTATCTTTCAAGTTTTTTTATTGTTGATCCTACGGTATTGTTAGGGTTCCTTGCAGAAATGGTGAGTTAAAACGCATAAATTTCTAGAGAAAACTGCCATTTAAATTTATTGTCACATCGACTCTAAATGAATTTAGTGAGAAACACGTTTTTATAACATTGTGTACTTTGCAACAGGATTTTTCTAGCTAGTTTTGCTAATATGACAGTGGCACTCAAGTACTGGTATGCGACGATTGGAATTGCTCGCACGTACCAGATTAACTAAACTAACTCGTTTCGCGAGCCATTCGAAATTGGCACTTCTCTGCGGCCGCACAATTCATCATTGTGGGCCGTATTTGGCCCGCGTGCCGCAGGTTGCACACCCCTGATTCATAGTATCAGTTGCTTTTGGCACTTTAACGTCGTCCGTCGCTCCACCCGCAGATCAATCTCCTATATTTCTGAGTGAGTACGCCTGACCTTGCTTTGGGCAAATTTTCTTATAAATATATTATATTAAGCAATCTCCTTTTAAAATCTAAAGAGTAGTTTGAATATTTTATCCTATAAATACTCCGGTGAAAAAATGGACAAAAAAAGACGCAATTAAATCCTATCGAAACGTACTTACTCCTACGTACTCACCGATCCATTGAAATAGGAGATACAATCTAAGTAGTCGATAATGTGAATATCAAAGGATTTTATATAACTAGTATTGACTTACGTGTCTTGCTATTTCTGGAAATCTTTTGAACTCGAGCGGAAATGACTGGTGGTCGGTGATATGCCAGTGCAATACGTTTAACTTGTTGTACGACATGATTTCCTGAATATGAACATAATTAGGGTTACCATATTTTTTTGACTTCAAAGCAGGACGCCTCGACAGACACGACCCCTTAGCTGTGATCCTGTAACTTCACAGTTTTCAATTTTACTACATAGGCCTGAAGTTAAAGCCATCCCGGCTGTCTTCATTGACCATATTGTCATCGAGAGTTCATGCTCATATTCTTTATCTAAATATCGGGTTCAGTTCGAAAAAAAGAAAGGAATAGACGCTAACGATACAAATGATCCTAATTTAGATTTTTTTTTGTACAGCAAAAAGAATAAAGAATAATGAAATAGTCTGTAGCATTGAGAATTAACTTTTTCGCCCAAGCATGCTTTTCTGTAGATAACACCTTCAAAAAGACGTTAATCAATGTTGCATTCGCGTGAACGTTCGAACAGGACCAATTAGAATTGATTTTACATGTGATACGTTCGCTAACAATGTTAGCGGGAAACAACGGAACAAATAAAATAACGCATTCACCTCCAGTAAGTAGGCTAGCGTTGCTCTACACAGCAACAACGGTAACGAGAACATGTTCGTGTATTGTGCTGGATGACTGAATGCCAGAGCGGGACTTTTGGCTGACTTGTCGGGACAAAACGCTAATAAGCGGGACTTTTGGCTGACTTGTCGGGACGGCGGGACAAAACGCTAAAAAGCGAGATTGTCCCGCCTAAAGCGGGACGTATGGTAAGCCTAAACATATTGAATATATTAATATGTAATGGATTGTTTCAAAATATCATTATTGTACTTACTAATGTTTGAAGAATTGTTTCAGTTGGAATGAAATGTCGGGCTGTATCTAACATGAGACCTCGATATTGAAATCTAGGATAGTCTTCAATTGCACATGCGTTTACTGCAATCTGAAACAATTTGAAAATCGTAAAAATGAAGAACAAACACATATTATTTGAGAAAAAAACGCAATAAATCTGTATCTCTTTAGCATGAATTGAAGCTTCAGGTCACTTGTATATACCTGATATAAGAGCCCAATGAAATACAAGTAAGTGCTGGAATTCAGCAAATGTTCAAATGAAAACATTGCTACGCTAAATCTGCTTGAAAAATCAACCCTAACAGTACCTCATTATCTTCGTTAATATGGACAAGTTGACTAAACGTTTCCAATCCTGTAAAAATGGAATTGAAATTTTTAAAACGCGCTGTTTCGAAGATATTCTGTGTTAAGTAACAACAATTATGCTGGTGAGCCTTTGGAATTAGTATAAACGATTTTTGATTTGGACTCAATTGCTGTTGCCAGATTGTTAAAAGTAAGTAAGGCCAACATAACACTGAGATTTTTCATCATGCAAATTACATTTGTGTAGAAGAATTTAAACTCATTGCCACTACTGTCGAAAATTGTGTGAATGGAATACAACCAGTACACTACCATGAAGGATTTTATACAAAAACCTAAATGACGTTTAAAGGCGCTCCTGTAGTATATGCACCAAGATAGCGGACACCGGAATGTAGTATGTGTACCAGGTTAGGGTTAGGCCATTATTTTATTCTAATTTTCCGTATTTTAGTTCTATTACGAGTTCGGGGACTAGCTAAGTGAGTACCGCAGTATTTGTACGCGAAATTATGGCCTAATCCCCAACATACCGCATGTTTTCACACTTTGGGGTTTGCGATATATTTATTATTCAAGGCAACCGGAACATAAAAATAATAAATTTGAGATTAATCAATTCTAATATTGAATGTATCGATGAATTTTACCTCGCATGACTCCCCACTGGGTGTCAGCAATAAGCATCGCTGTGTCCTGTACCGAAAGTACATCTGCAAATAAAAATGTCTGAATGTTGGATTATGAAAAAATTGAATGAATGAATACATATTGTTATTATTATATATATCCAGTTACGAATATGTGCAAGGTATTTTTGAGCGGTGACCAAAAATTCTGTACTAAACATAAAAGTGACGTTTTATGTCGCCAAAATGTGAAAGATTAGACTGGCGTATCATAACACAATGTTGCCCGATTTTTTTAGTTATCAGATATGTATTACCTGACATACAATACGAGGAAATCATTGGGTAAAAGGTGTTGAATTAAAGCATCTTACATCTTTCTGAAGATTTTATTGTTGGATAATCTTCACAATCATACGACAGATGAATATACAAGATTTCCAATGCTGAATTCCTGCTCCATGTATTAATTTCCTACAGATAAAAGTTTTTTGTTATGAATGCATATATTATTTTACATTATTACATTATTTTATACGAACATGTAGATCTTATTATCGCATATTGCGAACGGCATTGGTTATTCATCCTTGTCAAAAAATTAGTTATTTTTCTATTTTGAATAATACATGTCAAAGATTTTAAATTATATATACACATTAGTCGACGCATTGAAAATTTACACCCACATGAGCTGTTTTCTTAGGTCACTCTGTATTAGCAGCTTTTATCGGTCGACCATATTTTATTGTGACTATTTACTGAAAAAAATGTTGTTATGCGGTAAGATAAATAATGATGCTGTATAGTAAGTACCCTGGTTGTATTTCCGAATATTATCTTCATGTATCGTTTCATAGTTTCGTCAACATCGTCACATCTCAATGAACTCAAAGTGTATTCAAACTTGAATTTCGAAGACGATAGAACATACATCTATAATACATGAGAGATTGACCACCAATTTTGTATTTGAGTTGTTCGACGGGTTAGTATACTTACATATTAGGCGTTATTACAGAGTGCGTACCATTTTGTACAACGTTAATTAGAAAACACTGTGGACTGTAAATCAGTTCAAATCTAATGCTTAACGGACATGGACGCCGGTATTATGTGCCTTCATTGGCCCAATGTAAGAGATACCACACTCTCTCAACTAAGATGAAGCTAAACGCTATCTGTGTAATACATTTCACATTAACAAAGATCCTTCTCTGAAAATCACACCTTTGCACCTGGTGATGCGTGGCACCCTCAAGTGATAGAAAGTTATCATTCGACTATTGATAGAGAAGTCGATAAAGGAACATATTCAGGTAATTTAGTTATTTTTATAATGCAGGTAATGCAAAATAGGAAAAATTAGCGTTTTGCTGGAGTGGGCTTAGGACCGTCACCTCAAAGTCTTGTTCAAAGCTTTGGAAAGAATAGGAAATTTTACAAAATATTCATGGGTTGCTTTACCTTGGAATTTGAAACCATACTTTGAGGCTTCGGCCACACGGATCCAGTTCTAGTCGTGCTTCCCTTCATTTTGCTATAGTCTGGTACATTTTTATTCATACTACTTCGTATTATTGTTCGCACTACTCTGCCGGTTGATTTTGGTACACGATACACTAAAAAGTAACGTTACTATGTATGTAGCAATGTACAAGTTAGGCTGGTAACATTTGAAGTCAAACTACTAGCAAGCAAATTAGTCTTCAAATTCTTTTGAGCGAACCATAAACAACGAAATATATACCAGATATACTAACCAATCACTCACCGAAAGTAATGCATGCTGATAATAGAATACAACCCCAAAATAGCCGTTTCGCAGCATATAACATATCATTACGCTGCTACCCCTTGCCCCGTTTTTAAATAAGCGTTTTCACGTTTTTCAGACACCGTGCCGTCGAATAATAGCCCAAGGCAACCTCTATATCAACAGTGAACGCACACCCGGTTCTAATATGACATAATTTTTTAAAACAACTGTAGAAGAGATGAATAATATAACAAAATTATTTATCATAAATAATACATTGTTTAGGAATATGAGTTCATTGAAATATCTGGCAACTACTTTCATGATTGCGCTTGGGAAATACTAATCATTCCAAATGTGGGAATACTTTCGTAGTTGCTTTTATGTTCAAGACAACATGTCGCATTTAACTGGTAAAATTATAATTTATCTAAGAGTTTGAAATTGAGATTACCTTGGTATAATGTAGGTAATAATGTTCATCTGATGGATTTTAGCTAACTGAAGGGCAGAATGCAAAAAGTCGCGAAAGATTAATATTAATACTTACTCGAAAAATATTTCTGCTCTGTTACAAACAGATTGAGTATTTTAACTGTTACCTTGTATCGACTACCAGAAATGTATGTAATCAATGATTTCAATACAATGATCCATATATTTTAGGCACCCATAGGGATAATACCCTATTTTACAGCAACATCTCAGGAGCATATACGTCTATACTTGGGAGAAAATGCATCAATAAAGAAGACTTACGTAGGCAAAAGATATTGGATACATAAAGAGATAACACTTGCTGAAACATACATTGGGTGTACATGTGAGTGGCTGGGTAGACGAATTATGTGACTAACATCATGAAATTGAGACAAATGGTTACTTAGATTTTTGGTGCACGGAGTCGTTTTTTGTTGTTGTTGAAACATGCGACTACTGGGCATAGCAGGTTTTTATTTTCTTCGAATAACATAATATATAGTTCGGCTTTTTATTATTGTTTTCTCCTTTATGGGTGCCGCTGCTCGATAACCATATTTGGTTTCCCGCAGTTCCCCTCACCCTGAAATGCTTTTTCATTATTTATTGCATTTTGTATATCAAGTATGGTAAAGTATGCTTTCAGTATGGTGAGAAAATAAACTACTGATTACCGATAGATATATACTGCCATAAATATATATACTCGAACATTTACTGCCGTGTCTGTTTGTTTTGCTTATTTTTCAAATAATCCTCATTTCATCATGGAAAATTATTTAGTATGGCGTAAAATAACCTATTGATTACAGTCAATAATGATTATCACATATCATATTACTTGTGCACACAGTCATCAGTGAGCAGGAATCTAATACGCAATCGACAAAGATCTATTGCTCACCTTTAATATTATTGATTATATTACTTATAGCTTTTATTAGTATGGTTTTCAGGGCCGCTTTAGACGGTGGGATAACCTAGACCAGACTATTCCATTCGCGCGGATCCTCTCACAGTGACGCAATAAAATCTTATATAAAATTTATTATGACGTTTTTATGAATTTTATAGACGAATAATATATGTCTGGCACCAGAAAACATAAAAAACATAAATTGAATTAATATTATTCTTTTAAATAAACAGGTGTACGATAAATAAGATCCTCGAATAAATATGTATACCGGTATATATATATGATTCTTAGATTCGTTGTTGTGAAGGAGAAAAATTAATTATACTTATTATTGTTTCCTTTTTAAAAAAATGATTTAAATTTTGATATTTTCTGCTTATGTTTTATTATCTTTTTGATAATCACATTCTTGATGAAAATTCACGAAATTTAGCATTAAATCGTTGTTGAATTTGGAAACAAAAACCGCAAGAAGTGCTTATATCAGGGAGGTTTGAAAATTATCTAATACATTTTTTACGCTGATCAAAGCACTGAATATCACAAAAAGCTGACCCTCTGTGGACTATTTCTGCAAAGCCAATATTGCGTCTCTCGGGCTGTGTGAGAAGAGAAATATCGTGAAGTGCCGATGGAGAAAGACGTGTCAAAGTATTAGCAAAAAAAAACGTAAATATGAATTAAAGCAAAGCCCAGACCTTTAATACACTAGGTTGCGTTTATTTTTTTATTCTACCGTACTACAACCTATGTGAAGTTCTAATAAAGTACATTTGGAATTAGGGTATAGCAATTCGAGAGCAATTGGTTGAACAAACGTGCACAATGTTGATGCGATTATTTTTCTCCCATCGGCCAATGTTTCGTGCTGTTGATAAATTTATTTCATGAGCGTATATATACTGCCGTCGTCAGCAGAATCATGCAGATCGGGCTGTGTTTCGCATAAAAAGTGTTATCTTTAGCGTATGTCAAGCCTATATCAATGTAAGAGATGAATGATGTTGAAAATTAGACTTCTGTAGATAAAAACGTGTCATGTAAGTAGAATATTTCGATACTATCTCTTATTTTTACAATGAGAAATGGATGAGCAAAGATTAGTGTATCACGATAGAGTGATGTTCCTAGGCTATAGATATGTTCCAACTATACAAGTCATTAAAACAATCAAATTATGATGTATGGGATCGATCGCTCCATCGCAAAGAGGAAAGATCGGTCGTAAGGTGCGGGCGAGGAATAAAGGCTCGCCCGCCAGTCACTACGTGATTTTATTTTGAAAGGAAAGAGAAAGCGAGAGTGGTGCAGCGTCGACTGTTGACATCTCGTTCCAGTTCGTGGGAAACAGCAGCTTTGCACAAATATCGAAATTTCAATATAATGTAGAACAAGATTTTCTGGCAACGTATATTCTGAACGACATGCAATCGTTAGCGGCTTAAATTGAAAACACACATTGCATATTCGGCATGTACCGATTTGCTTTTGTAGCGTTCAGTGTCTCGTCGAAAATATGTACCATTTATTTTTATTATGTTTGCAGCGGGGAATAAACCCGTCTAAAAGTAAATTTACGATTATACCATAAAACAAAATTACAGAGGCGATTCACCGGTATGCTAAAGAATTAGGGCTGGCTGAAAATGATTGAAAATTCGACTTCTACGTTCTACAGTAAAGAGATGCTGATTCAACATACTACCGAAGTTTCGCCAAATAAATCTGAACTACCGTCTATTTGCCTCGGAGCACCAAACGCAGTATATAACGATACTTTTATGCCAACGGGATATTCCTTTACCGCCGTTGTGGGCCTGTCGGTATTCGTTGGTCTATTCTGCCTTTACGTTCTGCTGGGAAATGTCGCCGTGGTACTTATTATTCTCCGAGATCGTGTCGTCGGAGGTCAAGCTCAAAACCAGTATCTCGTATCTTTAGCAGTTGCAGACGCTCTCTTGGCAGTACTTGTAATACCTTTCAGTTTAGTCAATGAATTGTCTGGTATTTGGCCATTTGGTAGAATTTACTGCCAAATTTATTTAGCGGCTGATGTACTTTTTTGCACAGCCTCTATATGGAATATTTGTGCAATCGGATTGGATCGTTATTGGTCAGTGAAGAGACCAATTGCCAATCGGCGGAAGAGGACAAAAAAAGTGATACGATTCATTATATTGATGGTAAGGCGTTGTAGTTAATATTTCTTTCGAGAGTTATGTTACCCCAAAATTAGTAAAGTTATCGTATGTCAATATCTGAAATGTTATTGGAAATATATTACGAAGTGCTTATGATAAATAACACTAAAAAAATAATATTATGGAGCCACAATCAAGGTTTGGAAAAAAATCAAGTAACTTTTGACTGTTCAAGCGATATTTTTTGAATAGAATTGAACCCAAAATCGAATAGATGTGGAAGAATAAAGGGGCAGTTGGGCAGCTTTTAGGGACAAACGCTGACATCCATATTTAGGTCTTTCTTATGGTCCCGATTCGTCATGAACAATTGAAATAGGGATGGATATACGATCCCTATTTTTTTTCAATTGCTTGTTTTGCAGAGAGAAATTGGGCTGCCACCCAAGGTATGCTGCCATTTCGTACAATTGCATATATTGATGTCAATCAAATATTTATATGATTGTTTCTCTAACTTGGCCCTCGCCTACACCAAGGGGGCACACAGCGTTCTTTAGGGGCCACAATCAAAGTGTTTAGAAGCGGCCCTCGGATCATGAAGGTTTGAGATCCACTGATATAAATCATGGAAAAAATTCTACTTTCGAGTATAAATTCATGTAAGTGAGCATGTTTGCGTGACTTTAAATATTAAAAGCTCACTTTTACAAAACAGCATATGCGATATAAATTATCGAGGTTTTGCGTCTTTTAGCTTTACAAACGCATTTGTCATTTTCTTTGTAATGAACGTAGTGTAAAACAGTTTGAAAGCACTCGAAGCTGTCATGTATATTTAAACAAATGATGTTGTTTATTATCTTACTCCATTTCTCGACCAAAAACAGAAGACTGTTTATTATTAACATAGATAGATGAAGCATATCTGGAATTGCTAAATATAGGAATAATATTGGTCTGACGAAATCAACCTTGAAACAGTAATTTCTAGTTAAAACTTTACACTTCCGGCCCCATTTTTTTCATTTAGACCTCAGCAAGTTTGTGTTGGGCCATGTAGATAATATATTTCATTTTGCATGGGTGTTTAATGTATCTAAAAATGACGATATATAGAGACATCTACCTGAATGATAATTTGAACAGGCGTAATATAATTAGTTCCCTTCAATATAATTCCCTCTAATTTTTGTTCTCGCTTTCGACAGCTACCCTAAAATCACATGCTTGTCTGTAGGACATCCCAATAGGAATTGATGAGGGGAAAGGCTGTTGGGAACTACACATAGTTCACTTTCCGATGACTGTCTATCTATATTGTTTTTAAAAACATTGATAATGATGCATGATGGAATAAATTCGAATATAGTTTTCTGATTTATTTATATATTGATCGTTCCAATTTTGCATACGGTATGGGAAATAATCGGCCGTAATATTATCGCATGGTGCAATAGATAAATGATAAAAGGAAGGCCAAATTGATTGTGCCTAAATTCTAATATGTAGCTATTAAACCACACCGTTATTTACAATCATGGCTCGGTGGCCCTGTCATGAGAATATTAGATTTAACTATGATGCAATCGCACGTTAAATCACGTGCCGATCATCTCACGAAAATAATTGTCAATAATATCTATGTTCAGTACATCCACCCAATTAATTGATTTAGAAACAAAAATATTTAAAATCATATCATTTATAGATTCAGTTGAACTAATAATAGAAATGGTAGCCAAATAAATAAATAAATCGAAACGAGGTCTCGAATCATGTGGTCAAAATTAATTCCATTCTCGGCAATCAACATTTTGCATAATTCACATTTTAGCTCGTTTATTGATTATGATTATAATATTATCTTATTCCTGAAGAGGTTTACAGCATATTACCTCTAATGAGAGCCATTTATCCATTGCATAATGTCGATTATACCATCAACTGACATTTTTTTTTAATATTGGCATTACCACTAATTTGTCAAATAATCGATTTAATTTTTTCCCTTCTACCTATTTTAGTTTGTTATTAAATTAAAAAAATTGATTAAATGGTTGTAGGAAGCAGCCATTACCCTATGTATGTTATTTATGTGCTATATAATCGCACATGATTTATAATAATTAAGGATCGATTTACCAATAAAATGCCGGTCACTGTTATTTGGCTATTTGATTCGATTGATCCAAAATGTTTTACTTCATCTTGTTTAATTCTGGCTATTCCCACACGCAAAAAATTGCATGTTTGTATGGACGTTTCTCCGACCCTTGACCCCAGAAAAATTGTTTACTTTTGTTGGTTGGTCATTATTACGGAAAAAAACAAGGAAAACTATGCTCGAGAAAACATCCATACATACATAAGTAGCAATGATACCTATCTAATTTACCAGCAATCCAGATATTGATTGAATTGAACAAAATATGCCCGAAACAGATTTTCGAATCCTGTTAGCTATATTGGCTCAGCTTATTCTCGAATTTCCTTGACGTCACTGATCGTTACATATTATTCTACGATTTGCCATTTTGCACCCAATTTAAGGATTATAGGTCGGGAGGTCGCTTGTACGAGAAATTTATACTTGAGTATTTTAACCAAAAAAATCTCAACGTGATATGCGGAATATCGTATAGCAAAATAAAAGACACAACTTGGGATAATTTGGTTTGGGTTGAATATAGTGAGGAATCTGACCAGAGCACATTCTTACAACTGATAAAAGATTTTTATTGACATTTGAAAAACAAGTTGGACAGCAAAACACGGATTGCAACGTCAAGTGCGGTCCGTGCTCAGATTGTACAGGGTGACCCCCAAAAAAAACAGAAACCAGGTTATTTGTAACATATTATAGAGTGAACATAATTAGGCGTTCTATATTACTGAAACTTTTGGGTGCAATCATACACAGACAGAAGTTCAAGTTTATTCATGTGCGTATAAGTAAAAAAGTAATGTATGACATTCGGTGAACACATTTTTTAATTCTTGCTTTACTCGTATAGTGAAACTGTTTGTAATACCAGAACGGAATTTGCGGAACGTAAACAAAAGTCACAAAGCGTTATAAACATTAATAATAAGTGTCTAGCAAAAGGCGGCATGCCATCCACTTATGTACAGATCTGAAGTCATGGCATCAACTACCCGAGAGTCACAAGGACCACTTGACATTTGAATGTGAAATCATAGATATACTACTCTGTGCGAAAATACATACGCTGAATGAATAATTAGATTTTCGTTTTTATTCGTTTTCTGTGATTAATTTTGTAGAGCCATATTCAGAGGGAATATCTAATTTTTGATACGCTGATAAACTACAATTTTTATTATGGAAATATTCAAAATCCTTCCATTTCTGAAGACAACTTATATTATCATCTATTCAATCTTGTTCGGCAGATCATCTGTTTCATTAAAATGCGATTCTTCTGTACGCCATGCTTGGCAAATGGATATCGTACTTTCGTTTTTGGATTGCCACGGTCATTAAATTTAACAATGTTTGGCATGCAGTAATTCGCCACTTGGTCACGCCTTTCACGTTAGCTTGACTGGCACATGTGCCGTTGTTGTATACTACTTGAAAGCTTTGCGAAAGACGAACGGCGTATGCCAAATATCAGAAAACGGTACCGGTAAATCGATATTTTGTGCTTCTAACTTGGGACCAAATGTTGAGGTTATTCTGAGTCTTTGTTTTATTGTGCTTGAGTTGATTTGATGTCACGAAACAGAATAAAATAAAAAGAAGTCAACGCCTTTTGCCAGTACAAATTGATCATTTTCATAATATATTTTTTTTTACCATGCCATGATATAAATGATATTAAAATTTGCGACAACTTCTGTCAGGAATGTCATCATCTACTTCGGACTGATAAATTGTAATAAACTTAGTAACATTATTTCCAATGTGTTTTTGAATATCATTATTGGTAATGATTTTTAAATATCAGTATTTATTTATCCCAACGAGAAGGTCGCTCATTTATTTAGTTGGAAATTTAGAATATTAGTATACGTGACAATCATACACTATTCTACAAACTTGATTTGTAGATAGAATACGCTTGATCGTCGCTTTTCAGTTATAAATCATACCTGGCCAAGGAAGACCAAATAGTATTTTGATTAGACACGAATACACTTAAATATTCACCGTTATGTTGTATATAGCATATTCACCTAAATTATGTCATTAACGTATTAGCTTCTAACGAAGACATACTAGGTTCCTTTAAGTAACAATATACCCTGGTTTGGAATATTCAAAATTAACTCCATTAATTTTGCAAATGATCCTACAGATTACCTGAATATTTAGGGCAGGGGTCGGCAACCTTTTGTCGCTCGCGGGCAAAATTAAAGGTTGCAAGTCATTGGCGGGCTGCACATATTTTTAGAAAGTTGAAAACCGAACGGATGATACTTCTTATAAAAAAAATCAAGCAGTGATACATCTCTCGAATAGAATATGGATTTATTTCCTCATGGCAGCTCATTAAATTCCATTTGGATATTTTCAGCGCCATTGAACCCTTTGCACTTAGCATCATCTTTTCTGCGTTTTGTTGCCATTTGTCTAATTATAATTAAATTATATGCTCATTAAACGAGTAATTGTGAATTATATAATTGTTAGATTATAATATAATTTAGTCTAAAGAATATAATCGTCAAAACGGATGTTTTGTTACTATATTTCAGTGAAGCGGCCGTAGGTTGCCGACCCCTGATTTAGGGTGAAAGATTGATTTTTGAATAAATATTTAAAAAAGGGAACGTTGTTGTGGGATAGATAGCCAAACAGTTAAAGCTTTAGACCTGACAAACTACGGCGCGCGGGCCAATTTCGGCCCGTTGGGTAATTTAATCTAGCCCGCCTGATGTTGCCACAGCCAAATTTTGATGTTTTAGCCAACAAATACCTCAAGGTATGTGTTGAGATTGCGATTGAATTTAGTTTTGGCACGAAACTTATCGTTTTCGACTTTTGCTTATGTAACACTGTGAATATTGTTCATAAAATGTAACTTTCATGTCACACTTACATGGTCCGCCAGTCTAGATGAGCAAAATTTTTGGTGCACCTGAAGTATGTGTACCAGGTTAGGGTTAGGCCATAAGTTTATTCCAATTTTAGTCCTATTACGATTTCGGGGACTAGCCAAGTGACTCCCGTAGTATTTGTACCTAAAATTATGGTCTAAACCTAACCTGGTACACATACTACGTTCCGGTGTCCGCCATCTTGGTACGCAATCTTCAAGAGTACCAATTTTTTTGACCCTGGTCCAAAAACCTTGCCCACCCCTTCTTTAAACTCAACTGGGCTGGCATCTCGTGTTACACATGTCGTGTTGAAATTCCATGCTCACCACCGACTCATCCAGGGTCTAATAAATTGAGTAGGCAATGTCAAACAGGAAAGATCCTGGTCTCCTTACATACCAGTGACTGACTGTACAGGGCCTTGTTCGGAGAGAAAGAGTCTTATGACAAAAATAATTTTTATCATTCATTTTTATATGTTGAAACATTTTTATTACAGGTTTGGTGTCTCTCGTTTCTGATTTCGGTGCCCCCTTTCATATTCGGGTTCAAGCTCATTCCTTCTTCAAACGAACAGTCATGTTTCATCAACGATGCCCAGTGGTAAGTAGAATTTCATTAAATTATAGTATGTTCACGTCTAAGTAAGACTTTGCTTCAAATATATCTTCGTTTCACGCTTGATTTTATAATAAATTTGCGAATTGAATATCGATTTTTTTAATAGTAAACGCTAATGTCAACAGAACATCGAAATATCTTAATTAAGTCAGATAATTAACGGTTAATGATAAAACATACAAAACATCTTAAATTCTTGTAAATAAATTTTGAAATACTCTTGCAGTTTGCTTTTCATTAGAAAATAGATTACACATGAAAACATATCATAATGACATACGTACTTAATAAAATGATTAAATTAAAATTTGCGATGAAAGGGTTTTTGAATTTGTGTTTAAACAGATGCTAACGATCTTCAAAACGTATTTGTAATACTGTTAGAAATACACAGAAATATGACTATGGTTTCTGCAGTTATAAAATACTTGTTATCTAGCATAATGTACCATAGTTGTAATACTGTGAAAAATACACAGCAATGTGACAACGGTTTCTACATTTATTTTGGGAAAATTTTGTCTATTGTGATGATCATAGTTGTAAACTGCACTCTCGCATTGGATAAATCAATCGGTTTTTGCAGCGGTTTTTAACCTTTTAGCAAAGCTGGTCACTAGATTTACCCCCAATGTACTTAATGGTGATTATTTATTGAAATTTAAAATTAGCAGTTTACTTCATTATATTCATTTAATGTGACGGCCGCATTTGCTTATTAGCAACCAGCTGTTTAATGTCTGGTGAACTAGCAGATAATGCTCGGAGAATATCAGATTCAACGTCAAGTCGGATTCGTGCTTTAGATTTGATTTTTTATTGTTTTTACTTTGGATCAATTTGCCCCTGAAAACAAAAAATTACTCCCTGGGGTTAATTTAACCCAGGCTAAAAGTTGAGTATGGTTTCTTGAGTATGATCGTATTTCATACTCTCAATTTAAAGTCGTGCAAATAAAAGTTTTGTTGTTAGTTCAGTCACACAACGTTAATTTTAAATAAAAAGGTAAACGATATAGAAAGGATACTGACTTAATCTTCATGTTCTATATCTATACGTTGTTTAGAGTAAAGTTATTTTCTCTCAAGAATCTGACAACGTTTTTACGGCTCATTTCCGATTTTTTGACGAAATTACCTATTTTCTATTTCGTCCAATTCGTGACATAGAAACGGTAAATTCGAAATGTTGGCGCCCATGGAAGATTAAACCGTTTATGTCTATCGTCAACTTTAAATTTGAATAGTCATAACTTATAAATAATATTTGATAAAAAAAAAAAAAAAAAAATTGTTTGTAAATGCCTCCGGAATAAAATTGAGACGTTTTGTACGTACATTATTCCGCTGTTTCGTGATCATTGAAGGCACGCACTTCACGCACGATCGAAAAGTTATGTTCCAGCTTTACGATAGATTTGTGAAACAGAATTATAATAATATACCTGGAGCACCTCATTTATTTAAGTACATGGAAAATAGTTTTTTTTGCTAAAAAAAATACGGTTGCCATCGATTAGGATACTTGAAAACTTTCTGATTTCATTTTTATGAATGTTTTTTATGAAGCGCCTCTTTCGCACCTTTCGCTCCGAACAGAGCCATGCACAAGCATTTACTGATATGAGAAGACCCACTATTTTTGAAAGGATCGAAATCTCTTCGTTTTGGCATTTCAGAAGCAACTCATTGCAATAATGCCAACACCTTCAAGTCGAAGAATTTTACCGCTAGACCCGACGTTTATTATGCGAATTTGATTCAGTTTAACCTCTCAAAATATAGCACGGAAATAATCGAAAAGTTATACATATATGTATATAGAAATATGTCACATGAATTTGCCCTACCTCAACTTCATTGTAATTATAGCCATTTAATTACAGTATATACCAAATGACATTCATTTTAGGACTCCGGAGATTTCGTATCCATATTATATTAGGGTACTCAATAATGCTGTCTTGAATGTAATATCGATTTTCAATATTTTGAGGTCTCTTTGGTGACTAATTCGTGATACATGCTAACTTTATTTCAACAAAAATGACACAAGTCATATTTTTCTCCAATACTGGAAATTCCTAATATATCCGATATAATATTAATTTCGATATCTGAGTCAATGTATATGCATCACCAAAGCCTTCTTTAAAGCGAAATTGCGAACATCCCATTATAAATTTGACGTTATATTCTGCACATTTGCCTGGGACAAAGCTCTACACAAGACTGTAAAAGAGCAAGGAATCATTAAAAAATTTAATGCATCTCCCCGCGTGTAAATTACTGCTCCTCTGAGGCCTTGTTTTTACCTAAAGTGGGGACATCGGATTATAAAGTCAAGGTATTTTTTTATGTTTTACATATTTATTGAACAAAGTTTTTTACAAGCCGCCAGTTTAACATGCGTTTTTTTGGGATTCATATTTCAGTTGTAATCTTTCGCTAATTCGCCGCAGTGACTCAGGTAACCGCAAAATTTCTATCAACAACAAGCTTCACAAATGAAAGAAAAATCGATAAAATTCCGTTTAAACACAAGTAACCTGCCATCTTTTATCACAAGTATTGATTAAAAAGCTACGCCATCGATTTCGCGGCATTGAAAGACAAAAAATTTTGGTCGTTCATCCAAAATTCTTTTGTTATATTTCAAAAGGCTATTGTTGTTATTATATCTGGACATTAGATGAAAAATCTTGTTTTTTTAGAACCATGTTGTGGACGTTACGCTCGAATTGTAAACTGATAGACCAATTTAGAGATTATATTTATGCTAAAGACTTTGTGAATCGAAGGTATCTTTTTATAAATCAATTATTAAAAATCAATTTTTAATAATATTTGGGTGACATTGTTCATATTCAAATCCTAAACGTTGTTCTGGACCAGGGCCGCGGAATTCGGAGAATATCTACATTTCATTCTTGACTCCCAGCAATTCATAAACCGATTTCCAACTCCGACTGGACAGAAATTTCGACTCGGACTCCGGGTTTTAATCAAATTTTGACTCCAGTTCCACCAACACTTGTAATCTAAAACAGGACTCCGATTCTGAAAGAAATGGAGAAAAAATTATTTATCACTTGAACCCTTGGACTTCTATTTGTGTATGACTGTACCCAAAAGTTTGAGTAGTAGGACGATTTGCACAAAAGTTATGTTCTCTCTCCTGCCCATGTTCCAAATGACCTGGGTTCTGTTGTTTTTTGGTCACTCAGCATTGGAATGTCTTATTTAATATACCGGCTGGGTTAATGACTTGATATTGAACAATTTTCGATCTTCGGCTTGTGTTATCGACTTTTAACAGGATTTAAATAGGCCGAGTTGGGTCTTTTGTTATTAACATTTTATACGAATAACAATATAACTTGAATGATATATTCTATTTGCACTTTTCAGTGTTAATAATTGTCTCAGTATTGAACAGACTTTTGTCAAATAGTACGCACACGAAATAAACAATAAAACTCAAATGCCACAACATATGTTACAGGAAATGTGGCAGAAAAATAAATTTACTTTGCAACGAGAGGCGGGAATCGGTGAGGGCGTGTCATTTAACTGAACCATTATTGTGTGTGTTTTAACGCATTACCAAGCATGATCAAGGAGTAAAGGGGGTGGATACAGAATATTATGTTTGGCCACTGCTCAGCCAATGGTAACATTTAGATAATCTATTTTTAAATTGGCATGCAAAATTTTTCGTTTTTCTTCAGATTTTAATGTCGAATTTCGCCCTTCGTGACCACAATTTCTTATTAACTTTTCGATCGATAATAACAAAATTATGAATCCGTCGCTTTCTAGAATTCTAGAGAGCGGTCAAATTGGGTGTACAACGATGGCGGCAGTAGATTTAGTTACCTCAGAAGTGGAATTTGGAATTCCATTTGACTACTTAGAACTGGTTTAAATAGGCCCAGCGGACTATGCTCAAAACCCTTTATGGTAATTTCGTGATCACACACTTTAAAAATCATATTAAGATAACTAAAGTCCAGTCCTATTTGACCAGCCGTGCCCATTGGCAACAATGCTAATGGAAGATGTATTTTCACTTCATCAATTTCTGAGTCTTAGATCGCTTTTTGTGGCCATATTTCAGTTGGTGACATATGGCACTCGGTTGGACTAAGAGTAAAAAGCACTATAGGCGGATAGTGCAACTTAATGATAAAAACGCATTGGGATTATTTTATATTTTAAGGGGAAATCCCTGGGGGCTGTAAAACAAGATTAAAATTTTGAGTTTAAATTATCTCGATAGCTTGGTTATGAATAAAAATTGGCAGGATGTCTTCGGCGATTAAAGATTACTCAATTCAAGTAGGTAGGTGTAACTCATTAAAATAGTGTACTGTGACAATATGGTTTGAAATAAAAAAAAATTTAAGCGTAGATTTTATCAAAATATTTACAAGAGACAATGACCAAATATATGAACTAGACTAGACGGTCAAATGTTCCCACACGTCTTTTAAAAGTGTTCCCATGAATTAAATTAAAACATCGAATTTGGGGGGAAATATCGGACACAGAGTGCTCAGTAAAATAAACATCTTCAAGTACTGGGAATTTGATATACATTAGTTGAGAAGTAGGGTTATTTTTCTCAACAACAATTAGTAAAATGATTCACATGTACATTTCGTTTCCAATAATAAAATAATAACGATTTCAACTTGCCACAAAGCTATAATCTGTAAATACTATCGTTGGGTGTTCTGTTTTGGACTGAGTGGTAAAATTCCTACAGATTGACCATATTTGCTCGTTACGACTATGGATCTCCGAGCTTTATATAATCTTTCTTGATTAAGATGCAATACCATAAAATATGCAGGAATAATACGCAAAATTCATCGGCCCTTATCTACCTATCGGCATTTCTCCATATCTGGCAAATGGAGATATGAGTGTAAATGAGCACTCCGTCACGATTAGTGTGTGGGGTAAATTAACGCAATTAACGCGAGATTACATCTACCTCAATGTTGAAAACTCATATTTATAAGCATTGGGTACAGATTACGTGGCCCGTTTCGCGCCATAATGATTGAAACAAGCGCGTAATTGACAAGCGCGTCCGGTACAAACGGGTTTGTGTATACCATAATTAAAATATGTGTATTACTAATAGATAGGAGGACGTAACACAGTTATCTGTACAGGTCAAAATGTCTCGTGCGAGAAAGACTAATGCGCAAACCACCAATTTTGCATCCATTTTCCATCCATCTTACTCCATTTTCCTGGAGGTTCATATCTATCTTAACCTAGAACATATCATGAGATCAAATTTACCTAAGCAATATACTTCAAATCGGCTGTTTGACAACAAGTAACATTGTCACCGCTGCTGCGATTTTGAATGTTTGCCACACGCTTAACTGTACGGTACTGAATCAGTAACTGATGTTTCCGATGACGAATGACAAGGCTAATGATGCAGATCATTTCGCATCATAATTTTCAAAATAAAATTATTGTTTCATACAGTCTTTTGAGGTAGTAAAATTACATCGGATTCGATAAATTTGAGGATAATCGAGATGACTATATATATGGTAATACGCCAAAATGTGTAGGACCACAGTATAGCCTACATGGTAAAGTACCAGTCCTAAACACCGCAGCTGTCATCACTGTCATCTTGAGGGACCTTTACCCCAAGCTCTTACAAAAGTGTTCACAATGTTTCCTAAATGAAAACCAATACACACTAGTGTGATTAATACTTTTTAATTAGGAGTTCAATTCGACTAAATGTCTTAATAGTGGGAACTACAAAAACATATGCGTTTATCGGAATGCCATTTAGTATGGAAAGCTTTTAGTATTTGTCATCGCATGGCATGGAATTTTTAAAACTGTTAAAAATTGTTAGTAATCGAAAAGTCGATTACTGTATTTTATTCTACTAATATTACTGTATATTTATGTAAAATTTAAAAATTAAATCTTTTTCAGAGTGAATTTCTCTATAAATTCATTGATAAATTTATTGGTCATTGATTAATAACATTCTTGAGTGCATGCAGCATTGATATACGACTATACGAACGGCTTTATTGTTTTTAATTTCAATGAATATATATAAAACGACTTGCGGCTTCTCTGATAGAATACTTCCATTTAATATGAATTTTAATACCGGTCTCCAGAGATATACCGGCACTATAACTATGTATAGGCTCCTTCATGCCACTCATCATTCCCGAATAATGGCACTTAGCTGATTGACTCTAATCCTTCAGCAGGTTATACTTTTAGATATGGAATACCTCAATTTTCAGTGCTGAAGATGTATAAGTAGTATTATGACGCCATTCAATCAATGACGTCATTTTACATGAAATATTGATATAATAGAAATTAAATGTTATGTTTTTTAAAAAAAATTTCTAACTAACATTTTTCTAAAACTATTCGCTTTTTTGACCAAAACAATATACGTACTGCATTTTTCTCTTTTTATAAATAGAGTGACTTGGTCAGTAAGTGGTCAGTTAATCCGTATGGCATTTATATCCAAACTGAATGGCGCCATCATAGTTCATTTTGGTGATATCATAGCATTTTTTGTCATCATTGCGAGGTCAAGACACCAATAACACGATGTCTTTCTAGTAACATGCAATCCCTAAGCGTCAGATCAAAGGTTCTTTAAACCCATGGATCTGAAAATGGATTCATTAGCGTAATGCGGGTTTTTAGTGGCATCAATGCGGTACTGTGATATAAATTTGCTCAATGTAGAGGCATTTTATAGTAATTAAATTGAGTTAGTTTTGCTGAGACCATGATAGATCAAGGTGAAGTTAAAAAATAGATGTTAGATTTTGACATATTTGCGTTGTATGAGTTTTATATTGCCAGTTCATTCCAAATGTAGCTTAACCTCCTCATATTGGTAACATTTTTCGTGCATTTCGAGGTTGAAATAACATGACTATCTCCGATCTTATCATAACTAACTTATCTGTTGCTGAATGTCTAAGGTTTCGAGATCTGCCATGCGAAATCCTCAACCTTGAAGTGATTTGCGACTTCTTTGAAAGTGAATTTGAAACATGACAAACTCCGACTCCGAAAAAAATTTTGGGCGAAGCATCAGTTTGATTATGTGTCTCAGTTCATATGGTATTTTTAGTATTGTTTATTGTATATATTACATATTACTTACGAGCACAATGCTTCGAATAGGGTGTCGCTCAAAAGAGACTTTTCTGAGATAACTTTTGAAGACGACGTAGGGCGCATGGTCGGCGTTAGGCCAAGGCAACTTATACAGCCGCAGTGGGACACGCATCCGCATATTCCCCGCGTTAATTCTCGGTGTAAATTATTTAATTTGGCCATTATATATCATAATTCTGTACAAGCAAAGCTCGTACCGTAATGGTGATTTTGTACTTAGATAAAATATAATGGAAGAAAAAATGGATTTTCCATAGATTTTCCAATAGATTTGTATTTAAAAAATTTAAAATGTGTATTTTCAAATATTACCCTCATCTTTATACCCTAATCAGTCCCCGCCCATATCCGTTACGCATAGAGTCCAGCATGAGTTAATTAATGATGGCACTGGTGAGGCGAGTCCATCATACAGTCTGGGAATTACGAATTACTTTGCATTTATTTTCCATTTCCCCCTGCTGTTATATAATAAATTTTGTCAAGGCTTATGGTTAATGCATGGTTAACCACTAAGGATGATGTAATTTAGCGGTAAAATACTGATCTCAAATCCGTGAGATTTACTCCGTCATGTCGATTTTCTAAGCCTGTTATATTTCCACTTGGATCTAGTTCTTTGATTATCTCATAAGATGTACTGTGCCAAAGTTTTGTTTTCGAGCCAGTATGCTTCGCCTAATATAAGTTCCAGGGGTAATGACTGCAATTGTCTGAGGAGAATTGCACTTTTGGACAGACTAATGCAATATTTTTGTTCCATACATCCCGCTTGGGACCAAAACTACGTGTCACGGCATAATTAAAATCCTTTTATGTTCGATTTCACACTGGGCACTATAAAGTCTTAATTCTTACTCAACGCGCTAAAATATTGCATGATGCCAAACAAAAACCGTTATCTTACTTATTACGAAACCCCACAAATTGTTAGACATGGTAACCAAAAGAAATGAATGCCGATCAGTTTTTAATTTCTAATAATCAGCCATGTTGAAACTGGCAACCAACGTGAATGAAAGCATGCTCACTAAAGTTGGGTGGCGGCTATATACTGACGGTGACGTCATAATTATATGCGACCCCCCCCCCTCATCTAATGCGCATAAATTTAACAATCTGGAATGTCACTAATCACTATCACCAAACACTAATGCACAACGATGCTGTCATCAATGTTTATCTAGAAATGTATAGACAATGTGCCTTATTGAGTCACAAATGTGACCAAGTTCAAAATTCTAATAATCAATACGCGCCATGTTGAAAAGTATATCGACCAGCAGAAAACATGAGTAAACCATACTCATTAAAGTTGGTTAGGTTCTATGACGTCACAATTATATGAGACTGGAATGGATGCGATTGGACAATTCGGTATGTCACTATGCCCAATCACTAACTTTGTGACAACGCTGTCATCAATAGTTGTATGGAAAAAATAGATAGACAACGTGCATTATTGCATTGAAAATGCACATCAAAATATTAGGTTTTTCGTTAATTTTAAAAGAGATTTGTTGAAATTTTAGAATTGTTATTTTGCGTTTTTCAATATTCCACTGTTTGATATTCTACATACCGGAGTATTTCTTGTATTGTTTATGCTTATTTTATTACACTTATGTGATGTATGCAATGTTTATTCATGCGATTTCACAAACACGAACGGGACATTTTCTTTCTTATATTCTTACTATATATGAAATGAAATGTACAAGTAGTTTTGACCATAAATATAGCCATTTTTGCACCAGGGTTAGTCTTCTACAACGACCTCGCTTACTTGACCTCTATATGGCAGAATATTTTCTATACTTTTATTGATTAATGATATAATTATTATAATTTATTCACTTGTTTCGTTCAGGTATATTCTTTTCTCCAGTACTTTGTCATTTTTCTTACCTGTCATTATCATTGCACCAGTGTATACAAGAATCTATCTAATTGGAAGAAAACATTCTCGGCCTCCTATGAGTAGAATGAAAAGTGACGAAGAAAGGTATTTTTCCTTATATTTTTTGTGTTGTTTCATTTCTCGTTTGTAGCTTGTGACATATTTATTTGTATGACAAAAGATCATTAAACCCTCACTTGAAAGGTGAAAAAAATTTCTCGAGACAAAAGTCGAACGATTACGGATCCAGATTTGAGTAAATTCTATGTGAATTCCACGTACAAATTTAGTGAACAAATATGGCTCAATATGGTGTGAATTAGGCCCGGGTCACAATATTAAAACACATAGATCAACATAGTGCTTTAGACCAGTTTTTTCGTAAAACAACCAAAGAGTTTCCTTTTTTTTCGATGCAATATGATTATAAAATTTGGTCAACAAGGTTTAAAGTCATTTTCAATGTGGGCAGCAATGTGTGTGTGTTCTAATTCCTAATTTTGCATATGCGGAGTATGCATTCGGGGGGAAAATATCGGCTAAAAATAAAAACTTCTTATGGTGAATTCCTAACTTCTCATAACAAATCCTAAACTTGGAAAATAGGAATTATTGAGTAAATAGTTCAGTAACAGTGTAACACAAAGCGCGAAAGTATACCATCACAAAATAGACTGTGATTACTCTGTCTTCGAAGATCGATTTTCAGTGCGTGCAATACACTTGACAAAGTTGTTTGTTTGCTTACAAAACTCGACCTCAAATTCTACTCGGATTATTTGATGGCCTGGTCTATGTATGTATATTAACTACAAATGCATCCACGGATCAACCGGATGTTGATGTCAGCTGTCGCAATCTATAAATTCAAGATGCAAATGAACTGCGTTTTCTGAATTGCTTGTATTGTCATTTTAGGAAAGACCTGGAAGCATCTGAGTTTCTGAATCCCGTATCTCTGCCTACACAACACCAAGATTGCACAAAAAGCAAAAAGAACGGAACTGAGATTGGTACGTCGGTGAATAATCACAAATAATGATGAAATTATATCGTAAACGACCGAATATCGGAGGGATGGTAATTGTTGCAGTTCGCTTAGCCCGAGAACACGCTATTTGTAATACCGCTAGTTACCAAACACACGCTAGGCAGGTTAGAATTCTATCGACTTTGGTCGTATACATCAGGTATATACCAACACGTCGATCGCGATCGACGTCTGATGTTGAGTAAATTTATTAACATACCCCAAATATTGCCTTGAACCAATTTCATACGGCGCCTGTTGTGTGTTTTGAAACATAAAGAATATAGTACTGTACATGCGCGAAATACGATATACACATGCATTAATTGGGTATGAACAAGCCCGATGAAGCATATTATTATGTGTCCATGCAAGTTTCACTACTGCCAAGTTTTAGGAATGAACGTACTGAATACCATCTGTCGTGACTGACCAACGATCCTACAACAATTTCTGCACTGTGCGAAAGTTATTGTCTCACTCCAGGAGTAGTGTGATAAATTTTATTCGCAGCGGTAGCAGTGGCATCAGAATGCCCACTTTTTTCTCTAATTCCAAGCGACCAAAGAATTGTAAATTAGATACTGACGTTTGAAATGTATTATATATGGCCTTGGAATATTATTTATTCGCTGTTTAGATAATACATGGATACTTTTCAAGTTTTTTTGAGGTATTGAAAACACTTACGACTAAACATTAGACAGGCCCTAGATCTGAATTGTATGCTTTGAATAAATCTAAAATAAAGGATGAAACATTTACTCCATTACATAATCAAATTGAATGGGGCATGAAGATGCAAATTTTTGTGGCAATTTCATTGAGAATGCAACCGCAGAGCCGAGCTTATTGGCATCGATGGAATTTTTGTATGCGTGTGTGCAGTTATCTGCGTCTCCAGTATTCATTCATTTTTGCTTATGACCTTATTACCGATCGGTGGACCGCGAGCTATTTTGAAGATTTTAGTCGATCTCGGTCGAAAGCAGGTTGGCCACCCCTGGTATACATGATAATTGCTCGACTCTTGACTCTTGCCAGTTGATCACGAGACCCCTAGTCGCCCAAGACCCTTTTACGATGGTATAGGGCCCTCCTGAAATGGGAATGATATGATAGAATCGGTGAGCGGTCGAAGGAAGCATTCTAATACCAGTGGTTAGTAGTCGAATTAATCAATTTTTGGAAGCCTAAAATAAAAAAAGGGTTTGGAATGACTTAAGTTACCATAATTTATTTTACCAAATGTATCATTAAACTATAGTGGCCATGATGGACTGGTGGGCCATTACTGTTAAATATATTGATATATTGGAAAACTATGGTTCGAACTTTCTTTGTTCCACAGCTTAACCCAAGCAAAATTTGAAAAAGATTCTAAAAAGTTAGATTCCAATGTTTGCTTATACAGAGCCTTGTAATGAGAGAAGGGCGCTCCCGTAGTATGTGAACCAAGATGGCGGACACCTGAACATAGTATGTCTACCAGGTTAGCGTTAGACCATAATTTTATTCCAATTTTCCTTATTTTAGTTCTATTATGAGTTCGGGGACTAGCCAAGTGACTCCCGTAGTATTTTTACCTGAAATTATGGCCTAACCCTAACATGGTACACATACTACGTTCCGGTGTCCGCCATCTTGGTTCACTACTACGGAAGTAGCAAGAGAAGTTGTTGTACGAAACGTCTGGAATACTACACACGTGCAGTTGTTCAAGTTCAAATATAAAATACTCATAACAAAACATGAAATCATACACACAATGATGTAACGTGATTAATAATTAAAATTTCACGCAATCGAACTACGAAATTCTTTGCTTGTTGACGCAAATTGATAAATATTTCAACGTATTTTGAAAGGAATATAAACCACTACACTGCGAAAAAAGTACAAAATGTGTTTTTTGTTTTTGTTTCTAGTTTTACTTGTCGGATTACATGAAAAAGTTGTGAAGTTTTACTGGTTTATCTAATATTCTCCCCTTTACTCGACAAAGGTCTGTCTATTATTAAGCTTTGCCAACCCACCATGGTTCGTCAAAAACATTTTGTTATCCTTAAAAAGGCAATAAACAATATCGTTGTGATATAGCCTATCTTGAACTTGCCTCAACAAGGAAAACACCTATTGAAAAAATGTAAACTAATTATAGAAAGAACAGCTTTCCCGCATCCTGTTTGTTTAAAACAAGTTCGAAAATCATCTAATTATGCACCAATCGGAATGATTTTGACATCAATCGATCTTTTTTGCTGTTTATTCACGCTTTACAAATGCTAATTAATTTGTATTTTAAAGAATTTTCGGGAGTTGAATTTAAACCACTTCCGGTCCCCGTTTCTTAAATCCGGAAGACAATCGTCGATATTCGCGCGAATCCAATAATACGAACCAAACAATCGCTATAAATAAGTACTTTTATATAACAAGTGCTGAATAGAACATATGGTTTCAGCTTCCAGTAAAGTTTGAATCAAAGATAGACAGTTCGACGAAAGAAGCGCAAAGACACTCCAAATACTTATATATCATATATAGCTTAGTCTTAGGATGACTATACAAATATAAACAAAAGTGACGTCACAATATTAATTCATGGCATCACAGTCTATAGTTGTGGCGTCACAGTATCAATAGTGACATCATAATATAAAGAGGTCCTAATATCGAGAAATGACATTTTGATGCTTTGTCGAAAATTTTCCGCCTAAAAAGCGCAAACAGTTTTCACAAATTCTAAGTGTGAGAACGCTCAACCTGCAGTCAAATTCCACGCTTATCAGATTTAAGTATTATAAATGTCACCCGAGTCTTAAAAGTTTTCATTAATCACAATTCCCTACGATAAGAAGATTAGCAGTAGATTTTCCATATTAGCGTTGTATTATATACATGTAAGGAACCCAAACTGATGATAGTCTAAAGTTAGTCTGTTTACACCAAATATACAAAGATTATCTAACGGATCCTCAGTTTTCGAAGGTGTGATTATAATCCCATTACTGTAGGATTGATGTACGAGTATAATGTAGTGAACATAATGTAGGCTATCCATCTACGGCGCTATGCTTTGTGTATAGAATTTCGTGTTAAAATTGCTAATTTTAGGATTACATCGGACAAATCGTTAACGTTTTGTTTGATGCGCGACATGATAATATTTTTAGAGTTGCCACATTTTAGCATTATAACTGGTGAATTATTGCAGTTTTATTTTATTTTATGGGATTACTACGTTCATGTGTCCGCCATCTTGTTGCACATACTACGGGAGTACCACTTTGAAGCATCGCTAAACTCGCTTCAGCAGATCACGATATGCAGCAAGTAGTGCCTACCTCTATTATTACGTAACAGTTATACGTGACAAAAGAGATGGACACTACATAACAGAAAGTAAACGACATAGAAGAGTAAAAAAAAATTTATTGATCCATATACACAACATTTAAAATAAAAAACAATAAGACATTTATAACGTAAAATATTCGATCCTATATTAGTTTTGTTCAACACAATCCTGTTGATTTTCGCGGCGCACTTAGCAAACCGCGCCCTCTTTGAAAACCACTGCTTAATTGTATTGTCATCGCAGGTTACACATTTCGGTTAATATCAAATGATTACCATCTAATCCAAGGGTGTAATAAATTGGGTGGACAATGCCGAACCCGAAAAATAAGAGTTTCTCTAAAAATAGCGACTCCTTACATAATCGTCAGATTAGAAGATGTTTGTATAATGCCTTGTTCAAAGAAATAAGCGTGAACAGGCGTCGTATATTAGAAAATGAATATTCTCAGGCTTGTCCATGGGAAACGTCCCATGGGATGGAACAGCACACATTTGTATTTCCCATGGGACACGTGGGACACGAAAACCGTAAGATTTTCGGCGAAATGATGGTAAAGCATTTCGTTATGGACTTCGTGTCCATATATTTGAGCATAGCTCTCTTGTTAATTATAAAGAGCAAAATACATTCAGCATTAAAAATATACTTTGTGAAGGGGCTGATGGACATATGTATATTAGTTATGAATATAAAGTTAACAAAGTCCGTAAATTTTGTTGTGTTGCATGTCTATCCGTACATGTAGTCCTATTTAGTAAACGCTATCCCTAAATTTAACAATTTTCATTGAATTTTATTCCAATGGGAATCCCATGGGATGGGATGGGACAGGCATAATTGTTATGGGATGGGAATAGGACAGAAAAATATGTTCCATGGTCAAGCCTGAATACTCTACAAATTAGATTGGAAATGTTGAACCGATACGGCTTTTAAAACATTCGTTCCTTGCTTGTCGATGACAGCTTGTCTAGTTACTTGTTCTGAGCAATGATGGCCCATTATATATATATTTATTTCAGAGCCTTCCTGCAACAAATCAAAGATTTGCTACTCTTCATCGTTAAATTCATTCAAATCGATTGACCCAAAAAATGAAGATTATTCAGCAGATAACAGAGCAGATCGAGAGTATAACGGATACACGGTAATACATTAATGCAATTTTATTCTCATTGGTCGAGGTAATGCAATAGTATCAATGTCAGTGGCTGAATAATTTGTTTAATCGGGTCTGTACGTCTCGCAGGATAAACACATGCCCTGGTTGTTTAAAAATCATCATAAAAAACATTATCTCTATCTATGAATGCCTGCTTGCGTAGAGCCTATGTGAAGCGAAGATAGCACGCTACAAAAAATCAGGCAAAGGAAAATGTGAATTTCCGAAAATTGGTCAATTTGTCGTTGGATGGGATGGCATAATAATTAGATTGTTCGACTCCACCACGTTCGTATCGCAGGTTAGGAACCCCCGAGTCAAACCCCATGCCCATCGCTTCATCCAGGATTCAACAAATTTTTAAGGGAAAACGGTTAAAAACACGTCCAGCGAGTTTTTCCACTTCAATTACTTTAACGGGGTTATAGCAAATTAAGGTATTTGAATTACCAAGCTTTCTGCTTACCTAGAGATTTGTTCGTAGTGAACATTTAGAACCTTTCATGAGAAAACATCAATGACCTTTTCTTTCAGTTTATCGCTCGCCCAATCCGAATCCCATTTCTGCTGTCGTATTGCCATCCAATTGCTGATATAAAATGTCATAACACATATAACGATAGCCATCGCAACGTAATACCAAAATGAGATATCAAGTTCGTTTTTGGTAACCGGTAATCTTAACTTAATGTCAAAAAATCGCACTTGAACGCAAGTATTTCATTCATTATCATTTACAACATACTGTATTGACTGCTCGTGCCAAAAACGGCGCCAATGGTTGATATATATCACCGAAAAGTCAAAATAAACAAACCGTCTATCAATGACACACGGTGGTTCACTTCAGATTATCAAATCTTAGATAGGATTAGTTCTGGGCTGACAAGAAAAACATAAGAATAATGGCAGCCTCGGTACATGAAACAAATCTAATGGATCACATTTTAGCATAGATTTATCCTAATTAAGCATGAGATAGAAGAAAAACTTCGTTAGCATTTTTCTTAGCATTTTTATAGTTGAGCATATGTATCTATTTACTGTTATTTATCTAAATCAGTTTTTCTCAAACGTCATTATTATCCCTTCCAGAGACTTTCGACACTCGGCAAATAATAATTTTGCCTTCATCACGTTTTCATCATTTATATTGTTCTCAATCTTTGATAATATTGAGCCAACAGAAAAAAGTAGAAAAATAAATGCAGGGTAGCAAACGAATTAAATAAATCAATATTTCACTTTAAATTAATGCAGTCATCACGAATAGTGAGTGTCTAATAATGGTCATTTGCCTATGACTCCCTGAGAACCGATACGTTGCCATGGGTCCAGTTCCAGAAAACCTTATCCAAATTATGTCACCTACCGTGTTTTTGTGTATTGTGTACCTTGTTTTTAAGTCATTGAGTATTGAATTTTCTCGAAGTATCGTTATAAAATATTAAATTTTTTGGGTTAATTTGCGTCAAAAAGACTTTAATTATTTATCCTATTTCGCATTTTTAAAGAACGCAAAAAATAGAGGATTTACTTTCAAACTTTCGGGTTTTCTCGCATTAAAAATTGCCCATATTATTATACCTGCTTTAAAAAACTGAACAAAAAAAAAATTGGAAAATAAAGACTACACAGCCCAAAAAATCTTCATAAAATGATTATAAAATGGTAAAATACGAGACTATGCAATGTATTCCGTAAATTGCATTTCATTTCAGTTTATTTAAATCTTTTAATTTTCCAGTGCATTTACACTACGAAGAATGGAAAATTGAGTTTACCAACGCCAAAGAAGACTAATCCAAGTGAGGATTTGACTTCAAATGGTGATCTGACATCAGGTAAAGGAATCGAAGACATGGCAAACATTATGGTTCGCCCTATAATACGCAGATGCGACTCGTGTCCGTCAGGAAGGCGAAGAATGCTCTCTGCTGCCAGCACGCACAGTGTTTTCAGTATGACTTCACTAGTAGTGCTTTTTAAAAGGTAAATACGTCATAGTTGATTCAGTTTAAATTAATTTTTTCTTCGAGTACGGTACTCCCTGAAGTGGCCCTCATATAACCGGTATATGGCCCCGAGGGCCAAGTTTTAGAAAACCAGGCCTAAAGCTATATATACCTTTTTGAGCATATAAGAATATCATTTATATTCAATAATTGAGATGAATGCAGTTTATAAAAACCTCTATATTGCACCTGTAACATTTTCACGGTATTTTTTGCATTGCTATCCTGTAGGCCTAAAGCTGAATAAAAAAACTTGCAATTTTGAAACAAAATACGTTGTTTTTAGAAGAAACAGACCTGAATCAAATTCTATCTCGTCCAAACGATCAGCATATTATCATAAACGAGAACGAAGGTTTACTCTTATCATATGTTTAGTGACAGGAGGTTTTCTTTTCTGCTGGTATCCGTTCTTCCAGGTAAGATCACATCACAATATTAGGAACATGTAAAACGTGTCGCCGGTTTTTCTTTCAATTTAATTGTTAATATCAATAGATACAAACATAAAAAGACAACGAGTCCGGGGGCTAGTACCCAAGATATTGTTGACTTTTTATTTTACGTTGGCGATGAAGACGATCAGAGCCGACACGAAAGGAAGCAACCAGAATGAAATTAATTTGCAAACTTTGGCTCCAAGTTCATTCCTATATTTGCGCTCAGCGCTTGTCCCCAATGATCGCACGATATCTTTATAGTTCGTCGAACAGAGTGAGACAGTTTCGCGAGAAATAAAAAAAATGACCACCAGGGTGCAAGACACATACGTAATAATAAAAACCGGCATTTGAACGTAGATAGATGGCAGGAATAGTTACACCAAAATCACGAAAGATACTTATGTATAGTAAAATGTATGTAAAGAATTAAAAAGTCTGCTTACAAACTTTATAGGGCGGGCCGCAAAAAACACTCCGGAGGGCCGCGGGTTGGGCAGCCTTGGCGTAGTGCGTGGTTTAGTTTTTGACAAAGCTAATCTTATATCATCCTCGACTTTCATTCAATTTCGTGCCTTCGTTTTTTTATGAAGAGGAGCTGAAAAGCCGATTTCCTATTTCATAACTTGATTTTCATATTGTCGCTTCTTCGCCATGGTAAAAAAAATAACGGAGTTATAACGTTACTACGGGATGTATGATAATCTTCACGATGAAACAACGTAGACTACAAGCCTACCCGGCAGTAAACCCCTTGGTATCGAAATAATGGCGTTCCACAGCATTGCTTCGAAGCCCGCGTATTTTCCACATTACGAAGCGCCGAAATGCAGACGAGTTCGTCTGACGTCACAATGGTAAACATGAACATCTCGCGCCGCTTGCTCGGTTTTCAAGCAAGGAGCGATATTCTGGGGTCTCACGACAGCTAGTGAAAATCTCACAGAGACATACGAGAGTCCATTCCAGACTTCTTCGCGTTCTATTGACAATATTTAACTTGAAGTTTTTTTTTATTTTCCACTGTTTTGCAAGACCTTTGCGACCCCCCTAGAAACCCGCCGCGACCCCCAGGTTGGGAACTACTGAGCTACATGCTCTTGTCTACTTCCGGAGGAACCAACTCGTATAAGTCGAACAGCCAAAACAAGTGAAACAAACACACGCGTAAATTTTCATCACACATTCAGATATATATTGGTATAAGCAACACTCACACCCTGGAACTATTTATTATATACCAGGTGAAAGCATGCTGTCTTATTGGATACGAAAGCTTCGTGTTCATATACTGTATTTGATCATAGCTCTTCTGTATTAATATATGTAAATAAGTGAAACCCTTCAAATTCAACATATAGCATATCCGATTCGATGGAAATTCAAAATGCTTCATTATTTAGGCAAGGATTTTCGTTTAAAATACTTAAATACTGTTAAAACTTATATTTTTAATAGTATTACGTCCAATACATGATGCATTTATGGGGTTGGGGCTTTGAGGATTTTACTAGGCGTTTATTTGTATTGAATAATGTTACGAACGATGAATGCTAATCGCTGAGATCTCTGTGTACAGGCAGCGCCGCTTTTCTCGTATTAGAAAGTATCGCATATCATTATGCAGAGTTCCCACTATCGTTTCGCAATAATTCAAATTTAGTGTTTTAATTTTTCCATTCACAGCAGTCTGAACTTTCTACTAACTTCGGAGAAAGCAAGCAATCCATATGTTTAAAACGCAAACTAACGGGTTTAAAATTTGAATCCAATTTAAATACAACCCCACTAAGCCAATCCAATTTGGATCAGTCGGGAAAAAGCAGACAAAATTTATTGAACACTCTATTCTCATCGATTAATTGTATAAAAATATACATCATCAAAATTAGATTGACGAGGCAGATAGCCTATCGAAATATTTATTTTTTGTAGAACTTTTTTCGTTTGAAGTTCTACATTCGGAGTAACTGAAAATAATAAATCGAGGAAAATTACCTTAAATGATTTCGCAGGTCGCACACAAAAAATACGCATCTGGCCCTAAAACTTGTAACTGCAGTATCCAAATTATAAGAGAAATTCTAATATTTCCATGACGTCATCGGTGGTGATGTCATTTTTGTTTTCTTTGAGTCAAAAATTTCGTTATTACTTAAGATTGAAGCAGCTCAATGGTGATCTTCCGAAAACGTAATTTCAATTGGGTGAATTCTTGGGAAACGCTATTCTGGAATGTCAATAATTTTAAATTTTGTTTGGCCTATCTTCGGACATTGCTTGTGTGTTCCTAAAATGTAAATTTTGGGGCTCCCGAAGTATGCGAACCAAGATGGCGGACATCGGAATGTAAAATGTGTACTAGTTTAGGGTTAGGCCATAATTTTAGGTATAAATACTACGCGAGGCTCTTGGCTAGTCTTCGAACTGATAATAGGACTAAAATAAGGAAAATTGGAAAAAAAATTATCGCCTAACCCTAACCTGTTACCCGTGTTACGTTCCGATGTCCGCCATCTTGGTTCGCATACTTCGGGAGCACCTAAATTTTTTTGATAATTTTGATGTTTTCTGTAATAAATATTTCCGGAATAAGAACCTTCAGTTACTATTCTTATTTTCAAAAATTTCTAGGAATAATCTTCAAATTCAAATTTTACTGACGTACATGCGTAAATTGAAATGAATGTAAATAATAAAATTATAATAAGCTTAATATTTTCGATTTATTTGAATAATATCATATTATTCATATCTTGATTCGCACTTAACCTGTCTTGGAATAATAGAATTTGGAATCCAATTCGATTAAAACCACGAGTTATCTGTCTTCTGGAAAATGTTAGTTTTCATATTGGATTATCAACTCTCAATTTTAATCTCCGCTTAGATAAAGTTTTTCATTTTAACCCCAAAACATATTATACGAAGTGTAAAGTGCAATTTTTTTTGTATCTAAAAAAAAAACTAAATGAAAATTGATCCTAAAACCCCTCAAACAAGGGATACTGAATTTTAACCCAAAAAGTATGGACAGAAATTGACAGTTATTACCCACTGCACAAATTCTGTTAAATGTACGTTAATTTGTGTTTATGTAAAGTGAATTTCAGAGGTCCCGAAACTTTTTTCGCGTCAGGGGTTTACAACATAGTTCCCGGTTTAGATCCACCTTTAGCCGAGACCCCACCTAGCCTAGTTTGCTGGGTTTATAAAATTTATGACTAACTCGAAAATTTCATGCTTTTAACTAAGAAACTTCAGTTGTAGATGTATTCGGAGTCAATTTTTGAAACTCACAGTCGAGCTCGGATTGTTCCTAAAACCGGAAGCGATCGTCGGTACAAAGTTGCGTTATTAAATAGTTCCGAACTCAAGAATTGGAGTCAAGTGAAATATTTTCGATTCCAACACCAGCATGTTTGAATCAAGTACACAATAACAGGCTCCAAACGTAAAATACTTGAAAAATTGCCTCAAGATGATTTAAAGTTTTTTAATTCTGTACTTTTAATATAACGATAAATAATCGATCATATATTTAAAATTCAACGTGATATATTTTTATTATTTTTCTTTCAGACATACGTAGCCTATGCACTTTGTGGAAAAACCTGTTGTATAAATAAAAACCTTTTCAAAGCAATATTTTGGCTCGGTTATTTGAACAGTGGAATAAATCCTGCAATTTATACAATTTTCAACAAAGAATTTCGACGAGCTTTTCGAAAATTGTTTCTACGTTCGAAACCAGGGGAGGAAAGTTGGAAAAACAATTTTCGTTGATCGTCATTATAGTTGTATGTTTGAGCTACCTGCACCCTGAATAATTATTCTGATATACGTAACATATCATATGATTTTTCACGTTCATCCAAATAGAGAGAGAAGTCAATGTGGCGAACCGTGGATACTTTATACTTATAAGAATATTTAAGTAGTTTATTACTCCAGGTACATGGATAATTCCGTGTGAAGTGGATATCTGCGTTTTAACTTTTCGTACTGTGAATATACACACCGAATAATGTACGCATTTGCATTCGCTTTTTGATCGGGCAAGTGTCGTTTTGTTTGTCTGGTATGCAGATGACATTATGCACATAAGCGAATTTCGGCGTGAGATTTGATATACATTGTTGGATTTTTTTCTGCCATAATAGCAGGGGCAATGATCATAATGTTTCACTGACATAAGTTAACTTTGATTTTCATTGTTTTATCTAACACTGTTCACAGCCATTTGCTAAACTATTGTTCTAGAATTTGCAGTAATTTTACTCTTTTTTTTATTATAATGATCATGTTTTTATTGTAAAAGTATATACATATTACCAAAATAATAAAAAATAGTGTACTTCTATTTTGAGTGTTCCAACATAAGCTACATTACCACACCCTAAACAAAACACCTTAAGTCTGCAATTGTTTCTGTTGTTTACTGTATTGCTAACTATTTCTTTTTTGTTGAATCATGCCAATATTACCTCTTGACTTTATCTGTGTTTGTGTGTACGTGTGACAATAAATTTTCATTGCTGAAATGCAATAATTTTCCAATATTTTTTTCACAAAAATGTTATATCTTGCGTTTTTGAGAAACGGTTTGAGAAACGCGTTTAAATGGATGGTTGAAAGATACCTATCCGGAAAGGTCGGTACGAGGCAGCAGAAAAGTTCCTTTGGTTCCGAGTTTCAGCTCGAAACACTCACAAAAGCTACCCCGGCTTGCGATTCCGCGTACAAAAATATCTTGGCTCGATTGTATTAGAGAAATTACAAACTATCCACGAAATAAAAAACTTTGATAACGAAAACTTCCCCCAGCCGTTTGATTGATGTAAAACTTGCAAATAATAAAATACTGTACTACAGTTTCTAGTTCTTCTATTTCAGAAGCTTTCTAACTTCTTTATATAACCTTTATAGGAGTGAACTCTCACAACTATCATATGATATCGTTTAGTAAAGTTCACATTATATCGCATACAAAAATATAGACAAAGATATTGTACATATACCCCAGTTATATTATATAATGTTGCCACGATGTTTATCCTGACGTTTTAAATTGTTTAGGTTCGATTTATTATATTGTTATTACTGTCCCTGATATTTGCACAATTATAAAGTTTTAAAAAAAATGGAAAACTTGATGTAATTGATACGCTCGTTATTTTGTACTTATGTACTGTAAGTCTGTATCACTAGTACATTTGCAATATATTAAGACCTCGAAATTTAAAATATCCATAACGTTCGTGAGGTCATGTGAGGGAGGGAGTACGTCACAAAATATGATCTTACTTTAAGTTTGGGACAGGGGTCGGAGAACTACGATTATATTCTTTACGTGACAGAATTTGTTTTGAGACACTAAATTATATTATAACCTAACCTAAAGTATATAATTCACAATCACTCGTTTAATGAGCCTATAATTGATAGACAATTGGCAACATAACGTAAAAAAGTTGATGCTGAGTGCAAATAGTTTAACGGAGCAGAAAATATTCAAATGATGAGTATCCGTGCACTGCTTGAAATTTAACTGAAATCTGTGTAAAAAAAATTGGATTCATTGATCATCCCGTCGGTTTTTAACTTTTTAAAAATACGCGCGGCCCGCCAATGACTCGCAGCCTTTAATTTTGGCCCGCGAACGACAAAAGTTTGCCGACCCCTGGTTTAGGGTGACCATTCAACTATGACGGACATAGCTTCCAGAATGATGAATGTTTAACCAACCAGACTGAAGCCATTGATACAATTTTTCCATCGTCGTGTATTAAATTTTAAAAATGAGATTATCACTATTGAATATCATAAATAGTGTAGGTCCGAAAATTGAACCTTGAGAAACTCAAAAGAAGTGTAGCGTATTGAGAGCGGTTACCACTTAAAAACGATGGTCATTACATTACCACTTCGTAGAGCAAGAGAGTAAAGATTTTCACTTTTTTAGTCGCACTATATTTGAAAGGAAACGCATTAGCAACTGTAATAAGCAATACACATCTCATATGTTGTTGCCTTAAAATCAAACCCGCTACCAATTACCAACTTCCATGACCTTTGACCGATGCTGCCAGCAACGTTCTCAATGCCATTCGGGGGGATGCTCTCCTCACCGCGCCGTTTCAGAGTTCGCGCGGTTGCTATTTGTACCTGCTTCGAAAAGCTCACTGTGTGTAAATGTTGCTTCAACAGCCTTTTCAATAATATAAATTGAATACAGACTAACTTATGTTAAGTTGCAAGTAGAGTAAGTACCACGGTCTGTTCCCAGGTTGGGTTGAGTCCCGGTACGGTAATGGTGCACCCGTACTGCAGTACCGTCCGAGTGGAAATCGTGTCAAACTAGTCTATAGTGTACCTCAAACTCAAACACTGACATATTAAGGCAAACCTACTCTAGTATAGTATTGGGACTTAATGAAAAAACTATTTCTCGGATCATCTACCCTGTTTACCGCCCAACGGTACGCGAATGCAAAATCCCTGCGTCCTCTCAAAGCAAGGCAAAAAGTGGTTCTGGCAGCAGTCGTTACGCTCCGTTGATTCGTATGGGAGTAGGTAATTGCCTATACCGAGTATAGGCCATTCAAATCCGATTGGGACACATCCTTATTTTTAACAGTTTATATACACATCTGGGATTGGTTAATTCAGATCCTACTATTGGAAAACGTGTTCAAATATTACTTCAGCATGAAAATATATATATATATATTTTCAAGTGGCGCCACTACAGTTGGAATTTTTATTCTGGTTCAGTAATTTGGCTGTGTTATACCTCGCAGCACATGATTTATAGCTATTGTCAGGTAATTTTGTCAGGTACCTTTTCCGGGGGTCTCAATTTTCGTTCTGTCATTAGAGAAATTTAACCTTTAATCTTTTTTTTATTCTCTCATTTCCATATACATATAGCGGCTCACTGGCAACAAGAAGAAAACATTTCAGAAACTGAAATTGATTGTTTTGAGTTCACATTATCACCACACTTTTTAAAGCTGGCAATAATGCTGAAAACTTGCCATGTCGAAACTCAAAACTTGCCATAGTCGCCAGTCCAACATATAGAATCAAAACACCAATATTGGTAAACTTTAATCTAGAAACCATTAAAATCTTTGACAACGTCGGAGTTAGGTTCTTAACGGCTCAAAAGCCGGATAAAACTGTCATCCTATTTTGCACAGCAACTGTCAAGAATTGCATAGTGTTCTGATCATCGAGTTATATTACCACCGAAATATATACAAATTTAAAAATTATTGCTATCTTTGGTTCACGAACGTTACATGAATTTACATGTAAGGAATGATTACTTCTTAAGGAATTTCATCCCACACATTGACCTACCATTCCTGATTCACTTCTTTTAATTTCTTGCAAAGCCTAACTCTAACAAGGGGGTAGGTCAGCATTTCCGTAACAAACAAATTAAAACACTGAACAATATCTTGGCCTCACCAGTATATTTATTATAACAAATATACTTATTATACAACAATTTTCAAACAAACAAAATAAATCTCAAAAAAGCATTTTCGTCGCCACGCTAGAGAAATCGATCACGAGCTTTATTTATTTAGATTTACAAAAAATTTGAAATTTTTGAAATCATTTTCTAAATGGCAAAACTAAATTGGAAAGTTTCACAATTTTTCTATTGAATACCGATATGTCTAAAATATTTTTACCTTTGTCTTAAAGACAGAATATTGAAAATAAAATGCTCTTAATAAGCTAAAATTAGGTGAATTACTGCGACAGTTAAACTGCCAATTTTGTCATTTTAAATTGTTTATCATTATCAATTAATAAAAAACTTATAAATTCGTTTTCTATTCCAAAAATGCTGAATTATGGCACTACCGTGGAGAGTAATTAGGAAAATACTATACACACATCTTTAACGACACCACACAAATAGAATCAAGAAGACAAACAGACAGACATATATTAAATTCTTGAAGACAATATACTCATTGCGCCGACACAAACTTGCTAAATTCATTTCCTATTTTTTTTAGCATATTTAAACTTTTGAAATCAGAGAAATGAAACCAGCAAAAATAATTGAACAACAAACTAGTTCATAGATTAATTTAATTGTAAGAGCAGAGGTTTCCATCAACAAGACAATTTAGTACATATCTTAAAAGAGTGCCACAGGGATGGATTTTTCTCCTAGACTATTTGTCATCTATATGGATACCATACACTTCATGTTCTCCTAGGGAAATATGCATGAACAGCATAACATTATTCAACATCTAAAAAGATATAAAAGTCATTTTATGAACTTTAGGAACACCATAATAGTTGGGAACTAATCAGAAGAAAGAAATTGGTAAACAAGATCAGGCAAAAAAACAATTACGTGATAAACCTTGAACTCGGATGTATTATTAAATTAAGTCACCCATGACAAATGCTGGTTAATTTTTATATATCTACTGCAAGAAGTTCACATTTTTAAGAGGTGCTTAGCACTATGCTATCTTCAACGCGACATATAAAGCGCAAATTAATATAACTTTTACTTATGACATCATAATTCAAATACATGCGAAATTAGTAAGTTGGTGGAAAAGGCGTAAGCACCAATGATTGCCAAAGCTGTTAAACAGCTGAATTGGTACACATTATTGAACGAATAAAATAAACAATAATATCACAAGCAATCAACTTGTTAGACAAGCTATCAAAAACAAGTAAAATAACAAAATTTCAACAGTAATTTTAAGGAAGAACGATAAAGTGAAAATTTTCAAATTAGGAAACTTTTAACTAGCTGGAACTGAGTGTAATATAATTTAAAGGAACAATTCATAATTAAATATGTCACAATAGTTCTCGTATAGTTCACCAGAAACAAAACTACTCGTAACCCATCAGATATAACATGATAAATTAGTAATCATATTCGTACCGTACGAGATTCTAAACAACTATGCACACCCGCGCGAGTAATTATAAAAGATAATCTGCTTTCATCATGTCTCTTGGAACTTTTTAGGAGTTTGGCAAACAAAAATAACAACTTGTTTTTTAGTTATATAATTACCAGAAAAAAATGATACTTTCGACAATTTTTATATCAGCAGAGCACCTTGAGTTTTCATTCAATGTTCATACTTTTATAAACAACGGGGTAATTTGAAAGCAATTTTATAGCATAGCAAGCAAAATAATCAAAACATCTTGACTGTAATCTTATATAAAGTCAGAATCGCACTTCACAGATGTAAAACTGTTAATGCCAATTGCCCAAAAAGACAAAAGTTTTCAAAAAGATTAGGTCAGCTTTCCTAGTATCTGTTTTCAACGCATTGACTATGTAAGGATCAGTCAGAAATATTAACTACTAGTAGTCCATACTCAGTAATGAGTACTGTTCGGATGGAAACGTAAGCGCATAAAAGAATATAATAAGATCCCTCTTTTCAGCCGAAATCAATCAATTTCGGAAGATTTCAAAAGTAGTCAACATTATAACAAAAATCTCTTTTTTTCAAAATTTGACAAAATAGAGAATTTGTAACGGAAAAGACGTTCCTTCGGCCTCTTTTAAATAGACAATTTAAGTAATTTAAATTGGAAAGAAAACCTCAAGTTTCACTTATAATAAAAAGTTGTACCATAGCTATGAATCAAAGATAATATATTATCTTTAGTTGTATGGCATGAAGTACAAAGCGAGACTTGGAGTTTTGTATGTTTTGTCTTGCCAGCTTGGGTCAGAGCTACAGTTAAAATTTCGTGTGGCACCAAATCGAAAATGTTGCATATAAACGAACTAGCAATAATAGCACACTAAATGAAAAACAAAAAGCAAAAAGAATAAAAAGGCATTCTGGGCACCTTTGGCCATAATAAACAGAAAAATGCGGCACCTTTCATCGTATATAAACCACGTTAGTCAATTAGAGACCTGCGTCTGTAATTGCACAGTTATTCATTCAATTTTCACGGCCACGGGATAATTTTGTTTCAAATCTATCCCTGGATTGGTAGAATCTGAATTCTCTGACGAAAACTGGGTTTCGTTGGAATCGCCCCTTTCTCTCGTTGGAGGCGGTAAAGAGCTGTTGCTTGGTGGGAGAACTGGTGCTCTAGAAGTGGCATTTGTAACGTTGTTATGGTACCGTTGGGTTTGTTGTAGATCGATTAGAGTCGCGATCTTGAGACTAGCTGCTTCCATTTCTTTAGGAGACGGGAGAGATATTAATGCAGGTTGTTCGTGCGGAGAGAAGTCGTCCGGCTTTTTACCTCGCATTGTTTCGCCGTGGTGTTTCTTGACGTGTTTTTCCAGCGTGCTAAACACCGAAAAAGGCATTTCACAAATTTCGCAGCGATACACCTCTCGACCGTTGATTCCATGAGTGCGCATATGGCGAGTTAACTTACTTGACTGCGCGCAAGCATAATCACAAAGCCTGCATTTGTATGGCCGTTCACCAGTGTGCATACGTCGGTGTACTGTTAAGTTAGACGTGTTCTTAAATACCTGCAAAATAAAATGAAAAAATGAACATTTGAATTAAAAATCCGCTTGGTGGGAACAGAGAAACTACATTGAGGTTAATCCTCTGTTACCATCATAAATTTTTCTTTTTTAATCATGTGTGGACCTTATAAATTGATCACCCTGAGGACATGTCTAATCTACATCTCGTGTTCAGAAGGCACTAACAAAAAATAATACTAGCGTGTAGGTAAAAGCGTCGCCTTGCATGGGAAGCACGTTTAATTCGTATAAATTATGATGAAATGAAAAATAACTTTCCTCTGACATATATATATATGTACAATTATTAAATTTGAATGTTATCTTTTGTAAAATCCAACCGTGCAAAGATATGGACGGTATTTAGACTTGTTGGTTTTCATTTTAATTTCGCCCTTTGTATATATATATCGCCACAGCCCGGGGCGTTTCGAAGAATCGACCAAGTCTCAATATATACAGTCGACCGCAGACTGGTAAAAAGTTTTGTAAAATGACATATTTAGTGAGGTCAGGTAGGTCTTCACCTCCGGGCAGTCGAATTTGTCGTTAAATTCTTGTTTTGTTATATTTTTACATTGAAACCTGATTTTCACGTATAATTAAAAATATATAAAAAAAATAACACAAAAACTCGTTACACAATTCAGCGATTTCGTCAATTATTCCCGACAAAATCTAAAAACTGCAAGTTTGGGATTATCGTTTGAATCACAAAAAATACGCTGACGCTAAAAGCTTCTAATAGGAGGGACATATATATATATACATAGTAATCGGCGTCAGTGATATAAAATCTATATATTGAACCCCGAGGGGTACAATATAGCACTGTAATTGCCAGGAATACTATTTTCACACCCCGTGTTTGCATTGCCAATAAGTTCATGAAATAGGAGGAAATATTCAGTTTTGCAAATGTGAACCGCAAACTATCATAAAGTTTTATATTTTCATCAGCGTCATAAATGCCATCAATGCTTTGCTTTTTACTATATATATATCTCATATGGATATTTAAATATATATTTCAAATACTACTACAGCCGAATACGAATTTGAATCCGAATATAAATTTTCTTACCTTCCCACAGTACTGACAGGTATCATTTCGTCCGCTTCCCCTTGGTCTGTGCGGCTGAATTCCTAAGCCCCCGGGTCGGTGATACATATTTCCAGTTGACGTTCTCCTTGTCGCTGGTTGCATCCATCGATTTCTACTGTACAGTGACGTTGGCAGAGGCGCAGCGAGACTGCTAGCGCGCATGTTGGCGGGAACACCACTATCCCCACCTGGTGGTGTATTAACCAGCCTTTGAGGGGCTTTCGAGGAAAGCAAAGCTTGTTGCATGTTACCGAAAAGAATCATATTATGCAGTTGTTGATGTTGTTGACTCCTCAAGGTCAAAGGGTCAAGACCATTAGGTGGCGACTGTATACTTTTCGTGGTGTTGATAACTTTTTCTTGCGCATGCTTCGACCCTCGTTCAAAGAAAGTAGGTGACAAGGGAGCAAGTCGAACATCTGAGTTATTCCCTTTATCCACGATCGGATCTAGGAGAAAGGGAATAATAATAAATCAATTTATGCAATTAGAGTAATAAATATCAATTGGTGCTAAGCAAGACTAACTACCTATTCTTCTTCTATACCCCTGCGTTGAGGAACCATGGGTATAATGTAATGATGATGTAGCAATAAATATGACTATTCCACGAGAGCCTTGCTTCACACTAACACAAAGGTATTTCTGAAAAATTTCGCCTGACTAAGTTCTGCCTTTTTCAGTTGTCATAGTCAAAATATGCTGGTCAGAAGAAGTCTTGTCTCGATGAGACCAAACGTTACAGAAATACATTTCTGTTAGCGTGAAGAAGCCTAAATCAAATAAAGTGAATAACCTAGCATTTGTGGTTTGAGTAGTTTTATTTAAACAGATATAAGTTGTTAGAGAATATAACTATTTCAAAAAAGTACTCTAGTTAATTTGTTATTCGTGGCTTAATGAACAGTTTTTTGTTTAGACCGTCCAAATACTAAACTTACCCGATGCTTTAGAGTAGGTGTTCAAGTAAGGACTTTGCAGAGGCGGTGGAGTTTTTCGAACACTTTCTCCGTTTTCAATTCGCGTCCCATTAGTCTGAATAACTGTTAATGGTGTTTTATCCGCCATTTCAGTTGACATTTCCGGCAAAGGAAGAGTATCGCGTTGCCTGACACGCAGGAACTCCATTCGGCCCGTAACGGATGGCGCCCTGTCTGCAAATTGTTGCTGCAAACGGCCGTCTTGCTTTGCCATTTGCTCATTAATGCTGTATTTTCGCAGCAAATCTGCGTAGAGAGGTTGAGATGGCTGGTTGACCGCTTCATCCCTCCTAGGAAACAACTGACATCTAGATGAATGTGAATGATCAATGTTGGGCCCATTCCCGCTACAATTTAATTGAATAAAACGGGTCAAACGCTGATAAGGATTTAAACTATGTAAATCATCATTGTTAGATAACCGGTTTAATCCGGCTGGAATCAGTGCAGGGACCGGCACAGAAGCATGTCTATCCGATGGAATTTGCTTATCTTCGTAAAATTTACTTTCAGGGTATACATTCTGTGGTCGATTCTGTATTGGTGCAGAAGATCTACGCATAGCAATTCGTTTGAAGGGCGATGATTCATCCGGACTGCTCGCTGCAAGACGTGTTATCCTGTCTGCTTCCATGTTATTTGCATTATTTTGATTGTCATCGGAATGGTGCCTTTTAAGAATAGATGTTTTACAATCGGCATTTCGTGTATCTTCTAACCTATCCGAAGAAATATTGCTCACTCTTCCGCCCGCTAATGGAGAACTGGCATTTGAAAATGTGAGGCGAGGCGTGTCGCTATCGTCTTCCATAATAACGTCTTCGCGCGTGATATGTTCGTTTACCAAACGACTCTCACTAGTTTCACTTTTATCATCATGGTAATGCTTTCTCACAAAGGGCAAATGACTTTGATTTCCCATGTCGAAAAGCCTTCGTTGAATATCGTTCCGTATTTTATCATCCGCATTCTGCATGATTGCGTCTTTATTCTCATTCGCTTCTTTATCACATTTCTCCTCTTTGACGCATATCAATTTTGTCTGCTTGCCAACCTCACGTGTAAAATGTGTGTACAAATGTACCCTTAAATTGCTGGTAAATTTGAAATCTTTATCACAAATCGAACAGTTATTGGGATTTTCTTCAATATGTTCCTGAATTATCGTTTCAATATCTCGTTTTGAATGCGAATTTGTTTCATTTTCGGAGTTGCGATCATTTGAATCCTCTACATTATAACACATAGGAGATTTCGATGTACCAGGACTTCTATCTCCTGACGAACACGAAGTAGCAATTACATTATCGCTTGTTTTGGTAGTTGGCGAGTGCATAAAAACGCAGTCGCTTTCCTCGCTATAGCCTGGAGAAGTGTGTGAGCTTACTGATCTTTTTGTATCTCCATCCGATTTTGTACTTCTGTATCCGTCAGGTCCAAATGAAATTTGTGTCATTTCAGAATGCATTTGATTTGGAGACACACGCGAAAACTTGAAAACATCTGAGTTATTCACTGATAAATTCTCATGATTTCCTGAATTTTTTTGAAAGCTTCTTTCCATAATGGTTGGTGATTGTGGATTGGTTTCTCGATTTCTAACCCCGCTTTGTTGGGATATTTCTTCGGCCGTTGGAGATTTCGAGAGAGTTGCTAAATGACGTAACCGCTCAGAATAATTCTGCTTATTATTCACTTTGTTATACCAAGCTTCTAATGCAGGTGGAAGGTTTGGTTGGTGGTGCTGATTTGGATGACCTCCTAAACTAGCTGCAGACGAAGAAGGTTCAAAATTATTGTGAGCTATGCTTGTATTTGAATGTGTGCGGGCGGGAAGTTCGGACGATACCATCACAGGGTGTTCAGAATTCACTTTACAGGTCATAGAAGACGATGACTGTGGTATTGTTTGGTTTATATTACCAGTTCTTCCTGGGATACCAGGCAACTGTCCAGAAGCTGATAGTTGTAGCAAACGTTGTATGAATTCATATGTGTAATTGCTTTCGGTATCTTGGTTGTTTTTAACTTCGTCTTGTCGTTGTTTTGTGTCATCGCCGTTATCAATTTTTCTAACCAGAGCAAGACGAACATTATGTTCCCGATCAACGTGTTGTAAAAGAGCTGCAGCTTCAAAATATTGCTTGTTGCAATCAAGACACGCGTATTTCGCTGATGCCGGTATAGCAAAGGATGAGTTTGTATTTGCACCTGAAATGAAGAAAAATATATTGTGATAGGCAATCCTTAATATAGGCTATTGTGAATTCGAATAAAAACTGATTATGCGCATGCAACTCTTGCTAATTATGAAAGAATTTCCTAGTTTCGATTTAACCTATCCATTGTGTACATCATGTATGAAATGGTTCACAACCTGGGATCCAGGTCCACCCAGGGGTTCACAGAATGGTTTTGAGACTTATAAGCTGATGAGAATCATAGCTTTTAGTAGAGAAAATGTATAAAACACAACTTGTCTTAGAATATTGAAGGCGTGCCACAATTTTTATCAAAATCTTGAGAAGAGTTCATGATACTTAAAAATGTGGGAACCAGTGAGCAAGAGAATAAACAGATAAGATACCAGCGCTTCGCCAAAAATTCACAAAAAAACAGTATTTGCTGTTAGCCCATACGTTCATCTAGATTAGAATGTTTCGCACCCAACCATAAAAAATCTCGCTGACCAGCGGTCGCTAGACGGTAACATGTATATGTTGGCTATTCATGTCCTTTGGCACGTTCCGCATGGTAATATGGTTATTTTAGTAATCTAATAGCTTTAATGTCTATTAGTAACATTTGTTTGGTTATGTACACCAGACGATGGGCCATCATTAAATAACGTTATTTTAGAAACGAGCCATATATGTTTTTATACCGATTTTTTATAATTGATATTGTACTCCTATCAGTCAACCAACGTTAAGTACACTGTTACAAAAATGCATAAAAATTGCTCAAATTTGCGAATGGATATTTTTTTTGAATACTATTGGATGCTTATGCAGCATGGGTCGCGTGGTGTACTAGTATTTATCTGAAGCTCATATTTGATTGTTACTCCATTTGGCTAAAAGTGAAGTGAGTGCACTTAACTGAGAAATGGACGTAACATTTGCGAACTTATTTACAGTGGGTAGACAGTAAGGCTATGTCGTACAGGGAAGTACATACAAATTATCCGCAAGTTCATATACGGGTGTCCCAGTTTTAAAATTTGCTCATTCGTTAGCTCACCAATACTTGCCAAATAAGACAACATAGGTTTTCAAAACCAATGCTGCTTAAAAATGAATTACTAAAATCAATCAAATAATTTACCAAAGAGTTCAAAAATTTGGAATGCAAATGGAAAAAATGAGTTGTCTAAGGTTACATACGAAACCCCTTCTTAGATTGATATTGGTATTTTCGATAATACCATAAGGTTAGTAAGCCTATTACGTTACATTTTATATCTGCTCCACGTAAGCTTCAGCTTCGATAGCTCAGCTGGCAAAATAGCCGCGGCCCGCCAAATTTTGCTATTTGATATGCTACAATAAACGCCAGCATCGCGAAATCTGGCAAGACCGTAATAATTTGATTGCCTTGTGGACATCACAAAAAGATATGGGAGGGTTTCACAGTGGACAGGGGCACTTAGTGTATCTCACCATGTGAAGGTCAAGGTCTACATCCAATTTAAAATGTAGACCGAAAAAAAGTTTGCGTAGCCCGAGAGATGGAATTCAGTAAAAAATATATTAATATTTTTTTTACTTAATTGTTAAAAATACAGAATTCTTCAAAAATGCGCACTTCAAAGGTAGGAAGGACGCCTCGTGCACTTACGATAAAAACGTTTAAAATACGAACGTAAATGCGGACGTAATTCATACGATTGTACTAGTGTATTTTGGTCACTTGCGCGTATAAGGCGCATACCAACGTTGCAAAAAGCAAACCGCTATGACCGCGATGGCTCGTAGATTAATCAACGGCAAGCAAACACGATTTCGAGCGGCGACGTGGATGGGTCAGACGACTTCGTGCTCTCGCCCAAGTCCAAGAGAAAAAAGAGAGAAAGATACTATGCGCGGCCGCTGGTCGATTCCGGCAGACCATCGCCGTACGTGACAGAAGTGTATTATGACACCAACCCGAGAAACGAAAACCCCATCGCTGTCCGCCTGATCGAAGCAAAGGACGAAACCGGCGCATGGCTGTTTTAAGTATGCGCGTGCACATACACAGTCTCAGTTAATACCGTCCAATATCATATGCATATTCAATTTCCTGTCAGTCCACGGGAAACGCGAATAGCGTATGAAGGAGTTAGTACTGAGACGAAATTGTTATAATTCATTGTTATTTTTCATAACTCAAGGGGCATCAAATATGAAATGGAACAACGACGAAACGGGGTCTTATTTTAAAACAGTTATGAAAGATCTCTAATAATAAATTTTTATATTATACCATTTATTCATTTTGGGATGAAACGCAGACTGAAACCGTAAAAATTTCTCTCAAATATATTATCAACTCAGAAAGAGTTTGCTCGTGACATAAACTATATACAAGCAGGTTTAAATATCACAATTCGCAGTAATGTTTACTAGACAGGCCTGTATTCTGATGGAGTTTTAAATACTTCTCTACAAGATATAGTTGATATTTAACAACATGTTAAATTCTGTTAATCACATTCAACTATTCAAAGACGATCGACCAATTTATTGATATAATTGTTTATTCACCAGCACATTATAACAATCCTACAATGTCTATAATAGACACAGTAGAATGAAGATTTCCGATTATGGATTTCGCTACTCATCAATGCATCCTTTTACTTGAATATTACATAAATTGTAAATATTACAGACCTTATAAATATGATTTTGAATATTATTTGAATTTAGCTCGCTGTCTTGGCCATAAATACCTACAATACCATTTCATTTTTGTCGCCTATAGCCTTTAATAACCATTTTGAAGTTTTTATGAAGCTGTCATAAGGTTTGCAGAGTAACATATGCGAAGCGGACGAAAATTCAGTCTGGGGCCGCAGTACTGATTAGTAACATGTTTTGCAGACATCAACATCATATGAAGTGGCCAATTGTATAATGAACATAGCCTGCTTGTAACAGCAAGGGAATATTTTAATGTAGTTGGTAAAGCAAATTTCATGAAATCCTATTCAGCATAAGAAACAATTTGACCATTTAAAATTGACTGAGAAGAAAAAATATTTAGTGGAAACCGCCACACATATTTACTACTAAAGTGCACAAGCGAAATCGTAAATGTTTTCGATGTAGCTTAGCTAAATCATTCTATTTTAAAATTCACCGGTGAATTTCAACTATTTGTATTTTTGACAAGTACGTTTACCAATAGGTCTTCTAACCATGAATTAACATTGCTTTGTTGCTAGTACCTTGCGGATATCCTTCAATTTTAGGATTAGGTGTTGTAGGTGAATATGAAGATATGTTCCGGTCGGTTCGGATCGACGGTGTTAAAGAGCCATTTTGCATTCTTGATTTAACAGGTTCAGAGCCATTGGACAGGGCCTACAAACACAAAATTGAGTAAAAACCAGTCCACTCGTAAATAGCGGGAAATAAACATATATAACGACGCTAAATTTTGTTACCTGAATGGAATTTAACACAAAATATGTAACGCAAAATGCATGAAGCTAAAGTGAAATTCTTCAAATTGTTGGGAAGAAAACCTCATTCTGTTGGCCGCCTCGATGTATAGAGTTCGGGCTTGCATTTATATTCGAATAGGCAAATATGTAACCAAACTATACTTACTGCGTTTGGCTCGTATTCGTGTGCAGTTTCTCCGAAATTTGCGTTTTGGTTTATATCAGTGGGTGATCCACCTTTTTGCAATAGGATAGCATTCTCAGGTCTTGCGCGAATGGCGTTTGGATTCGTATCGCCCCCGTCACATCTGATGTTAGCAAATCGAGTTTCATTACTGGGACGCGGTTGACAGAAGGTTTGTTTATGCTGAATGGTAAAAAAAATTTTGTCAGTCACAAAAGAATAGTAAAACAATGCACATGAATCGGTCCTCAGTCTAATTGAAACTTCTGAGTTTGTGCCAGAGAAGAAAGCAACCAACTACTCGAGTTGTGATCCTAGCTAGAGGCAGGACTTCGAGTAAGCATTCCCTTATGCATAGATACTTCAGAACTTTGCGACCAGGGCTTCTCAGATTTTGGCACCCGTTTTTGCTAATTCACCTGAAATCAAGATCACTACGGCGTATTCAGCGACGAACAGCAAAACATGTGGTTAAATATATATGAATATTTCCATTACATCGCAATTGCATTTAAAGCTAGATCATGTGTAGTTGGTGCATTAATTTTAATCAGACAAAACCGCGTTGCAGACAACTAGCCGCAGTGGACTTTAAACTTCGACATGACAACTTTGACCTCATACATGCTAGAAAACGGCCCAATCTACTATCAGTGGCTGTAGCTAGCCAAACTAAGGGATGTGGTGAATGTGCTTACAAACCGGCTAGCGATTGGTATTTTATAGGTTTAAATACTAGAAATTCATAAAAAAAAATTGCAGGGGTTTAGGAACAACGATCTAAATATAACATTTCCCATTATTAGAAATCATATACCTGAATGAAGCCAAGTATATTAGACAGAAGAAAAACTTTTCCACAGCTACCACATGTTAAAAGATCTTCCCCTTGTTGAACCTGGTCAAAATCGCCAGGCGTGTTTTGAAGCAGGGAGTCGCTTGCGGTTTCGTCAACATCATTTGCCTCTAATCCAGGAGATAGCTGAACTCCATCATCTAAATACAAAAGTACAATATGAAATTGTATCAAAAGCGATAATATGAATAACAAGACCACCCAGAGTAAATTTGTACATTGCTGGTTTAAGAAGTTGTCTCCATATAGGCATAGCCTTCATGAGCTGCCCTAATAGGGTAAAAAGGAGAATAATTTTGACGTGCTGGGGTGCTTGCGTTTTCATATAATGTTATATTTCTTTTTGCAGTTTGTACGAAACAACCCTGCGGAATCTCTTGATTACCCATTTGTCCCACACTGCTCGCTATGTTATTAAATGTGTTGATCTTGGATTCTTCGCATATCAGATACGTCGCATTTCTGTCCGATTAATCCGAATATTCAATGCGTACACGAACGGCAAAGCTACATTGTTACAATAGCTTGTCTCCGTTACGGCGTATTCGGAATATTTCAGTGATGGTAATACTATCAAACTGGCGAACGCAATACTTTTTCTGAATGTAATTTTAAACATTGGCAAAAAGGTATCGATATGGTAGCCGACAACGATCACATATTACGTTGCGTTGGTTGAGACATTTCGATTTTGATTAATATGATTTTATTATTTAAACATTCAAATTGAAGATGTAATTTGATCTCGACGGTTTAATACCGTTGGAACAAAGTCAACGTGAATTTAAAATTAGCCGCCGTATTTGAAAAAAGAACAAAAAAAAGAACAACGCGAGATATATGTGTCACCATAAAAAAAAATCACTAAATGTTAATTAATGTATTCAATAAATTCATATGTGATGTTATCAATAAATCCTCCTTCAAGGTGGGCAAAACTTGGCATTTTTTCGCTTTTCTGAGGTCCGGACAAGATGGTTTGTGTTAATTCGAGTCCAATCCTTTTCAAACATGCGTGGACAGCGTTATAGGGTGTCCACTGTCCATAGTCTTTTCGCAATTTATCACGCTTATCAAATGATAATTTTTTTAGTTTGCAAACTAGCTAATGACACCCTGAACATAACCTCTAAAAAATTCGCGCCAGTCTTTATACATTTTAATACAGAATGGTTTGAAGAGATCTAATCTGTCTGTTTGTCTTCCAGAACGAACAAAACTATAAACAAAGTTCAAAAGCAAATTGTCTAGTATATTAAACAATCATCAGACCCAGTAATCACATTGTGGCAAAAAATGAGATCATATGAGCCTCTGGCTTTATTTCGTTTTGATACGTCAGTACTGTTACGCTCAAAATCTTTAATTTTTTCAAGATTTACGCAAGAAGATTTGATTGTTTCACTTCACGAGTCGATTGCAGATATTATGTGAATAGATATTAAACGTACATGACTAACGCCATACCAGAAAAGCAAACGTTTTATATCGACTGCTCAATTAATTGAATCGAAGTATTGTCATTGTCTACTTTAAGGAAATTGTTATGTAACTGATGATTTAGTAATTGAAAGCACTGCCGGTGTGGCTTGTGACATACGATATCCTGAAGTTTTGTCTGTCTGGCCTACCCAACGTCCATTTACTCAAGTTTTGTTTTGACGATATCGGCGTTTAAGAAAATGGCAGAAAATTCTGTAAGATCTTTAAAATATTTTGCTGAGCTTTTCCACCCTGTTTCAACCGGTTTGAGGGTTCAATAAAATACATGTTGTACAGATCGACGTTTCCCCCCCAACAGTCTTTAATGGTAATGCTTACAAATAAACAACAAAAGAGACGTTTTACGCAGACGTAATAAGATCCATTTATTCAAGGTTATACGAGTTGAATTTTATATACAGAACAATATAGCGACCTATTTCCAATTCACGAGCGATGTAAATTACGCACGCGTAAACTCACGCCAAGCAACGTTAAACTTTTAAAGATAGGCGTAAACTTTTTTTCTTGGTTTTGAACTTCGGAACAATGCTCGAAACTCTGAAAACGAGTCAATTTAGTTTTATCAAACTTACGAGTATATTATGTTCGCGACACAGTCTAAAATCTTGCGTTCAAACCGCACGACACTACTTTAATCAGGTGTTATAACTTGAAATACATAGTAGATGCTCACCTATCAATGGCATGTTCACAACGCTTCACGAAAAAAAAAAAGAATGGTTTAATTACACATAGCACTCCGTGATTTAAAGTAAATCGTGCTAGCAACATTAAATCTACAAGCTGATCTAAATAGCTCTATAACGTAAGCCTAAATAATCGTGCGTCAGAATATAATCGTCCGGGTAATGCGATCGGCTTTATTTATTTATAGTATGAGTCTTTGTCTACGTCACAAATTAAATTGCGAGACTTGCATCCAAAAAAAGAATTTCTTGCGGCAAGTACCTCATTCCATTTTGACTTCACCTATTTCCAAATCTATTTATGATTGAGTTGAAATATACAATACCATAAGCGAGCTTCATTTTTTTGGCACTGAACCGGAACTGAAACAGCAAATACGTATCCAAATACCTTAGCTTACTAAATAACTCATATGGCCCATGGCTGCTTAGGCGATCGGCTTTAGCATACCGTACATGCATAAGACGTATATAACATTTGACCGAGGATAACAAAAGTGAAACAAGCTTTGGCAAAAACTTCTGATTTGCACCATGTAATATGAAAGAATAGTAGGACCAAAATGACAACGTACATTATGTTGATTCTCTTTAAAATGAAATGAGTGCCAAGAAATATTCCCTAAAACATCGCACCGCACAAAGAAGGAACATTCAACAAGACAAAACTTGCTGTAATGACAATAAAGTACGACGTAAATTGGATGCTGATTTTTGGGAAGTCTGATTACGGATAATTATATATTAAGTTAGAATCTTAAAATTCATCGACGATCAAATTTAAATGGTATTGACCATTAAAACTATTGAATTTACCTTTATATGGCACGTTTTTAAACTTTATTTGGTTTAACCCTATACTCAAAACTATCATAAAAGTGTGTTCGTGAAACGGCTACCAACACCGAAAAAACGAAGTAAACAATCAAAAGAGAATATAAACACTCTGTAGTGAGCACAAATAAGGAGCGATGAAAGATAATGTAATATGGGAATGATGATAAATTCCAAGTGAATCCATCACAAACAACGTATATTTATCACGACAAGGCATAAAGGTACCTTCGTAGCCATGACCCAATGTTGGTCAAAGGCACATTGTATGATTATATTTAACCGGGATGACAGATATCCCAGATGTAACGACTATAAAGTGAACACTTGCCGATCCATCATTCACGGCATCCAGCCTGCGACAGGTCGACGTGGATCAGTATACTTGTGCTGTAAACGAAGCGTGACGACATCAACGCGAATGGTAAACGCTGATCTGTTCAAGTTTAAGAGATAAACTTGATAGTAGAATGAGAACAGGTAGTACGTTAGTTGTATGATTGGATGTTTGACAAATAAAAGATGTGTAGGTAAGAAACTTTATGCAAATAAGCTATGTGTTGACTTAGTATCCTGATTCCCCGGAACACGGTAAACAAACACTTACTGCCAACTTCTATAAAAAAAAACAGAAAGAAGGATTTTACAACGAAGTTTTCAAGCTGCTACCACATCTTCAAATCTTTATTAACATAAATAAGAGCAATTTGAATACAAAACTGTAATGTTTCTGGGATGAATATGATGAAAAATAATAAATAAATTATGTATCAACCGTTATTTATAGGCGCCCGCAGAGCCCTGGTCCTAGTAGGCCATTGCTACAGCTCTTGGAATCGTGGTAGATAATCATGCAAGGCAGAATTATGGACATGAAACTTCCTCCCAAGCAGACCCATACGAACCTAATTTGAGTGATATTTACTTCCACATCAAACGGAGTCTCAGAGTTAAAAGACCAACGGGAATACTAAATTCCTTCAAACTTTCCAAATAACCTCTTCAACTGGATAAAAGCAGTCGTGAAGGACGATGAATAATATGGTAGAATTAACGAACATGATTTTCTAGCGTTTTCGTCACAGGAAAACATATAAAACTCTTTGGACTAAATATGGTCAAACCCATGCATTCCCGTGTATTAAATAAGGTCGTCTATGGCTAACCGGAAAGGTGATGCAATTTCACAGACTAATAGTCTCCGGTATATAAGTGACATACATATCATGCATTGTTGTTATACGATATATGAAATGAAGTAAGACTCATATGCAACTAAATTTTAAATAGAATACCCGATGTAACAGAAAAACAATTTTACAGCCTAATATACTGCCAAATCAAATTTTGACAGAAAAAAAATTTACTTTCATAATTCCTATGCTCGCGTGAAGATATCATAGTAATACATAACATAATAATATGCAACATTGTTAATGTGACCACTATATATCTAAAGTTATCAATCATAGCACCATGATTCTTATTTTTTACTCAAAAAGAGACTTAAATTTGGTCTCAAGTTCAACATTAGTCTACAATGGTTTATTATTATGATCATTGACTTGAATGGACTAGCGAGGTTTTTTATTATGAAAATTGTGATATATGTACATTATTATGCATATAAATTCAAATCTGTACTTTTCTTGCCTAACTACCACAACTAGATTTGGTATATATCGTACATTTACAGATGTATAGTTGATTAGCTGTTATCATTTTTGAATCGCAAACAATACGTTTTCATGTGATTACGATTTCCTTACAAACATTTGGTTCTGCAAGGGTTCGCAACATTTAGATAAACTTCGTTTAGTACGAACTTTGGCGAACTTCAACATCCCCGAAACGTTCCAAAATTCCGATTCCGGGATAAATTATAACCGTTCAAAAAAGACGTATAATATTAACAATTTTGACCCGAAGATAGATTATATTTTCCGATAGTGGAAGAGAAATTATGGCGATTTATGCTAAATTAAAAAAATGAACGACAGCAATTAGCAGTGATTGACTTTTCTTTTTGTCAACCTAATCAAAATGGCGAACATCTCGCTTGACTGGTTTTTTTCCTGACCGAAGAGTGTCCACGATAAAAGCGCGTGTGTGCCACATTCAAAATGCGCGTCATGTGCATGATTTTGTCAAACATTAGCCGGAGTGGCCACAATTGCTTTGTCGCTAACAAAGAATAGCTTCAGCTGCTCACAAAATTCGCGGAGTGGAAGATAATGTGTAAACCTTGTGTGCTGTTACAGTCGATTGCACAAATATATAGACTAGGTATTCGCCGCCGCCTGTCCACTGTCAAGGTCCTTTTGTCGAGACATTTGTGTGTGCGGCGAGCGCGCTTATGCGCTATTCTGAAAATAAACGATCGAAATGCGCAAGCGCTAGGATTGGGTTTACGATTTCTTTGCGCAGCAAGAAAACTCGCCTAAATGACCATAATACCCGACTGATGTATCGTTTTACCTATTTCAAGCAGAAGTATCCTATAATCAAGGTTTCCAGAAAATACTATTCAAGACAATATGCATTCAGTAGTAATCGCTTTGAAAATATAACCTGATCCGACAATCATCACATCTAAGGACGCTCACGTACTGGTTTCAGAAAGTTACTAATATGATATCGAATAATCATATATATAAATGATGTACTAACCATTTCGGAGTTGCTGCGGTTTCCCTTGTTTTCTCCTTGACATGATGCCGCTGGTTTTCTTTTCTTGGTGTACATTTGCGCCACAGGTTTTACGGTATAATAGGAACCTGCTATAAAAGCTAAAATTGAACTTGTGTATCACATACCACGTCCAGCTAACTACCACATTCAAGAACGACGATGCGGCCAACTCTCCCTCGAGGTTATATCCCTGCTCGGCCGTTAGAACTTGCCAGCCCTTTCTCTCGAGTAAAGCTTGCTCACTCCGTTTCTACCAATGACCGCACGACCACTCCATTTTCTGTTTGTTTGTATTTGGTGGACGCACAGTCGAGGAAAAAGAAAGAGGCGAAAAACTCAGGGGTGGCCACGAAGAAAGGGAAGTGGGAAGCGGAGCGTGTTGAGGTTCAAGTGCATGGATGACGACGGTATTTTATATACACGGCATTCTGTCTGCTATTTTACATTCTATGCTAAGGTTGAGTGGTTCTTCACTGACAATAAATTCTGATAATCATAGTACACCTCATTCTGCTTACTTAACAACTTTAACATTTCTTATTAGTGACCAACAAGATACTTATTTCAGAGGTAATTCATACGCAATTAGTACAAATACCAAGTTTGTCATTCAGCTCTGAACCTTGTAACATGTCTTCCACAGCCTGTTCTAACGTCTGGCAATTAGTGTACAATAAGAAAAGACACTGGCTTCAACTGAGAATCAAATTACTTGAGCATATTATAATATGTATTGTAGCTTCGCGCTGCTGATAAAAGAGGAAACAGACCGGCGACAGGCCTGGCAGCGTAATAAATAATGTGGGTAGATGGAATGAGCGGAAACTATGCAAGGAAATGTTGGGTCTGACCGTCATACCACGTTTCACGTTACATCTTCTAATAGTTCGCTAAATTATTCGAAACTTGACAAGTTCCAAGCGTTAAAATTGGTATTCAAAACTTCCTGTTTTTGCCGCCAAACTCACATGAAATACAGATAATATGTATAATGAGAGAAATCTACATGCTCTGTCTATGCTCATTGAATTATGAATATACCATCATTGGCCAGCGTAATAGTTTGCTAATATTACATGACCAGCCTATGACTCACACTCGATAAAGCCTATTACATCTTATTGGAAAGTTTTAGCCGGTCGAGCTAAATGAAGCCTGCCGCTTCTGACGAAGTCAGTGCGTTAGAAATCTGCACGAAATATATTTTTCAACTGCAAATTTCTAATTCGAGTTCATATATCTCCAGGCCGTGCTGCACTCAAAAAGCCAAAACGAATCGGTCGTTACCTTAACACTGATGCTATTCGCTATTTGTGGTTATGAACGATATGATCAATTCAAAATATAAGGAATTAGAATAGCTGCCGGTCAAATTTACAGCCCTCTGGGCTATTCACGCGTGTTTAAAGTATTATTATATCAATGTAATTCTGGATCACTTGAGCCTTTTTTGTATGAACACATTGACTTTGTTAGGGCTCAGAACTTGTACTTTGAAGAGTGAAGGGTTGGACAGAGCTGAATATTTTACAGCTAGGGTTATTGATCTTATTGGTCACATTCGTTCCAACACATTATGACCTATGACTTTTGGACTAGTTCGATCTGCTGTGGAGATGATGCATTTGTTTCCACGGTTTTGCATTTCACTGGACATGAAGTGGACTCATGAATTGTTTCGACCTGCATAGTTTGCTAAAGTTTTAATTTTTCCGCATTTTACCGACCATGAAGTCGACTCACTTATCGTTTCGACCCACACAGTTTGCTGAAGTTTTCATTGTTTTCCATTTTACTGGACATGAAGTAGATTCATGGATTGTTTCGACCCGCACAGTTTGCTGAAGTTTATGTTGTTTTGCATTTTACTGGACATGAACATTATGTATCTCCATTAAAAAATATTGCACAATATGACAACCGCGACCACAAAAATCTATTGGATTTTATAGTTTGTACAGAGTGTTGCCCCGTTCTTTTTCTGATTAGTGTTCGCATATCTTAAATCGATTCAAGCGTTATTGCCCGATTTTGTATCGTGTGTGTTTATTTTATTGTGTTCTTCGACTGTTTTTGGTGGACTGGCGCGAAATACTCATTTCGTTTGTCCATTTGTTGTTAGTTTTTGTTGTGACCAAAATGAAATTGATTGATTGATTGAATACAGGTGTGAGGAAACACAGGGCCTATGTTGGGTTTTTATTAGGCAATCAAAATTGTTTCAAATGCATTGATTGTAGTATGCATGCAGTATGCATTCTATAAAATTTTACTGTCGCAGAAAATATCATCTTGAACATCATTCATTGGTCGCATAAGTTCTTATGTTGAAGGTATCATTTACACAAACTCGAAATACGTTATCTCTTCGATTTGGCCTTAAAAACCCTACCAAGTTTTTATATATAGGGTGAGCCAAAAGTGATGGACATTCATTCTTAATTAATATATTTATTAACTGTTAACCCACATTTGGCCCACCATGAATATCTATTTTAGAACAAAAGTTGCTCAAGGGCGCTACTCGGCGATCTAAACTTGGCCTGATAGTCTTCGTTTACCAGAAACTTGAGCTTACGGGCACCTCTTGTGATCGAAGATCTCCATAATTAATTTAGGTAGTTTGTGTCGCGTGCTATGAATAAACGCTTTGGTCAATATCAACTTAAATTATTCGTATGTAGTGTGACATTTTCAAGAAAAATTTGCGTCAGTGAACACAAAACTGAAGCTATGAAAAATATTTCAACTCAAGGCAAAGCAAAGCTTTTATTTGCGAGGTATAATAACGAAGCATCATCATAAGGAAATGGAAACATTTGCAATTAATCATGTTTAACATATGCCTTGCAATACTATTCTAGTCCTAGCCTGGCCAAATTAACTGGAGGATACTCCAATAATAAATGAACAACAATGGGCCGTAGCCCAGCTCGTTCGTTTTCAGATGCTGGAATCACGTTACCAGGAAACGCTAGTCCTGGCGGTTCTAACTCCACCGGCAGTATGCATCCGATTGAGTAATTGCCTAGGCCCTGAATTAGGACGACTGTCTCGACGCCGATTGCATACGTGGCCAAGTGTAAACACACTGATATAGGCGAGCCTTATTTTTGAGTCTTTTGGCGTCGTAAATAACATGTGTAGGCTAGCATACACGGTCATGTTTCATCAACGCATAATTTACAATACGGGAAATGATAAAAACTTGGGAGCCTATAGTTTACAACAGTGGTCGGCAACCTTTTTCAAGTGACGGACCGGTAAAAGCTGACTCAAATTTTAGCGGATCACCTGTATACAAACGAACTACTAAGCTTATATAATAAATCATATGCGTTAGAAAATTTATGTTGACAATATATATATTCAACAACAAAGATGATGCTATTTAATGCAAGATCTGTTTTTGTTTGCTGGTCATTAACTGTTCCCAATTTTGAAACAGGGTCGACAGGGATACACGTAACGTGTTTCTTACGTTGAAGCTCACTTCGGTATTTCGTTTTTCTAGTTGTTAATATTGAAAACCCGACCTCGCATATTGAAGAATGTAACAATGACTGTAAAGTGTAAAGCTTCTCTTGTTATGTCTGGTCCTCTAAAAGTATTGACCAGAAGACTGCCAAGGTATATATCGCAAAGACGCTCAACTCATCATCTTTGGAAATTCCAATGTTCTATTTAACTATTTAAGACAATCTCGGACGCAATTGACGCAGCAATATTGCGACATATTGACGTGGAAATTGTTTGTGAAGTCAGACATGCTGCTCAGATGCGTTGTGTTTTTTCTAGTTTGCTGTTGAGTGCTGTTTTTTAGTCTTAGGGTTTGTGATTGTTAGATTGTAAATGTGCTAATAGGGCGTTCTGCGTTTTTGTGACACCTTACTGCGGACCGGTAGTAACCTTTCCGCGGACCGGCAATAGGCCGGTAATATTGTAATTTTTGAAGTCTCTTTGGGGATAACGTTTCATGGTCACATTTCCGAGGCCTCTCTGCACACTCACGTCACTCAATATTAGGCTTTCACGAATATATCATCAATGTCTTGTCACATTATATTTATTTGTGTATTGTGTGAATGTTTCTCTTGCGATGAACAGGTATACCTGAACTCCACGAAATTTACTTGTTTCCCCTGATTTGTCTTGTATTCCTTTGCTCATTTTTTCTGCGCTGTGTAATTTGTTGTGCCTGAATTTATATAATTACTGTGGCCATTTGTACATATAGTTCCGGAAGAGATAACTTTTTCCAGGAATTACATCTGGCAAGAACCAGAGGAAGCTGCATAATACAATCCAAGAGTTAGAAGCTTTGTTAGGAATAGATATGAACTTCGATTAAGTATTTAGTATCCACATTCTTCTTTTTCAAAACAAATTTTTTGTTCAATTCACTAAAAAAGGTTCGTCATCCGCGATAAGGACATACCCGTAGTTGTGATCGTCGACCCAATAGTAATAAATTTAACTAAATTGGCATTAATACTCAATCTCCAATTCAGATAATTGTGTAACGTTATCTAAAACTTGAGAATAGCATTTAGCATTTTCGTGTTGATAATATAGTTACACTTGCTCAACCAATGATTTTTGAGGTTCGATTTGTATGGCCATAATCTCATCCTAGTCAATGTGCCCGCTGCCCATTGATAGTCACCAGTTTAGGACGAATTTAAACATGTTGCTGTTTATTAATCATGGCAGTCAATTTTTAGTAGGATTTCTTGGCCCAACTTTTCTGTATACTGTTATGGCTTGCCTTTGCTTCGAACCTGGAGATGAACTGCGCGACAATACCTTATTGAACATTGAAAGTAGATTCGGAAATTTAACAAAAAGGTTCTAAAAACCCGATTAAACTAGACAAGTGATCTACGCTACGTCACGATTCTAACTTCTGTAAAGCTTGAAAATGGAAATTAGCAGGAAACTCCCAAATCAATTAAATATTTGATTACTTTTAAATTTGCTACCTTGGTCATCGACGTTTACAATATTATTACGGTATTTCAAAGCTTGTTACTTCAGATCACAGACTAAGAATTATAATACATACGAGTAAAAACAATCAACATTTAGTGCAATACATAGTTCTAAGAATATATGATGATTAAATTATTTATAAATTGTTTCATTCACAATACCCTTGTCATTTTACTTTCATCTTGGATGTTTTTATTAGCCTTGTGTTGTGTTTAGCTACCTTCAGGAGTAGCATTTCTCGAATTAGCGTCACCACGTGGTATTTCTGCTGGTGATATACTATGGCCTCACGCTCAAGTGGGACGTGATTGTACCAACTAACGGACAACAATGACGCGGTTATTGACTAAGCGTTCGTAACAGTCTATCAAGAGCTTGCATACGCCAAGTTTTTATTTTTGTTCGAAGGATTCGAAGTCATAATAATTTTTGACTAGGAGGTAAATGTCGAATATTTTTTTTATCCGGGAGTCTATTGTAAATTTTTTTCGACATTGCAGTCCGAGCAAAAAGTCTGCGGCGTTCAACTGATTTTATATTTTAATAGTTGGATAAGTCTATATGAAAAGCCTGTAGACTAGACTAGTCAATTTTGTTCCCTATCCTCTATGGCAGGGATGCGCACGTTTTTATTATTTAAATTTTTGCCCATATAGACTGGCGGGCCATGTAAGTATGACGTAAAAAGTCACATTTCATGAACAATGTTTACAGTGTTACAAAAGCAACAGTGGGAAACAATAAACTTCGTGCCAAAACTAAATTTAACCGCAATCTCAACAAATTCCCCTTTTCCTATTTTCGAAACATCAAAATTTGGTTTCAGTTTGGTTGTGGCAGCAACGAGCGACCTAGATTAAATTACCTAGCTGGCCGGATTCGGCCCGCGATCCGTACTTGTCTGCTCCATAGTCAACAACCACTGGTCGATTGAACAAAAGAAATTCCCATAAATTAACTACTCCCTTTCATCAGTACACAAACCCTTCTCCTCCTGAGAAGGAATGTTTGTTTTACAGCGGCGTTTCAAGAGTTCACAACAATTCAATACTTTCTGGTCGTTTATTGTGTAGCTTTACATATTCATTACCATCGTCACCCATAACCTAAAGCTATTTTTATCGTGGATAAGAAACACTGTATTAAAAAAAGACGAATTAGGCCTAAATAAGACTATTTTTCAGGTTTGTTGTGACCAGAGCACGTACAGACTATTCGCAAGGATCTCCGCAAATGTTTCGGCTCAGAAGAAGACTAAAGTCATCTGTCAGTCCAGCAAAACCATCATCAGCAATGATAAGGTTCTGTGGTTGTCCGGCAATCACCAATAATTGGTCCAGAATTTCTTGTGTAAGACCTCTGCCGGAAGGTGGTTCAATACCCAAAACAAGAATCTGAAATAAATGGTTGATGTTGAATGAGTACAATGTCGAATATAAATAAATTGTATTTTACATGCTACAAATTATGTCTGAACTTACAGGTAGGGAGCAAAATATACAGGTGCCACAAATGTGTTAGAATTTTGACGTTTGTAACAGGTGCGGAAAGGGAAGGAAGTAATTGTACTAGCAGCGAAAGCAAACTTTACATATATTATACTTTCGCGAAAATGTGATTAAGCGGTAATGCGATTTTAAACAACAGAATTTTGCGCAATTGTTGGTTGCAAAAATTATTTTGCTTAAAAATAAAGCGAAACTGGTTCACACAATTAATGACATTTCGTGAAAATTATGAGATTGGAGTTGTTTTGCAAAACACTGACTTTTTGCACGAACTTCACGAGAAGCTTGAATATTGTTCGAGTCAGAGTCATAAATTTGACAACCTCAAATCGTTTTACGCAAATGAAAACAAACCATTGTAAAAGCTATGTATTCACCTTAGCTCCCGATCTTCGCAGGGCTTCTGCTGGTGCTTCAACATCATCTCCGGCTTTTCCATCAGTAATTACGAAAACAAAATCAGGTACGTCCGGCCTGTTTCCATTCTCTGGACTCAAACTGACTGTCAGTGCATGGTTGAGAGCGTTTCCGGTCCAGGTACCTTAATTTAAAAAATTCATTTTTAAAATTCTCTTGGCGTGATTTAATTATTAATCTACTCTGATAGTATATGATTTGTTTATATATCTGGCCATATGTTCAAATACAAGACCTGAATAAAAACAAAAACATTTTGAATATGAACTTAAAAATATCCCGTTGAGAAGCGTGAACCATTGTTGCATATTTGAAATAAAAAAATCGGCTTTCACAACTCCTGAAGAACTTTTTAATAGTACACGTTAAACATATTTCTGAGTTGTTTTACAATTCCTGTTAGTCAGTCTAAATATTTTAATGCCCACAGTTCGCTTTATACTGAATTCAGGTGTAAAAATACAATGAAAATTAACGTTGCTCTCACCACTTCCATCGTACGGTATTCGGTTGAAAGCTTCGATCAAGCCCTCGACATCTCCCGGGTAACTGTTCAACAAGATTTGATTCACCTCATCAACCACTTTATTGAATCTGAAGATTGCAAAATTTGCAGCATCTGGCTCCACACGGAAGGATCTGAAATTAATAATGACATACAAGTTCAAAGTAATTTTATATTGAAAACAGACTTAAATCAAGTCCAAGTCGGTAGTTAATTATATCTGATATATGTTAGAGTTAACTGCAACCAAACTCACCTAATTATTCCTCGAACAAAACGAGTAAGTTCTACCCAGTTTTCAGGTTCGATAGAAGAAGAAGAGTCGAGGACTAAAACGATGTCCATGACTGCCCATGGTGGACAAGGTCCTGTGGTAAAAGTGTTTAGCATTCATTAAGGACAAAAAGACAAAAAGGATTGGTAACAATTCATAATGTTATAAAGGTAGAAATTTGTCACTTACTCGCACAGCAAGGTTTGGGTACGTTCCAGGATTGGGTCGGAAGGCAAAGATTTTTTTGTCGTCCTTCCGGGAACAGTTGATAATTCGGCTCGGTGCAAGTGAACGTACATTGAGATTGAACGTTCCAGCCATTTGAACAAGAAATTTCCCCAAATTCAAGATCCCCTTGATTAGAGCAGGGTCGGCCTGTATAAAAAAATATTTTCAGTTTCATAATACTAAATTTCTCAAATGAAAATATTAGAATAATAGAAAAAAGATATCCTTCATCGGCACTAGTTATTTTGATACTTACTAACGCAAGTTGGAAGACCGATACTCCAGACGCCACCAGCTTCACAAGTACTTACGGAGGCTCCCACAAGTTCACTACCGGCATTACATCGAGCACTAAATGTGTTTGTATGAAGTTTAAAAAATAAATATATATATTAAAATAAGATGTGTAAAATAAAAATGAATAAAAAAAAACGTTAAATTAAGAATACCCCAATGCAAATATTTCATTGTCAACCAATGTTTTTCAAGTTGTTTTAACTTGATGCACTTTGCGTAGTTGCTAATAATTTGTGAATAAAATTTTTCAAATTTTCAACATTCAATCCGACTTCTTCAAATTATTATTATTGTTTATTTACTACAAATTAAACCCATTCTGACACAATAAATTTCTACAAAACTAAATTACTTAATCTTTCTTGTGCTAAAAGATGTAGATTAGATAGATATACGTACGTGCAAACGCTTCCGAATGCATTTCCATCAAAACAAGTCACGGTACCGCCAAAAAGCCTTCCACGAGGTGGACAGTTTTGAGCTGTAATGGAATATTTTTTTCATTTTTTTGTACAGCAACAGGAGAAATTGTAACGAAAGAAAAGTAGTGGAAGAGGAGATGAAACATAATCAGGAAACATGATAGGAATTGGAACGAGTACTATGATATCGATGTGTTTTTAGAAGCTTACTTTCGCACACTGCTTGTCTGAAATCCCATCGGCCATTTCCCTGGCAATTCGTTGTTACTCTGCCTCTCAGGCTGTAGCCAGGGTTACACGTGACACTGTAAAAAAAATATTACTTTAAATGGAGATTTGTAATTTCAACTTTGCACCAAGGGCATAAAAACGAGAATATCCTCATCATATCACCATTTCTGTAGACATGTGTCTTTCCGCTTGACCAAATTCTTTTGGCCGCCAATGTTTAGCAAAAAAGCGAACTTTGGAACAAGCTTCAACATTGCGATGTCAATGTCAAAACTCGATTACCAAAAGGTTGAAAGAACTTACTCGCAACTGCTTCCTACTTCGTTTCCATCACTACAAGTGACAACACCATTGGCAACTCGTCCTCTGTTACCACAACGAATTTCTGAAATAAATGAGTTCATTAGGTAAAGTGTTAGACTGTTTAGTACTCAGATGTACTTCAAGTATACACACTTACTAAAGACTTATTCTGGAACTGACGATTTCGTAATTTAACCGCATGACATAGGTACTGATAATTTTATTTTTTTAATAGTAATATCGACTAAAAGTAATATGGCGCCTTCTATAAAGTTGTTTAACTTGAACACAATTTTTGGAGTCATATTTAGGTCAAATTATTTGAACATTAAATAAACTGATGTTTCAATGAATGGTTGGGATATTATTCCTGCTATTTTATACCTCTACATTCTGGAACTCTTGTAGTCCACATTCCATTTAATCGGCAGCCTACTTGGAGTGCGCCAAATACAAAGTACCCTTCATCACATCGGAATCTAATAAAACGAAAAAATGGATGGATAGTATGCAAAAAATCACAATTTATCACTCACAATAACGATCTTTGAAATCAGTTTTGCAATAAGGTTGAGGTTGTTGATCCAAAAATAGAATCCAACCGAAGGAATTGGAAGATTAGAATATTTAACATTCATATTCATTCATTCATTGACGATACAAGGCAGATGTGTACCCGACAAAGAAACGTTACTGTAAATTGGTACCTGAACTTGATATTGGTGCCTACATTGATTTCAGTACTATCAATTAACAGTTCTGAGTTTATTTCAATTTATTTATTTTCTAGTGACAGCTATGCAACATAAATATATGAGGTCCACTTACGAACATGTACTTCGATAAAAGAATTCGTTGGTGCATGTCATTGTGCCAGGTTGCAGAGAGAAGTCAAGAGCGGGACAGACGATTCCTATAAATGTTTGTAATTTTTATTATACCATAACATTTTATGATATCTCGCATAATGCTATGGGTGTAATACATTAAAATGCATTATATTTTTTTTAACGAGAATACGTATCATAGTTTTCGGCTTGAATTAGAAAAAAGGTGTAAAGAACTATTTTTACCTCTTCCTGATGACTAGATCGTAAGTTATTATTCGACAAACTTAGCTCCATGAAAAATAATTATTACCGTGGATGATAGATGTTGATTTAGGAACATCTCCTAAACGTTTGAAAAAAGCATTTGATGATTAATTGAAAATTTTTATTCTTACTTGAACAAGATGGCAAAGGAACGCTCCATTCTCCCGACGGTAGACAAACGCTATTAACGGTTCCACTCATTGCCGAACCCATATTACAACGCGATCTGAAATAAAACCAAATTATTAGGAAATCGTCATGTAACTGGAAATGAATCATGACAAATTCATAAAAACGTCGGAGTGCAATTTTATTATATATCTATTTACATATTACTTTGATTATTTTAGTTTAGTAAATACTGACAAACATACAAGCAAATGCTGCCGACAAATCCTTTGTTGCTGCAAGACACAACTCCTCCATCGATAGTTCCACGCGGTGGACATTCAACTCCTGTATAGGAAATTTATTTGATTGATTTGAGTTTTAGTTAAAACAATTACACGACGAAATATATATGAATATTGTTGTTTAAACCAAAATCGCATAATCTAATTGTGGACAGTGCTATTTATAATAAAGCTATTTTGAACCTTCATAAATTCGACTTACTAAGTTATTTGGATTTGTACGTCTACTAGAGAGGGAATCAGAATCAAAAGAAATCAGTGCGGAAAATTTTGCTATTAGGGAATGTATCAAGCACTCACTTTCACAACGAGGGAGCTCATAATCCCAAAGTCCAACTTCCATGCAGGAACTGATTTCAATACCTACAAGACGTGTTCCCGACATACATTCGACACTAAAGTGGAGTAAATTGTAATAATATACACAAATACATTATTTTGGCATATTAATATAAAAGAAAGATATGCGGGGCTGTTGTATGTAATCACAAGATTAGAGAGAAAACGGTTCGAGAAAAAGGTGGGAGAAAAGCGAGAGAAAGTAGAAAAAAGTTGTGCGCGACTGTTGTTTGTGCTTGCCCTCGCCGATTCGGCGCGGCGGGATGTACATTGAGTAGATACTTGAAAAATAGAAAGCAGTGATGAAAATTAATGCAAACTATGCATAAATTAGAGTGCAAAAACTCCGAAATCGTTCTTAAATAAATTGTAGATGCAAACTATCATACTTGCAAGTGCTTCCAGCAAACACGCCATCGGAGCAGTCCACGGTTCCGAACATTACTTCTCCGCGGGCAGGACAGGTGATCACTGGAAAACATTTGAATTCGGTTAAAGGTAAGTAGGAATTCATTGAAATCACTGAATCTGGCTCGGAGATCCGTAGAGTTAGAATCCTATCAAGTCGATGTCGCATCTGCTAGTTTAAAGTATTGAGACGAAATATTTAATTTCGATTCGGGTCAATTACAATTAACGTAATTGTATTTAGTCAACTGATAAGAAATATAACTAAGAACATACTTTCACATCGTGGTAAATTCGTACTCCATTGTCCACTTGGGAGACATTCGCTTACTTTAACTCCATCGGGTCGGTAAGATTCGTCACAATCAGCGCTGCAGAAAAGGATTTAGTTTGTTAAGTCTCAAAAGTGTCTGGTAAAAGTAATGGTTTATACGAGTTAGACTAGTTACTAATGAACATTAAATATACTCACAAATGTCGTGATTGGTAGGTAAATATATTGATATAAAAAAATCTAATCCCTGTAAGTATAAGGGTAAATGGGTAATGGTATGGCGTTTTTGTCGGCATTTCTAATTCACATGACCAGGAAGAAAATTATAAATTTTTGTCGATTCTTAATCTTGTATTGAATCTCGAATCGGGGAGGATATAAAAAAAGACCAAATTGACTTGATAAAAATGAATAAATCCTTTATATTTAGAAGAAGAAAAATGTAACGAACGTGCACACGCTGCCAACTTCAACTCCATCTGTACAATCGACACGACCGTTGATAATTTGTCCTCGAATTGGGCATTGAATTTCTGTATAAAAAAAGTTCGTATTGATAAGTTACATTAGTACCGTTTCTATCTCTAATAAAATTTAATCTTGTGTAAGTACCAATTTGTACTGTTCAGCCTATTTCACGAGATAACAGAATTTTAACTAGATTGTTGTGTTAAGCAACAAGTTAAAGCATGTTTGATGTATTCATCTAGTTAGAAGTGCAGCAAAAACAAAATCCGATAGGCTCAATTTGCTACTCACTGGTGCAAACGGGCAGAGGGTGACTCCATGTTCCTTTGTCTTCACAATAACTGTCGGCGATACCTTCCAAACGATGATTTTCGTCACAGACAACTCTAAAATAAGCGGTGTTATTAAAAAGTAGTGACTGCGTGTTCTCCTGGTGTGTAAAACCGCGGTCCAAAATTGGAAAAACATTCGAGAAGAAGCGTTCACAGAAGCTAACAGATAACTTCGTAGCATTTAAAATTTTGTAGATAGAATTATCGATGCATTGTTGACACTTTTAAATTGTGTATCAACTGTATTCAGGACTTCTGAATTTTAATCCCGAAATATGTCCCGCTTAAACACCTATAATAGAAAAGCTATAGATGACTATGTTTTCCTCTCTCCAACGTGTACAAAGGAGTATAAAAGCATATTTTCTTACTTGCATCTACTTTGAACGTTATTTCCGTCTGTACAGTCAACAGTTCCAAATTCTACTGTTCCTCTGTCAGGGCATTGGATTGCTGAAACCCGGAAAAGATGGATAGTTAAAAAATAACAGGAGTGTTTAAAATAATATGTATTGTATAGTATAATAGAATTGTATGTATTAATAGAATATAGAACTGAAAATTTAACTACATGACACTTTATAGCGATATATATGACAATATCAGCATAGCATAGGTAATTGTATGTGATGATTAGTGTGCTTTATATTTCGGTACGTTATGTCCGTATAGAACTTACGCCTGCAACGGGGCGGCCAGTAGTTCCATCTTGCTGACCATTTGGTCGTGCTTCCGAGACAAGTATGAACTTTTGCTCCTACCAATTCAAATCCGGGCCTACAGTTTGCTCTACATGAAGATAAACAATAGAATGATGAGTGAACAAAGTAGACATGACATTATTATCAATACATCCAATGGTGCTCCAGAAGTATGTGTACCAATATGGAGGTAACTAATTTTGTTCGACTACTCACATCAAGTTGTATAAAGGGACGGCAGGGGGTATATTCACTTGGCTGACACAGACAGTCCCCGAACTATAGAACCAATATAAGTAGTAATAGAACCAAAATAAGGAAAATCGGGATAAAATTATGACCTAACCCTAACCTGGTACACACACTACGGCAGTGGTTCCCAAACTGTGGGTCGCGACCCCGGATGGGATCGCGTGAAGATTCTCCGGGGTCGCCTACTTCCTTTCAAACATGTGCACACAATCGACTAGGATTTGAAACTTGGCAAGTGAGATTTGTAAAAGCCGGCAAGTACCGTAAAAGTGCCTTACTTCGGATTTTTCAGCAATAACTCGACCATTTTTTGTCCAAATGGCGGCAAAAATGCTCGGTAAATCTTTCATGCGGTACCTTTCCAGCTGGTCGACAGGTACTAGTTATTAGTAAACGTAATTGAGTGACTGTAGTACGAGCGCCAATAATATTTTCTTTTTATAGATTTTTCGACCATGTTGCATACGTTGCATAGTTGACCCGCCGGTACGCGAATCGGAATTTTTGCCAGACAGAGAAAAAAATTATTTTGGTTTGTTATTTTGTACCAGTGTAGCCGCTTGGTTATCGAATATACAAAGTAAAGTTGCTTTATTTGGCGATTGCCCTTATTCAGGTGTTTGAGAAGTATGGTATTGATTGCAAGGCGGTGTCTTGGCCGAATAATTACACTTTAAGTGTAGATCAGTTGCGAAAGCGATTTGTTACTTCGCGAACGTGTCTAAAATCTACGAGTAGGGTACGTGCTTTGTTCACATCGTCTCCACATAAAAGTGAACTTTTTCGTATTACAATTCATACATAATTTCGAAGTGTTCAGAGCAGTCAAACACTAAACCACAACAAGTGTTAGCATAATGAAAGTCACTTAAAAGATGTGATTCCGTACACGTTTTTCCTATTTTACTTCCATGCTCTGTTTAACGTTCGAATTAATAATGGAGCAATCTGTAATATATATGTTAATATTGAGCTAAAAATAATAAAGACATTGTAGGACTATATTCTAAATAAGATTTTAAACTTATGTATGTTTAGAAGCAATCTCATTATTTCCGAAGTATGGTACGCTTCCTTACAATCTACCACATTTTATCAAGTCCGTCTATGTTTCGTCAAAGAACCGTTATAATTCTGATCTAAGAAATTTTTACACCGTGGTTTTTATACGATGCCAATTGTTATCAAATCTTCTGAGGTTTTCCTGTTTTTCCGACGCTTTGCCGGACTCGTTCTTTTTTTTGTGCCAATGTTCCCCGTCAACGTCCACTTTCAGTCGTTATACTGGTACATTGTTAAGTTATATATTAATTTTTTAAGTTGCTGAACGTTTCTAGTTGTAGGGTCGCGAGTATCTGTATGCTTTAATTTTATGAAAATTGGAGTCGCAAAAAAAAAAATTTGGGAACCACTGCATTACCCACCCAATAATGAGATCTTGTTGTCTTAGAGATTAGTGCGAAGTGCGCTTTCCATTGCGCAAATTTTTTGAGCGTAGATTCATTAATAGAACTAATTTCAGTGTAATCTATCAATGTTTTTCGGGACTAATTTTTGATTACTGCAACAAAGCTAAACTTTCTTGGGAAACAAAATGATTTCTGCGTTATTATATACATATATATATATCTGATAACCTCAACTAAAAACTGACAAAACCACAAAAACGAGGTAATCTTTACAAATATGCCTGAAAATCCGTCGTAGAAAAAGTGTCTGAACTGTGGTTAATTGTCACGTCACGTTTTATCCAATGTTACGCGGACAAGACCAAAGCTGCGCGCACGCCGTACAAATGGGCTCAACGAACAAATTTTGAGTAAATTCTATTCTATAGTATTGCTGTGGAGTGTGTACTATACAAAACTGTTCTTAACAGTGAATAACTGCTGGCATAATTATAACCATGGTTATTTAATTGCCCGCACTAACATAACGTATATTGTGCATATTGTCCAACAAAGATGAAAAGAACTTACGTGCATTGGCTTCCGACATAATAAGAGTTGGTACAGATATACCAACCGTTAGCGAGATCACGTTCCTCGCATTGTTCAACTGTAGAAATGAACATAACGTTACAAAAAGGAATCGTATGATATAAGAGCTTTTGAAAATGTCAGATTATACTCTCGCTCACGTACACACAAAGATGTATTTTATTTCATTTCTAATTCGCTATGCTCGGAAATATTAGCTGTATCAATTAATTAACTGTTCACTTACCAATACATCTAGGCAAGGGTCTGCTCCAGTATCCGTCATACCTGCAGTATGTCACTGCAGATCCTAATAGTACGCTACCGGGTTGGCATGTTGTTCTGAACAAAATATTTTAAAAACCAATTTACGTCTGACGAAATTATATCTTTTACTCATCTTGAATAGATATGAATCATTTGTAATACTGTATTACCGATGTACCAGTTGGAACTTTGTTCGTAATTTTTTTTATTAAAAATATGTCGTGTTCCCCAAAACTTACGTGCAAACACTTCCGGGCTCACGGCCTTTTGTGCAATCAACTTTTCCACGATGAATAGTGGTTGGCAGCAATGGACACCCGGGCGTTCCTGTGATAAAATATATAAGTTAGTACAAAAACTTAGCCAGAAGCTTACCACGGCAATTGGTGATATACGGAAGAAGGGAGAGCATACATGGGTAGATGTTAGTTGACTGACTGTAGTTGTAGTTAAAGATTTGCCAATGTTAACGATGAAAGAGGATGAATTTGATCACCGTAATACCGTGGACTGTTTTTCTACTATAAAATAGTTAAAACAATAGTAGGATAGTAACCTATAATTTGCAACTCACCAAAACAGTCTTCTTTAGCTACATTGCATTCATCTGTGTAGCAACAACATCTGCAGACTGAGTTGAAGTCGTCTGGGTTACATTGCGTAGGAGCCCAAGCATCTCTCGGATTCTTATTTTTTTATAAATAAGAATAGTATTTTAGATTATTTGTGTTTAGAGTAATTGAAAAAATGTATATTAGTTCGATAAAGCAAATAAAAAGTTAGTAAAGAAATATTTGTATTTTTTACTTTGAGAATTATGGTACAGGCAAGTTGGCCTCATGAAAATCATTACATTCGATTCAAAATATTTTTACAACTGTTATTAAAGTTTTCAGAATTTTAATGTCAACCACCTGCGGAAGACTTTCATATCTCACTGCTGTAAATTAACCATTACCGCGAGGACAATGCTGTAAAATAGGTATATACAATTGTTACGTAACGACTTTATTGGTATTTACCATTGTTATCAAATAGACAAAGAAGCGATGACTATGAAATATCCATACTATCTTCACTATTTATAATATATTTTTCAAACCTGGATATGATTGTTGTCACAAGCTTTCGATTGTTTACATTGTTTGTACATTAAAATATGTCCACCCCATCCTTCATGCCAACGAAGTTCAATTTCACATGCATCCTAAAATGTAGCATACGACAATTAAGATATTGCATAGAGAATTTAGTTATATATATATATATATGGTTTTCACTTCAACAACATTCAGAAGAGCGAAAGGCTAAGATGCATAAAATCAGTTGAAACCTGCCTGGCAATACTACCCGAAGGGCCGATCAGTTACCACATTTTATAAAAACAGTTGGGAGATTATCTTTACCGGTATATTTCATTCAGTTGAGTTGCGGAGATGTTTATCGCAGTTGACATATCTAAATTTTCTGTATAAAGTGTCTTTTTATACCATATACAGCGAATAAGGTTGACCTCGCTTCCTCTCTGCACTTTAAAAAGTATAAATCAGGATACAATTAACGTCATACTGGCGAGGCGGTGGTTAGCATTAAAGCTGACATTTATCAGCAGTTTCACTCCATGCTGATTTGTTTAATTATTTACCATTTCCTATAAATTTATACGGTAAATAATGGATATAACCTATCATATTCATGTGAGTATGACAACTTCGAAGTTAAGACTAAACGCATCTTTTAGGGCGTTTTCACAGGCTAACCAAATCACTTAAATATCCGGTTTTGAACCGTTAAGTGGCAAACACCTTGAGCTGACGTCATTCTCCTGCCGACGTTCACAGCGACATAAAGTGGTGGGCCACGTGGTAGGAGGCGGTATGTAACAAGGTATTGGATCAGAGGCAGAGTCGTCTGGTTATTATTATTGGAGTTGCATGGGTAAGAATTGAATCAAAATAGGACTCAATATCATCAGCTGGAGTAATATGCAGATCAAAAATTTTGTGAAACCGATATCAGCGGGTAAAGTCGAATTATTTAGTATCGGTCTAGACTGCTCTGTGGCTGTTTAGCAAGAAGAGTCGACCTGCATAATCTCTAATGAATGATCATGGATTAGCTTAAAAAGATTTTGAGTTTTATGTAAAAATTTTACCTGATTCCACCTGCATTCTCTTATCTGTCCCTGAGCCTTACATGCTGCATCATCTGCCACGCCGAAACATTCCAAACATCTTATACCTGTATTTAACAACGAAGATAACGAATTTATCATTTAAAATAGAACATATACTTCATTTCGAAATTAGAATTTTTAATCGACGCGGTCAAGATTTAAAACTTATATATATTTACAAATCTGATGAAATCCATCAGCAAAATCGGCATCGACAATACTGGCCATTTCCAATTATCGGGAATTCGTATCAGTATGTTGTTGATAATCTTAATACCGACTAAAATGATAAAATCTTGTATTTTTAAGATTTAGTGTTGCCGGATACTAATCGTAGTCGATTATCATGATGAAATTTTACATTTATAAGGATAAAGTAAAACAGCATAAGTTTCTGTTTTCGTTACATGCGAAAAAGTTCAACCAAAACCTAAATATTTGGATAAAATTCAATTTCATCTCGCTCGTTAAACACACCGCATAATTTTTTTCGTGTTACAAGAGCGTGCTCTTCGCCTATTGGCTAAACGCGTTGCGCACAGCTAAATCAGTCGGTATACGGAACATTTATCGTTGCTAAACTCTTATTCTAGTTCCTTTAAGCAAAACTGATGCGCTATTGTGAATATAGAGCGATGATATAGCTTGAGGCTGAAATGTGCAATTCAATCCTTCAACTAACGTCATTTGGGAGGTAATATTTTACGCGTATTGTAATGTAAGAATCGATCCATCTATTTTCTTTTGCAAAAATAGGATTTTTTATATTTTCAACTTCAGTTGTTACCATGTGCGGTATCGGATATCTCATATTTGCACTTTTTTCCAGTATTTGCTTTGAAAAAATGAATATTGATGAATTTTTAATGGACACTATTATATGAAACTTTGATTTACCTTCTTCTTTATAAACTCAAATTTTTAAAGAAATGAAAATCAAATCGATTAAAATGGATTTTTACAGCAGTTTTATTTATTTTCACACAAAGCATATTTACCACCACTCTTTGTTTCGTTTCAAGTTACTCAATTGCCGTGTAAATCTTACCGAATTTCTTTTTGATAAAGTTTAAACTTTTTCTATTTTTGTTTCACGAACAAAATTGAATGACTTATAATCTTACCAAATTTCTTTTTAAAAATGTTCAAAATTTTCCTATTTTTTGTTTTACGTACAAAGAGAAGTAGTTTACAAGCAAACGCAACTATCGTAATGAGCATAAAATTGTCAGCTAAAGTTGCTGAACAAGTCTTTATTGCGTATTTGACGGTAAACGCATAGCAGTTAATCGGATATTGCACAAGTATTTGTAGCCCAAGGTCACAATGAATTAGCTTTTGTGAAAGTCTGTTTCTTAGAAATAATCAAATACGGATAAATAACTGTTAAAACATCGCAAAACTTTTCAATCAATGGGTACTCGATCTAAAGGATTTCTCATAAAGTGCGTAAGGACATTGCACGATATCACTTTATTGTTGTTGTGACATTTTCATATTTTTTGAAATATTTCGTACAAACATTCCTATACATTTGCACATACATGTCGGATTATAGAATTGCGACCCGAACACAGATATTTAATAAATTTAACGTCGTTAGGAAATACAAATGACTGGGGCGTAAAATAGAAAAAGAAATGTTCTACTTACCATATGTCCCAGCTATCAAACTTAGTGAAATTACTGCTATCAAAAGAATAGGTCTGCTCATGATGGAGGTATTTATTGTAAATACCTGCAAATTCAATGTAAAAATAAAGAAATGGAGAATATTACCGCCACTTTTTTTAGGAATCGTAACTATTAAAGGGGCTATTGAATGCTATGATGCAAGCGTTTATGGCCACCAATAGAGTATATATATATACTGTATATCTATATATGGAGATATAAAAGTTCTCTTTCATTTATACTGAAGTTGTGTACTGGTTTGTTCAATCCTGAACGTTACCCTACGTGCCAACTAGTGCTTGGCAAATTTGATAGAACCAGACATTTGTTATTTCTCCTATATATGAATTCTGCCTATGGGCGAAACGCCATCAACCGCAAGATATTCTTACTCATGGGATCAATTGGCAAATATTGTTATAGTGAGATGCACGGCTTATATACGTCGAAAACACATTTCTACTGACGCACATGAGACGCAATTGTACAGTGACCTATACGAAATGAATAACATAAAATGAAAAAGTCTTGGGACTTCGCTACTTTTTAGCTATAATGTATATCAAATTAATATAAACAACTTACATTTAAAAAATTAGAGATTTTTAATATAGTTACAAGAGGGGTGGAAATATTTTTGAACGATTTTAAGCGCTTACTGTCAATTATAATGTTTTCCTAGCTATTATTTAGAAGATTTTTAAAGAAACGAAAATCAATGTTAGGCAGGAAATAAATCATTATGGTAATGACAACCAAGAACGCCGATGATGTATAATTAAAGTTGTCTGCGGTCATGATACTGCGGAAAACATAAAGTTACAGAAACCGGATCCACAAAAATCTATGATTCGACGAAAAGCTGTTTTCTGAAAGTGAAAGCGTTGCTCATTTTGTTGAATCATTTTTCTAACTCCCGAAGGGGATATTTGAGAATCTCCTTTCCACCTGGGTACCTTCTTTTTGCAATAACGCACACAATACGAATTTCTATCCAAAGCGTGGCGCTTGCTTTTTTGATCACTTGTAGTAATCAGAGCGCCTATTTATCTAGTTTGCCTACTCGTCCCTTGAAGTTGTTGGCCTGACATGTATATATAAGCAGTGGTGGGATTCAAAATTTTTGTCAGCCGGTTCCATCGCAAAAGTCATATTTTTCGGCCAGTTCTGTTACATGTTTTTCTAGAAATGCTAACCGGTTCGCTGATCTCATAAAATATCCCTGAGACGGTTCTATAGAACTGGTGCGAACCGGCTGAATCCCACCACTGTATATAAGTATCTTCCCATAAGTAACCCATGTATAAATATTTCAGGTTAACAAGGTTCAGCAAAGAGTCTTATTCTTGTTATTGCTTCCAGCTGCACAAAACAAAGCATCTGCCAACAAAACGCTACATGATCTACTACAGGTAGCGAAGAACTAACTAAACTAATTATCTATACAAATTTCAAAAAATCCATCACGTTCAGTCTTTTTCTTAGTATCGTATGATTTTAAAGACAAAAAAAGTCGTTTTGGTAGAAAAACGGGTTTTAGTTTTTAAGGTCTTGACATGAGATATCGGCGATAACGAAAACTCGTAGCCTGAAGGGTAGAAACCTGCTTGGCACGTTACGTCCAAAGTTCTCTTTAGACATAAAGACGGGTTTCAACATTTTTATACGAACATTGGTAATGATAAGTAATATTTCTTTAGATTTGAGCTGTACTGAAACAATATATTCCAGCGTTCAGCGTATATAGCATAGGGGCACACATAGAACATGCGCAAAGTACATGCAAAAACTTCAAACACGAACATACAGTCACACCTTATATTTGTTCGCATGAATTTGGCTGAATGATAAAAACATGACGTGTAACGTCTTACTAAAATTCGGCATTCCACAAGATATTTGCAAAGCATATAAGCTTATTTGCATTTTGGAGTAAAATAACTCCAATAGTAATGGCCATATTAAGAGTGTTTCTTTGTAATAAGTAGACGATACGTTTTCGTGATCTGGTGTATTTTATGTATATATTTGAAAAAACCCTTGCGTTTGCAAATCTAACATTCTTCGTGGAATCCCGCTGTTCAATATTCTACATTAAACTCCAATCCCAAAAGACAGAATAAAAACTTATGGCAACAATTGTTCACATCCCACCATTATTCGCTTTTCTATAAAATCCACGAACTGCATTTATTTTCGAAGATATTGGCATTTGTGTTGCCAGATAATACCTGAATTACTGTGATCCGGCGCAGTTTTGAATAAAAGGTTTAAACGATACTGTTTGTTATTTTGGAGCGAGCTAGTTGTGATCTCACGGTGTGAATTTTACAAATTGAATGACAGATTAGGCAGGGAGAGTTGCTATAGTTATAATTTAACACATTTTTAACGTATTTTTGAAAGTGCAGCTAATATTATTTTCTTTTTTGTTTCAGGGAAAAGAAAATTCGGTTTGGTTTCTCTTGATTGCGATTGGTTCAAATCATGAATCACCCTGAGGCAAGGTATTGAAAAAAAAAATAGGAAACCAATCGGTTATATCAGGGATGAGCTCGATTGAACATTGAGCCATATTTTGTTGAGAAGTGGTGCTACAGAGATATACTATTCAACTCTAGTATAAACAAAGTAAACAGTTATTCTTCCTGGAATCCAAGTATGCACACTTTACAGATACATGTACCTAGAACAATAGAAACTCTACTTGTTCAACGTTGTAACTTTTTGGCAAGATATATTTTTTGTGTCCAACTACAGAACACTGTAGTCATTGTACGATCCCGCTTGGGCAGAAGTAGGGCCAGCGGGCCAACTTCGATTCCTTGTGATTCTAAATTCGACTGGCCTGAAGCTGCCATAAATTTCAGCTTTTAACAATTCTATATCAATGTAAACTCCGATATGTGCGATTGATCAATATTCCTCGTTGTTTGAGTTAATACTGGTATGTTAATTGTTATGGGTCGGTGATTAATAAAACAAACCACGCTCTCCATTTGGTAGTACTGAGTGCTTCGCATTCGAATATTTGACATGGGGCATTTCATCAAACGTGTGCGGCCGTTTGTGGATCCCAAAGGCCGACCTATAGTTTGACTGATTCAATGTGATCGTTTTAAAAGAGAACTGGAAACCACGAGACTAAAGGACACAGAGAATATCAGCGTTATTTGCCTCCACTTTCCACAACTCATCTCAAACCTTAGACAATTGCTACAGCAAAACGAACAACAAACCAGGATGCTTTAGCTTAGAATAAATATCCTCATTCTTTAGATTTTGCAAAATCAAGAGATAGACATTACGCTGTTATAGAAACGTATTCCCATGAATAAAACAGCGGAGCTACAGGTGTCATCGGAAATTTAGGAACAAATAAAAGTGATAGCCCACCAGTGACAACAATCTTCAACCAGAGGCGTAGCTTAGGGGGGGCAGTGGGGTACATATGCCCCCGGGCGCCAAGGTACAGGGGCGCCAAAATGGGGCTGGCAAAAATTTCACAACAAAGGTAAAAAACGGTCACAAGCAAGATCGCACCGGCGGCAGACATCTAATCTTAGTACATGGCAAACTGCACACTTGGTCAGACCACTTACGACTGCCGACGTCATCACGCACATAGCACGGTCAGATTTCCATCGTAATTACATGGCCAAAAAAATCTGGCCGGAAAACAAAGCAAAATTTGATTTGGTAACGTTAGGTAACAAAATGCACCGGGTTAATTACGTGGTTCTGTATCGTTAAGTTCTTGCCTGCGCACTCGGATGTAAGTTGATATTAGTTCTGTGCTGGAGACAAATGGAAACGGAATTTGGTTGAATGATGTTAATACATGTTTTGAGTAATACGTGGATTGTATTTTGTTGTCAAAGTACCGTACTTTGCGGCAGAGTTACATAAAATATATTATACTGTGCTAAAAGACCTCAATGCCGTTTTCGACAATTCGTCGAGATTGCACAGATTTTGCAAATCTCTACCACACGGACATCAATGGCCACGAACTTTTCACCGAAATTGGAGATTGCAGAATGCTGCTCAGTAACAGAACTGTAGATCAACCAGAAACTCCTTCGGCTCTTCTTGGTTTTATTGTGTCTTTTGGAGACGACGTTTTATTCAATCTGCGAATTTCTCTACAAATTTTGTTAACAATATCAGTTTCAATTGCAAGCTGTGAACGGTCTTTCAGCAGATTGAAACTTATTTTGTCGTATTCGCGTGCATCAACGGGACAGGATCGTCTCCGTGATCTTGCACTTCTAAGTGTTGAAGGAGAAACATTGGAAAAAAACAGATTTTGATGACGTGTTAACCAGTTTACGACAGTGAAATTGAAAAAATGAATTCATTTTAGACTATGTAGATCATCTTTGACAGTAACTGAGTGAGACATATGCTCTATTTTGTATAGCTTTGCTTCTTCTTTAAATAAAATGTTCCATTAAAATTTGAATTTACATATACATATATTTTTGAATAAATATTAAAATATATAAATACATATAAATTTGAATTCACATATCGTCACGCTAATAACCGAATTGCGTAAGTCATTTTGGGCGGTTTTGAATTTTTCATAAAATAGGTATTTATGTAATGCTGCGCACCTGTCTGTTAACTCAGATTTTATTTTAAGAATTCCGAAACCCATAAAAATAGAAATTTTGTATGATATGCAAATTTGTTCTATTGTTCCGTCATAATGAATTATCATTGTTAACGCAGGACTATTGTGACGTCACAAAGGCAAAATAACCTAGGCGAAGGATTATCGAGTTTTTGCATCTCAGATTCTAGCTTAGCGCTAATAATTTTCAATTTATACTACTGTATAGGAAGGCGTGCACTTGTGATATTTACTGTCTGAGTCCAATTCACCTTGGTTGACTTTTATATAAAAGTACATTACTGTTTTATTCTTTATATTTAACTTTAGTCTTATTTCGGTGATGTGCAGAGCGTGTTATATTGATGAAATATATATTTTTAAACATAAAAAATAATGTAATTGAAACAGATTAGCTATTTTGGAGATTTTGGACTGTTTGGTTTTCAGGACTGGTACATATAGACAAGTTGCAAAATTGCGTATGTCCTCTAGCCATAGA